ATCCGTGGGAATATGCAAATTTGCACGCGAAGTCGTGACACCAGCGCGCTCTTGGTCTTCCCAGCGGCCTTTTGGTACCGGGTTTCCAGTTCAGAAGACGTGCGTCCCATCTTTCCTGGTCTCCTTCCACAATCTTCTTCGCAAATTTCCGCTTCCTCTTTCGAGCTTCTAGAATCACGTCTTTCAACTTGGTTCGGTCTCGAATCGTCGCGTTCGGCATACGATCGACAAGTCGGTGGCAGAGTATATATGGGAGGTGATTTATAAATTTCAGCGCGCTAGTCCATCCCAACCCCGCGGATTTAGTCCAAAGTTAAAAGTTCACGAAAAAGGGGAGGGGAGGAGGAGCCGACAGAGAAAGGCAGAAATTTTTACAAAGAGAGAAATTGCGCAACGTTGTGTAATATTGCGCAACTTTTAACTTTGGACTAAATAAGCGGGGTTGGGATGGACTAGAACTCTGAAATTTATAAATCACCTCCAATATATGCCTTTCCATTCGTCTTTGGCATCTGATCAGCTTTGTTTCGGACGATTTTGTTCGTGCCCAAGTTTCAGATCCGTACAAAAACGCTGGTAGGACACAAACATGCCAGAACTTGCGTTCCGTAGCCATGACCAGATAGCATCGACTATATATGTAATATATAGATAGCATATATTACATATATAAATTATATATGCATATATCTATTTATTTACCTTGTGATATCTGGAGCTGAGCGATTATTACAGAGTTTTCTCCTCGTCCAGCAAGAATTAGAGATACGAAATACGTTCTGAATAGAAGTTTTTCAAAATTTCCTCCGTTGCGGATAATGGGAATGAGTAAACGAACGTCTAATCCACGCGGATTAACGCTATCCCGTGAGGATCAACAACCGGCGACGTTTTGCTCACATGCCGGTAATTCAACGGGGACTAATTGACTGGGATGGCTTCGAGTCGAGAAATGAAGTTTTGAACCTTTTTGTGCACACTTCGGGAGTAGGCTACGTATCAATTACGGGGAATTTTGGCTGGCGCTTTGCAGGAGCGGCCGAGATATTCAAAGATTTTGGCCACCGAGAGAGTACGCAAAAAAACCGTTTAGATATAGAAAAACTCTTTTTCTCTTCGCCAGTTTCGCCTGGGAAAAAAATTGTTTTTTGTGATAATAATGCTTTGCAACTGCACAGAGCAGTAATCTGTTCTTTGCACTTGTTGGTTTACATTCTCGGCATCCAATTTGAAAGTTTTTGCAATGTTATTTTCCCGCACTGTGCGACAATTTCTTTGATCTGATTGCACGGTGCAAACCATAATTTTCGCTTGCACTGTGCAACGAATTTATGCGGACGAGAGAGTACGCGAAACGCGGAGAGCAGTCAGAGGAAAATAAACGTCAACAAAAGGTTTAATAAACTCGAAGGGTGACATTTTATACGATCAAAACTGTCAAAAATATTTTTTCTGCAAAAAACAGGTTTCGGCGTATAAAATGTCACTTTCCTGTATAAACATAAAATAGCGGACCTTTGCCATATTCGTGAGGGAAAAAATATTTTTTTTGTAAAAAATTACCCTCTTTTCATTCCAAAACATGATTTTTTACGCCTAAAATTATAAAAAATTCCAAGAAATTACATCATTTTCTAAATTAATAATCCCCCAAAAACCTGCCTTGCTTGTTTTTCCTTTCAAAAATCGGGTCGTGGGAGCCATTTTTGGCGAAATTAAAATAGAAAAACGCTGAAAAACGGCAAAATTTTTAATCTCCAAACATTGCAAAGTCGATGATGTGATCTCCGCCCTAATTTGCATAATGTTTCGGTTCTTTCCACCTGCGCGCACGCTAATTTCAGCCCATTTAATGGGGGCTGATTTAATATTTCGGAATTATTCAATTTCGCATAGTCTGTCGGTGTGTGTTGTATGTGTCATGTTGTGTTTTGAATGGCTGTCAGTTGCAGGAGGGGCGGGAATTTCGGAATTTTTTGGGGGGAATGGACGATTTTATGGGTTTTTTTTATTTTGTGAGGGGTTTGGAGTTGAAATTTTTACGGAAAATGCGTTATTTTGAATTGAAAATTAATTTTTTGAATATTTAAATTTTTAAAATTTGCGTATTTTATCACTAAAAGTCTCTTTTTTTTATTTTTTCAAAATAATTTTTGATTTTGGGCAGCTTTTTTTTAAAATTTCAAAAAATTTGCATAAATTTGCATATTTCGAAAATATGAAATTTTTTTATTTTTTTCCTAATTACTTGACCTTGCAATTTTACCATAGCTATGCATAGTAAGAATGTGCAAAAAAATTTCAAATTTTAAAACGCTCAAAATTTGCATAATTTACAAATATGCAAATTTTTGAAAATTCTGATTTTTTCACTTTTAGGATATTTTTCCTTCATCATAACATTAATTAGCACTAATCTAATGCCCTCGTTTTTCCTTATTTCCTCAAAAACTACAAATTTTCCCATGAATTCTCGAGTTATTGAACCTTGTTTACCCAAACCCCCCGAGGCTATTCAATTACCGACGCAGTCGCAATTACAACCTGGCCACACTTTATGACTCCTATGGCGGTATTATTTAACATTTCAAAAAAATTTATTTTTCAAAAAAATTTTTTTATTTCATGGTATAATAATATACACTAGGTATATAATATTACTACTATAATATTACTCGTATATTGCTAACGTCATAAACGTACATACGGCCGGAAGGTTGGCTGAAAATGGGGCAGGTGTCCATTATTCATTCCACTTTTGCAATCTATAGCCGCAGGGTGTATAAGGGGAAAGGCCGGGAATAGCCGAGTAGCCGGTATTTTTAGCTGTTTTAGTGTGCATTCGTCTGTGCCCGAAGAGTGTTGCAGAATATGTCAAAGCGGGTGTTTAATCGCTTTTTTTGCGGGATGGACTTTCGGTGCAGCGGAGCGGAATGGCCAAAAGTTATGGAGCAGTAAATAGTAGTGGGGATAGAGGGGTGGGGAAAGCAGCAGTAAAATGTAGCAGTAAAAAGTTATAAAAGTTAGGTTTTTGGTATAATATTTGAGTGGGTCATAGCCCGAAAAAGGCCGTAGCTTTTTGACCAGGAATAAATTGCGGTGTTGCATAGTTATTCCCTTCGAATTTGGTGCAGATGTTACTATCAGTCTGGGGCCAATGCGCTATCTGAAAGTTTGCTGAAAACCATAGGGCGCAGCTCTGTTGGGGCGGCCGTGGCCTCACTCATAAGTCGGGAAAATAATGTGGATACATCGCGCCTTCGAATTCATCATTTGCTGCGGCAAGCCGCGGCTGGGGATTTGTTGCTTCATTCTTTTTTCAACGATATTTTTGCTGCGACGTTATTTTCCCGACAGTGTGACGACTTCGCATGCGAATTTGCATATTCCCAATGACCGACAAATTGGTATAAAAGGAAGAGAAATCGCCAATTATTGGTATTATTTTTGTCTGTTTTTCCCGGTTGTGTTGTGGCCAATAAAGTCTACTATATTTACTATTTGTCTATTGATTTGTCTATGGTCACATCGTCTGGAGTCAATATCGTGAGTTCACAGTTTATTGCCAGAGTCCTATAGTTTGCGTCTCCGGGTTAGGTAGTGAATACTATTATAGTAGTAGCGGGCAAGTTAAGGGCCATCTTACACCACGACTCATAGCTAAGTCGTGACAACAGACTGATAAGTTTTTCATAACCTACATTCCTCCACATTTTATATTTTATCTCCACAGACATTCTGCCACCTCAAAGTTCCATGTTTTCCCCGAAAATTTCCTCATTTCCCACATTCTTTTTTCTTGTTATTCCTCGAGAATTTTTGATCCCTTGCATGCCATTACACATAGCACTTGTACAGCACTTGTCATCGTCTTGTGGTCAGCATGCGGTTCCTCTTTCTGCTGCTTAATTTTGCATGAGGAATGGGGATTAGAAACTTGTACTTCAGGGAGCCTCGAAATGGACATTCAAAGAGAGAAACAGCGCCTTCGGGTGACGCGAATTAACGGGGCAACAGCGACGTTTTGAACACCATTTCTTGGCCAATTTTTTCGAAAAAAAAATTTGAAAATTAGCGAGTTTTTGTAGGAAAAATCTCTTTTTTTTATCGATATATCCCTGTATTTTTCTGATATTTTTTTGAAAAACCCTCAATATCTCTGAAATTTTGATGTTATTGTGGGTGTAAATGAATTATGATGTGTTTTGTAGGCTCTGAAATAGAGGAAAGTACAATTAAGGCTATAGGAATGTAGTCGAAATTCGAAAACAACTCGGATTTTCAGAGTTTTAGGCCTTTCTTCCGTTCAAAAGTCATTCCTCGAAGTTGTTATGTATTTTTATTACTATGAGACCAATTTTCCTAATTTGCCTGACGTTTGCAAAACACTTTTAAGCTGGCGGAGAAGTCTTCAAGCCGCTTCCAGGCGATTATTATGTACAATATTCATCATCGGAAAGAGAGTCAGCCTGTTTGGGGGGATTGGGTATGACGGGAGGGGAGGGGGTGATATCAACGGTGTTTTTTAGTATAAAAACGACATTTTTTTACATATTGTCTTGTAAAATACGATCATATTTTTTTCTATCTTTCATTTTTTCATTTTTTTTATTTTTACCATTTATTAACGCGCAAAACATAAAAAACCCTAATAAATGTTATTAATTACGATAAAAAATTCATAAAAATTTCATCCTTTTTTTTTGATCATATTTTTTTTACCACGGAAAAAAATTTAATTACAGCAATTTTTTATGTTTTTAAAAAGTTTTTAAAACTTTTATTTTTTGGTTTTACCATTTTTTCAACTCAAAAAAATAAAAAAAAACCCTATATAAATGTTATTAAAAACGATAAAAAAATTTAAAAAGATTATTTATTATTATTATTTTTGTTTTCTTTTTTTTTTTGAAATTTTCAAATTTTTTTTTATTTTTTTAACGCGAAAAAAATCGAAGAAAAATCTAAATTTCCCAATATTAAATATATTTTTTTCAGAAATGGTGGCGCTAGAGACATTGGAAACATATTTTGCCGAGGAATCCAAGCCTCTAATCTTGGTCTATGCAATAAGCGGAACGGTGATGATGCTGCTCATCGTCGCTGTCGTATTTTTGATCCATTCAAGAAGAACAAGGCTGAATTGGTAAGCAAATCGTTTTTTATTTGTTTTTAAAATACGGTTATCCTCTTTCTTTCTGCCCTTGGAGGGTAATGTTTGTTTCCACAAAAAAATCAATTTTTTCCTCACAAAACTAACAGGGGAAGTACTCCAAGTGCTACGCTCAGATTTTGATGAAACTAGGCCTAAATTTAGAACAATTTTTTCTAAGATATATGCGAGAATCCCAGTTCGCGCTTTACAGAAACAACCGAGATTTTTAGATCGAAAGTCGGCCAAAATTTAGGACTTTTTGCCGAATTTCGGCACGGAAAGTTTCATGCCTATCTCTACCGTTTCTACAAAAGATCAAAATTTTCCGCACGAAACTGCCAAAGTTATGGCCAGAAAGCATTTTTCTCTCTGACCGCTCTCCACGTTTAGCGTGCTCTCTCGGCGGCAAAAATCGTTCGATATCTCGGCGGCGCCCGCAAAGCGCGAGCTAAAACTTTCAGGAATTGATATTTGGTCCATACCCGACGTGTGTGCGAAATTTAAAGAAGTTCTGAGCGTCGCACTTGGACTACTTCCCCTGTAAGTAGCAAAGATACGGCCAAAAAAGTGTTTTTTTTTTCTCTACCGTTCTTTTGTATATTCTCCTAGCAGCAAAGATCACTGAATATCTCGGGGGCGTCTGCAAAGCTCGGGCTAAAATTTTCGGGGATTGACATGTGGCATGGACCTAAAGTGTGTGCAAAATTAAAAGAAAATCTTGAGTGTCGCACTTGGAGTACTTCCACGACAAACCGGGGCAACCCAAGCTGTCGTAACTGTTTTTGAATTCTTAAATTTACCTATGATTTGTTTTCATTCCCTTCCGCAAGCGCCTGACCAAACTTTCTGCCTTTTTTAGCCGTTTCTATTACGAACCTTTCGTTGTAAATTTAGTTCCTCTGACATTTCATGCAAAAAGAAAAAAAATTTCCCCTAAAAAATTGTAAAGATCTCTCCTTGTACTTCCTATTTACAACAAACCCCAGCCCTACAATTCTTTGAACACTAATCTTTACACCCTCTTTACACAAATTTTGTTGCTTTAGGTACGAGCAGAACCTGCTGGAAATGGCGCACTCTCCCCCACACTACATGCGATGCAAGGCGATGCCGCGAATGGACACGGAAGACGAGGAGCGCCTGGATATGCCATAGTAAGTCCTGCAAAATTAATGAAGGGGGAATTACTCTGTAATTACTCGGAACGGGTAGTTTTTATCGCGTTCCCAAAAAAAGAAATTACAGAGATCGCCAAAAAAGGAAATTTTTGAGTTGTAAAGTAGTATTTGTAAGTTGTAATGGAGGGTTTAGGGGTTCCAGAGATTAGATTTAGTACTGCAATAGCAAAAATATGGTTTTGGAGGCAAAAATTTTTAAATTTCCGGTTTTCCCGCCAAGTTTTGAAATCGTTGGCATTGTGTTGCAACCTATGAAAACGCAAGATAGGACTCTCCAGACAAAAAAAAACCTTCTCATATCTTCATTTTGTTATTTTACTCTTAAAATTTTTTCGAATTTCCAATTTTCCCGCCAAATTTATAAATCCTTGGCATTGTGCTGCAACCCATTGAAAATGAGAATTATGACCCTCTAAACAAAAAAAAACTCTTCCTGTCTTCATTTTTTGATTTTGGCCTTAAAATTTTTTGAAAATTTCCAATTTTTCCGCCAAATTTATAAATTCTTGGCGTTGTGTTGCAACCTATGAAAACTCAAGATTAGGTCCCTCAGGACCAAAAAAGAACTCTTTCTGTCTTCAATCTTTTTATTTTACGTGTATAAAATTTAGAAATTTTTGAATTTCCCGCAAAATTTTTAACTATTTGGCATTGTGTTGCAACTCTTTAAAATGACAGCATAAAATTAAAACTTTAAAATACGTAGTCGTCATGATCTAATATGTATTTTTACGCCAATGATTTAAAAAATTTATTTGTTCCCGCCAAATTTTTAAATTTTGGCATTATGTTTCAACCTCTAAACTTAGCCGTTCAATCCATAAAAATCTGAAAAATCTCTTCTAGCAGCGCTTCCGACATTGAGCGAAAACAATCGCGGATACGACGAGTGAAACGAGAGCCCATCGGCGATGTGAGCAACATGTTCCACGTGCCGAAGATGACCAAACACACCAGCATGTTCAGCAAGTTCAGTCAGTCCGACATTGATCGAGGACTATATACAACTAATGTAGGTTGAATTTAGAGGGGTTGTGAGATTTTTGGAGGGCTTGGAAAGCTGCAATTTGGGGTCTGTAAATCTTATGATGATAAAGGGAATTTTCGTCTAAAAAATAAAACTTTTTCATCGCATGACGAACAGATTTCCGCTTCGTATTTCTCCTAATTGGTCGTTCTGGCCCATGTTTCAATCTCTCTGAAAAATTTAGCTTGAATGCCAAAAGCAGAGGTGAGATATCAGTCTGTCGGGAAAATAATGAGCACTCTGTTGCATCGAAAATTGCATCGCGGCCGAGAAAATGAATTGTGTCGCGGAGAAAATCAAATTGCTTTTGGCTTCAGCGACGCGATTGGCTTAGCGACATTGTGCTCATTATTTTGCCGACAGACTGATTTTCAAAAATCGCTCCAAAAAATCGAACTTTCGACATTTTCCGGCTTAAAAATCTCGGAGATATCGGCAAAGTGCGCAGAAAAAAAGCTCGTATATCTCTTAGAAAGTCATAATCTCAATTCTGACCAAGTTTTTTTCAAAATCCGAGCAACTTTTTTTTGGCCGTTTTTTGGCCGAAAATTGCTTCTGTCGGGAAAATAATGAGCATTCTGTCGCAGCGGAAATCACAGAGAAAAGAGAAAAATGACTTGTATCGTGAAGAAAATCAAATTGATTTTTACTTCAGAGATCGCACAGCGACATTGTCCTCATTATTTTCCCGACAAACTGAGCGGCCATAAAAGCGGTTACATGAAACTTTTAGCTCTAAAAAATAATTTTTTCCCTTCTTTTTTGCTAATAAATATTTTTTCCAGGTAGCAGAGTCCTCCTACGACGAGGACTCGGGCTTCTGCGGCTCACTGAAATTGGCACTCTATATGGACACCAACCTCAATTTGCTGACCGTTTGCCTGAAACAGGCGACCGATTTGGTGGCCAAACGCCAAGACGGCTACCCCAACCCCTACTTCAAGGTGTGTCTCGACGTTCCCGACCAAACCCGCCCCAAAACCGAGCAACAGACCCGAGTGGCGAAGAACACGTCGTCGCCGGTGATCGAGGAGGACTTCTTCTTCCAGGTCTCCATGGAAAAGGTGGGCCAGTCGCGGCTGGAGGTCATGGTCTACGATTACGACCAGTTCTCGGTGGACGAGTGCATCGGCTACTGTTGGCTGACACTGGGACGGGTCGCGATTTCGACGATCAAAGAGCAGCCCACCATCTTTTGGGCCGAAGTCTTGCCTTTTGATGACGATTCAGGGGTAAGCTGGAGGCAGAAAAATGATGGGAGAAAATTCAAAAAATTTTTAAAAGATAGTTTTTTATGAGCGGAAAATGATTTTTAGACACAAAAAAGAACAAAAGTCGGAATTCACAATAGTTTTTGTTATAAAATTGTAAAATTTTGAAATTTTTGATTTTTATGGACAAAAACGTTAAATTTTATGCATTTTTGATAATATTAGGGAGTAAAAACGTAAATACCGAAAGACAACTTCCTTTGTTATAAAAAATGACTTTTTAGACATTTTCGAAATTTTTAATTTTTATGGACATAAACGTTAAATTTTATGCATTTTTGAAAATATTAGGGAGAAAAAACGTAAATCGCAAAAAGTAAAAAATCACAAGTTACAACTTATTTTGTCATCACAAAAATTATTTTCGTGCTATTTTGAATTTTTTTATTTTTATGGTCAAAAACGTTAAATTTTATGGATTTCTGAAAATATTAGGGAGAAAAAACGTAAATCCCGAAAAACAAAATTCTAAAGTCACAATAGTTTTTGTCATAAAAAAAATGACTTCTGTGCAATTTTGAATTTTTTTTATTTTTATGGACAAAAACGTTAGATTTAAAATATATTAGGGAGAAAAAACGTAAATTCCGAAAAACAAAAAAAAACCCAAGTTACGACTTCTTTTGTCATCAAAAAAGTGAAAAATCAGAGCGTCGCACTTTGTAAATTTTCAAAAAATGATACGATTTTTCTCAAATTTTACAAAAAAAAATTTTAAAATACGATTATGTTTTCTTTATTTTTTCTTTACTAAAAACATTCCAGACCGGCTTCGGCGAGGTCCTCTTCTCCTTGACATACCTCAGCAAAGCGCAACGACTCACCGTCAACGTCTTCAAGGCGCGGAACTTGAACACCGAAAACATGGACACGTTCTCGTCGAATGCGATCCGCGTTTCGATCATGAACAACAGCGAGAAGCGGCTGAAACGGAAGAAGACGTCGAGCAAGAAGAACACGAGGAACCCGCAGTACAACGAGTCGTTGAGTTTTGGGATCCCGAAGAGCTCGTTGTGCGATACGATACTGGAGATTGAGGTGAGCGGTGTGGCCTATTCATTATCATCAGTCTGTCGGGAAAATAATGAGCACAGTGTCGCTTCGGCGATCGCTGAAGTGAAAAGCAATTTGATTTTCTCCGTGACACATTTCATTTTCTCGGCGGCGATGAGATTTTTGATGCGACAGAATGCTCATTATTTTCCCGACAGATTGATAATTATCTCCCAAATAACTCAAAATTTCCATAGCTTTGCTATCTGCATACTCATGCAAATTTTTTGAATTGCTGAGAAGGAGAATTTTGTTTGGCATAGCAAAAAGAATGAGAATGAAACTAGTTATCCAAACCGTATTTTACAAAAAAATCAATGCCTTATTATTAATTAAAAATACTACTGTCACGACTTCACGTGCGAATTTGCATATTCCCACGGAATGACTGACAAATTGTTATAAAAGGAAGAGAAATCGCCCAATCATTATTATTATTATTTGTTTCTGTCTTTTACCGGTTGTATGTTGTGTTGTGTTCAATAAACCGTCGTATTTTCTATTGTCTATTATAAAGTTGTCTATGGTCAACTCTTGTGTTGGTGGAGTCAAGTATTGTGAGTTCATTTGTGAAGTTGTTTCCTGAGTATAGTTAGTCGTTTGTCATAGTTTGTGTAGTCGTGTGTCATCGTTGTTTGTATAGTGTGTTTGGGCTTGGGATCAGAAATAACAACTAGAACAGGGACCCTTATACGTGCTCTCACTGAACTCGTGACATGACGACCACGGCAGGATTCGAAAAATATCCAAAAAACCATCCGCAGTCGACAGGATTCGAACCTGTGCGGGCAGAGCCCAATTGATTTCTAGTCAATCTCCTTAACCACTCGGACACGACTGCACACAGCTTTTGGTCGGGAAATGTAACCGCTTATTAGAGAGAGTTGGTGTCAAAAACAGTTTTTTTTCTTTTATGCATAAATTCTTCTGTTTATCAAGCGGAACTTCCAACGAGAACGGATTGACACATCATGACCATGCACTTGTTGTGATAAGCTGTTACTGATTCAGGAGTGAACGTGCAGTCGTGTCCGAGTGGTTAAGGAGATTGACTAGAAATCAATTGGGCTCTGCCCGCACAGGTTCGAATCCTGTCGACTGCGGATGAAATTTTTAGAGATTTTGGTGGTGTTTTAGTAAATAATAAGTGATAAACTTGTCGTAAAATACGTTAAGCTCAATGTAGTTGTTTTTTTGTCAGTCTATCAATAAAAAATCGGAGTGAAATGGAAAAATGCTAATAGAGAATCAAGGGTTTCGCTTCGGGACTTATCAGAAATAATTTTAAAAAACTGGAAAAAAATTAAAAATCAAAAAAAAATATTTGGTTTATCACTCTGTCGGGAAAATAATAAGCCTCGAAAATCGCATCGCCGCCAAGAAAATGAATTGTGTCGCGGAGAAAATCAAATTGCTTTTTATCCTTTAGCGATCTGCTCGGCGCAGCGATTGTGCTCATTATTTTCCCGACAGACTGATAAATTAGGATTCTTTGCATGCTTTATCGTATTATGATACCAACCGTACAATAAAAAATGAGATTTTAAGAAATTTGCATAAATTTGCATATTCCAAAAATATGCAATTTTTTCTAAACTACTTTATATTGCAACTGATAACAACTCCCCAATGTTTTCATTTCACCCATTTCTCTTCAGGCGATCCACGAATACGGTACCTTCGGGATGGGCAACAAAGTGCTCGGCCGGATGGAGCTCCCCCTCCACCAATGCAAGGACCTGTGGCGGGCGATAATTCGCGAAGAGAAGTCGCAAGCGCGATGGTACCCGTTGGAGGCGCCACCTCGATAAAATGACATTAGTATTAGTATTAACGTTGTACATTTGTTTGGCTGTATAGTTGAATTCGATGGTATTTATTATCAAACATGTCAATAAAGATTTATTGCATTAAAGAAAGGGGACCCGTTGATGACTACAATAGTAATCGTATGCTGTATGTTGGATGAAAAAATCAATTATACTAATATAATATCTCGGAAAATAATGAGCAAAATTCTATCATGGTTTGAAAAAAGGAAAGATGGGACTAAACAACTGTCTGTCGAAGACTTCTATCTCCAAGATTCGAGATATTCGTATCTCCGTCTATCCTCTCCATCTTTTTCGATGACCGAGAATTTCCATTCGCTTTGCCCCCAGCTCCATCCTCATCAAAGTTGGCGTTGAAGAAGCGCCTGGGGCAACAGAAACATTGCTCCGAGAGTTTTCGAAATATCTTGTCGTAGAACTCGAGGTCCCACAGGAAACGCGGCAAAAAGTGCCAGTTGTGCAGGAACTCTGGTAAGATCCCAGGATGCGAACTTTGCAGCCAGTTGATTGTAATGAGAATCGCGACAAACGCTACGAAACCGCCAACGATTGTGAACATCACAGCCGATGGAAGGAATGAAAGGGCCAGTAGGAAGGCGGGGAACAAAAAGAAAACGTTCAAGATGTAGACCAGTGCGAACCAGCGATACTGAAATTCAGTGGTTTGAATGAAAATTTAGAGTGGACTTACTTGAGCAGTAGTGTTTCCCAAGATCTTGCAAAGTCGCAACGGAATTCTTCGTAGGAATGGAATGGGATAGAAGAAAATGACGCCAAGAACATTGAAAATCGTTTGGCAGAGGGCGATTTGAATGGTTCTGAAAGGATCCGTTCAATCTTTGTTCACAGCAAAGAATATCAGCCTGTCGGGAAAATAACGGCGGCGCGCAGCAGCCAAATGTTTCGTCTCGTCGAAAAAAGGGTGCGTTCGCGCACCAAATCCCCAGTCGCGGTTTGCCGTGGCAAACCGATGATGAGCGATTCCAAGACTCGACGACCCGTCGCACGGCAACCCATGGAGTCTCCCTCCTCGTTTCGGCACTTCGTACACCCAGTATCGGTCAAATTGACACGAAATGTCACAACAGAATTTTTCGTGTGGTTTTTCGATGGAAAAATATTTTTCTCTAAATTATTTTATTGCTTTTGTCAGTTGTGACACTTCGTTTGGACGAAGCTCAAAAGTGGGCGGGAGACATTTTTGTTCTATTTTGGTTTGCCGTGCGCCGTTATTTTCCCGGCGCATAGCTTATTCTTAAAGGTTGATTAACACTTATGTAAGATTTCATGACATTTGGAAAAAACCCCCCGAGATATGATCAAAAAATGGGGCGGAACCAAAAAGTAGGATGCACTGTACCATGGATTTTCAACGGAGACGTTTTGTTTCGACGCACAGTGCATTTTTTCCTTTTTTCGCACATCGCGGCCTGGTGACAGAAAGTCTACGAGTTTTAAAAAATATAGCATCAGTCTGTCGGTAAAATAGTGAGCAGATCGTGCTGCAGAAGTGAAAAGCAATTTGACTTTTCTCCGCGACACAATTCATTTTCTTGGTTCATTATTTTCCCGACAGACTGATAGTCGCAAAATTTATTAAAAGCCCTTACTCCTGCAGCTGCGCTGGGTCCGCTGACAATGCGGCCAGAATGCCCGACGACGTCGTTCCAACATTCGCCCCCATCAACAACGGATACAGCTTCTCCAACGGGATAACTCCAATCCCAACGAGCGGCGTTAGCGCCGAACGGAACACACTACTCGATTGTATGATTACCACAACAACGGCGGCGACAAACATGAGGAAATAGCCGGTAAACCATTCGAACGGATATGGGAAACGTTTTTCTAACAGGCAACGGACCCATATCGCCGCGCGTCCCGCGAACAAGAGATAGTTGATCTTCACTAGAGCCGCCAAGCAGAAGCCAAGGCCGATGATCGCGGCGACAAGAAGCGCCAGCCCAATTTTGGCATCGGACCAAGTGGAATAGGCGAAAATGTGGACGTAGGGGCCTGAAAGATGTTGTTGCTCAAAGGAAATGCGTATTCGCTTCGTGATTGATAGTGGCGGATCTGATCCAGTGGAAACAAAGATACCATTTTGCATCCGGGAAGTATCAAAAAATGTGGCAAAAAGCCTCCATCTCCAATTGAAAAAACTCCGTTTTGAAGGACGTACCCCTTCTCTCTCAAAAATACTGGTCGTTCCAGAAAGTGCGTGCACTTTTTTCCGCCTTTTTTTGCACCGCACAGTGCAAGTTTCGTGTTCCCCGCGCGACGCGATCCGTTTCGAAACATTTTGCACTGTGCAATTTCTGAAAATTCGCGCCGGCTCCGTTGAGAAAAGCTTGCGTCGCATATCCGGTTCCACAGTGCAAAAGGTCAAATGCACCCCCGCAAAAAGGGAATTTTGTGCACAGTGCGGCCCACGAAAAAAAGTGCACGCACTTTCTGGAACGCCTAGTAGAGCGCGCTTTTGCAATCGGAATTTTTTCACTTGGAGAGGGAGGTACTTTGTTACATTTTTTATTCTTCCCGGATGCAAAATGATACGTTTTTCTGTCACTGGATCAGATCCGCCACAGTAAAAAGCAATCGTCAAGACTTTCAAGCAAGCGATGTGTTGGGGCAGAGAGAAAAGCACTTTAAAATACCTTTCACTTACACTCGGATAATTCACCTCCAGTATCGAGATCGATGCAACGCAAAACGAAAGAGCTTCCGTAAGTCACATTCTCATCCCTTCGACTCATCGAAGTCACTCGAGTCAGGGCTTTGACATCAATCTGGAAAAGTTTTACCACAATCCACGCTTACAAAAAAAATTAAAGCATACAAAAAATTAGTATAATCTTTTTATGTCAGTCTGTTGGGAAAATAATGAGCACAATGTGGCTGCGCTGATCGCAAAGTTAAAAGAACTTTGATTTTGCCGCGACAAAATTCATTTTCTCGGTGGCGATGCGATTTTGCAGAGGGCTCATTATTTTCCCGACGACTGACATGAAGTTGTACTAACACCTACCTGCACAACCAGGTTCAAAAGTGGGTCCGTCAAGTACCGGAGCGTCTTCACCTCGCTCGCTTTCACACCGCTCAACGGCATCACCAATATCCCACTGAGCCACTCCATGAAGCCGGTCGTCATCTCCAGCGGGAGGACGGTGATAAAATTCAGCAAATTGAAAATGTCGTTCATTGTGGCGGCAGCAAATGCGCGACGAAACTCGTCGCGATCCCCAGAGTGGCCCAACGAGACCAATGCGTTCATCAGGGAGGCGCCGATCTCAGCGCCGATCATTATTGGAATGGATTGATGGACAGTGAGCACTGAAAACGGAGCTTACTAGGGAAGTACTATCAGTCTGTCAGGAAAATATCAGTCTGTCGGGAAAATAACGGCGGATTGTCGCAGCAAAATGGCTCGCCCCGCCGCTGTCGCGCACCAACTCCCAAGCCGCGGCTTGCAGTCGCAAAGCGATGATGAGCGACTCCGAGGCGCGACGATCCGTCATTTTTTTCCCGACAGACCGATAATGAGCACTTTGCCGCAACGAAAATCGAGATCGCCGCCGATAAAATGAATTGCGTCGCGGAGAAAATCAAATTTGTTTTCACTTCAACGACGAGATTGGCTCACTTTTTTGCTCATTATTTTCCCGACAGACTGAACCCAAATTGCTTTGCACTTGAGCTTCAGATGGGCTAGCGACATTTCACTCATTATTTTCCCGACAGATGGATAGAAAGGAAGTATTAGTTTGTCGGGAAAATAATGTGGGTTTGCTGCAGGAATTACTAATTGCAAGACTTGCCTTGCAATTCGCAAAAAACGAGAAATAAAACGCGACGTATTTTACAATCCTCGTACTGAATTCATACTAATAGTATTTTCATAAAGTGCATGGATATATCAGACCGTTGGTAAAAGAGTGTAGATTTCTCGCGCCTCGCAATTACCAAATCTCCAGCCACTACTAGCCGCCGCAAAGCGATGATGGGCACTTACAAGAGGCAAAAAATCCACATTATTTTCCCGACAAACTCATACTCTTCTAATAGTGTTTAAAAATGAACAACTCGACTTACAGCCTCCAGCCACCATGTCCACTAGGATACTGATAAGCGTCGATCCGCTTTGCAGAATAATCGTCACGACCATACCAAAGATCGCCGAGGAAATTGGGTTGTTGAGGAACGGGGTCTTCTTCAAATTCTGGCCTAAAAATTTCGCATGAATTTTGAAGAAAAATGAAAGCAAATAACTTGCTGAAAATCCTTACCAACGCCACTTCCTCCAATCAATTGAAAGGCATCTGCCAACAGCCCCAACAAACAAATGAAGCCAAAAATGTCGAGACAAAACAAGGACACTTTGAAAGTCGCAACCAACGTTCTGTACGCCTTTTGTGCTACTGTGAGATCTGAAAAAGGAGCCACAGTTGTTGCTCTCTACAGGGGGCGAAAAGCACTTTGAGATTTTTGCTTTCACAAGGGAAGTGCCGCAAGTGCTACGCTCAGATTTTGATGAAACTTGGTGAAAAATTTAGAATGTTTTTTCTGTGAGATACGCGAGATTTCTAGCTTTCACTTTGCTGAATTTTGAGTCGAAAGTTGGTTAAAATACGACTTTTTTTTACAAGTCATGGGATGAAAAGTTGCTTGCCTATGTCTACCTGCGAGGGTAATATGCCCACAAAAAATCTTTTTTTTCCGCACAAAACTGGCAAAGATATGGCCAAAAAGTGTTTTTCATTGTGACCGCTCTCCGCGTCTCGCGTACTCTCTCGGGCGCAAAGATAGTTGAATATCTTTGGCTGTCCCTGCAAAGTGCCAAATAAAATGTGTGCAAAATATTTAAAAAATCTGGGCGTTTGTGATACCTCCCTTGTCGACCTTAAAAAATCCTTAAATTATGCCTACCCTTCCACTCAGCGCCTCCTGGCCCAGCTCCCAACTCCTCATGGCTCAGCGTCCATTGGGCTTCTGTTGCCTTATGCGGCTCCACTGGCCGTACCTTGCGTAGACTCATAGAATTTTGCGTAAACCCTTACAAACACCGAGCAATAAATCGAAAACGTGAAGTGTAGGAGAAAAAACTTCGCGAGCTGTTTATTCGTAACATAAAAAGGAAATAAACGTGAAAAAATAAAACGTTCGTTAAATAACGGCGATTTAACAGTGATTAATATGAGTGACCTGACATGATCATGCTCAGCAAGAAGTAAAAAGGAGCGTGAGAGCTCAATATTCTAGTAGACTGGTCTATGATGTTTGGTTTTATGACAACTTGGGACGAGTTAAGACTGTAATTATTTTACTTGACCTTTACAGAAACCTACAACCGAAGCTTGCACTCGTTTTTTTATTACCTTTATTATGAAAGAACAAAGATTTATTGCATTATGTTCAAATACCCGTCAATATTACAGTGTTGATATATGATATGTTTACAAGGCACAGAAAAATAAAGTGTCAAAAGTCCTACTAGACAATTGTCTGGCGATACCGTCGATTAGCAGTATTGTTCGTATCGCTCTCCAAACTCTCCCTTCGCGTCGGTGGCTCGGGAACTCCATTTTGCTTCGCCCCCTCATCCTCATCAAAGCTGGCGTTGAAGAAGCGCCTGGGGCAACAGAAACATTGCTCCGAAAGTTCTCGAAATATCTTGTCGTAGAACTCGAGATCCCACAGAAAACGCGGTAGAAAGTGCCAGTTGTGCAGAAACTCTGGTAAGATCCCAGGATGCGAACTTTGCAGCCAGTTGATTGTAATGAGAATCGCGACAAAGGCAATGAAACCGCCAACGACTGTGAACATCACCGCCGATGGAAGGAATGAAAGGGCCAATAGGAAGGCGGGGAACAAAAAGAAAACGTTCAAGATGTAGACCAGTGCGAACCAGCGATACTAAAATTCAGTGGTTTGAAGACAATTTAGAGTGGACTTACCTGAGCAGTAGTGTTTCCCAAGATCTTGCAAAGTCGCAACGGAATTCTTCGTAAGAGTGGAATGGGATAGAAAAAAATGACGCCAAGAACATTGAATAGAGTCTGGCAAAGAGCGATTTGGAGAGTTCTGAAATGGCAATGTGTAGTGTAATACCATCTGATCAGATATAGTGGCAAAAGAGGAATCTGAAAAAATTTGTGATATTTGTGATACTTTATTGAGGCTGTTCGCAGAATTATTGTTTTCTGCTGCTTTGCCAAAAACCCCACCGGGTGGGTGAATTGGTCCCAAAACGCAAACAAATAACCTTTTTGGCGTTGTGCAACGGGAAAAATATTAGGGATTTTTCGGTTGGATCGAAATTGCGCTTTGCTCTGGAAAGGTAAAATATTGTGTTTTTGCAGTTTCTGAATTTGTATTTCCATTTAGACTCGTGTCCTTTCATCAGCGGCAATAAGTTTTCGGAAGTGGAGGAAAAATATTATTTCATGTTTCAGGTAGACACATCCTACTTTTTCGGGGAAGGTAAGTTGTTTTTCTTATTTCTTTTGGTTGATTTCAGACGAAAACATATTAAAAGAATGATCAACTACGCTAACATGCGGTGCTGAAAGGAAAGCCAGAAGTTTTTGTTACTGAACGCCTTATTTTTCTCTGAAGGTACCTAAAAACCCTGGAGACAACTAGCTTACTCCTGAAGCTGCGATGAGTCCGCCGACAGCGCTGCTAGCACACCCGACGACGTCGTTCCAACATTCGCCCCCAGCAACAATGGATACAGCTTCTCCAGCGGGATAACTCCAATTCCGACCAACGGCGTTAGCGCCGAACGGAACACACTACTCGATTGTATGATTACCACAACAATCGCGGCGACGAACATGATAAAATAGCCGGTGAACCATTCGAACGGATGTGGGAAACGTTTCTCCAACAGGCGACGTACCCAAACTGCGGCGCGTCCCTCCAACAAGGCTTGGTTTATGCGCACTAAGGAGGTTAGGCAGATTCCGAGGCCAACAATTGAGCAGCCTAAGAGGACGAGCCCCACGGTAGAGTCGGACCAGGTTGAGTGTGCGAAGATGTGGTTGTAGGGGCCTGTAAGGGTAGGATGTAACTATCAGTCAGTCGGGAAAATAATGAGCGCTCTGTCGCATCGAAAATGGCATCTCCGCCGGGTTGTTTTTCACCAGCTCCATGATCGACATTGTGCTGATTATTTTCCCCAGACTGATATGGTAAAAAAATCTTACAGAACACCAGCTCTTCCCCAGTCTTCAAGTCAATACATCGGAAGATGAAGGTGTCTCTATCGTATGTCACATTCCCATCTTTGCGACTCATCGATGTTACTCGTGTTAGCGCTTCTTCATCTATCTAAAATACATCAAATTTGCTTTAGTTTAGGAATACCTAGTACCAAAGTTGATTAAATTATTGATTACCTGCACAATCAAACTCAACACCGGGTCGGTCAGATATTGTAACGTCTTAATCTCGCCGGTTTTTACATTACTCAAAGGCTTCACCAAGACCCCACTGAACCATTCCATGAAGCCAGTGGCCATCTCCAAAGGTAATACGGAGGCAAAGTTCATAAGATTGTACACATCGTTCATTGTAGCGGCGGCGAAAGCGCGACGAAATTGGTCGCGATTCCCGGATTGCCCCAGGGAAACTAGTGCGTTGATAAGGGAGGCGCCAATCTCCGAGCCAATCATAATTGGGATGGCTTGATGCACCGAGAGCACTGTAAGAAATGAGTGGTAACGCATAACGTATGGAAAATTATATATCAGTCTGTCGGGAAAATAATGAGCACTCTGTCACTTCGAAAATTTCCGCCGGGAAAATGAGTTGTGTCGCGGCAAAATCGAATTGCTTTTCACTTCAACGACGCGGACGGCGCAGTGACATTGCGGTCATTATTTTCTCGACAGACTGATATTCGAGTAGGTAGCAGAGGGATCATTTCAATAAGCAAACTTACAATCGCCCGCCACCATTCCGACCAACACACTAATCAGAGTTGATCCACTTTGTAGAACTAACGTAATGGCCATGCCAAAAATCGCGGAGGAAATTGGATTGTTGAGAAACGGAGTCTTCTTCAGATTCTGGCCTTAAAATGTTTGCTGAAGTTCATGAGTAAAATTCCTCACCCATTCCACTTCCTCCGATCAATTGAAATGCGTCCGCCAACAATGCCAACATACAAATAATGCCAAAGATAACGAGGAAAAACAAGAAGATCTTTACGGAGGTCAGTGAGATCAAGTACGCCTTCTCCGAAGCCGGGAGATCTGAAGAATCAAGTCATGTAAAGCTTTTACATCAAGAAAAGTTTTATTCTTCCTGCATACCTTTCCATTTCGGCCCCACCGGCCCTACTCCCAACTCTTCGTTGCTCACCGTCCATTGCACATGCTTTGCCTTGGGCGAGTCCACCGGTCGCACTGTTGAGCGCATGTTTAACGGATTCCAAAGCCCATGGAAGTTTTTGCAATACTAATTACTGTGTTATTAGTATCTAAAAACAAAATTTCAAAAAAAATGTTTTTGAAGTTTTTACTCGGAAATCAAAGAGTAAAGGCAACGGTATTCGAAATCGAAACGTGAAATTCATGAGTAAAAAAAAGTTTTCCGAGCTGTTTACTCATAAAAACACGGAAATGGGAGCAGAAATAGCGGTTCGTTGAACCGCGCGCTATGACAGTCGTCAATGTAAATGAACTGAAGGGCACATAAGCCATAAAAAGGTGACTAACAAGAGTTTTTGGCCTGCCTAGTACTACTAGTCTTTACACAAAGTTTTTTTTTTTTGCCGCCTAACAGTTTGGCCTTGTATCCCCTGTTACTGCCAACTTCGCACTGTGCAGACCCCGAAGAAGCTGTTTGCACGGTGCGAAAGGTGAAACGAACTTTCTCGTTCTCTCTACAAACGAACGCTACTTTCGGGAGAGAGGAAAATCTATTTAGAGGTATTCGGGATCTTTCCTGGACGCAATGGGAAGCGGTTTTGGCCGCGGGGTCCCGTCCCGCATTCTCTGATCTGGCGGGCCCACACTTGCGGGCAGCTTGAAAAATCACGGAGATTCTGCGGACATGTTATGAGATCAGCCAAAATTTGCTTACAACTGCAAATTCAAACGATGGGCTTGACGATTAGATGTTGCGGATTATGTTTCCAGGTATATAAGTGGCTTGAATAGTTCTGATAGGCTTGTCCAGGCATTTTTTACCATTTTTTAAAAACAAACTCCCATAAATTTGAAAGAAGCGGATGAAATATAGACTTGTGTGCTTACTTAAGTACCAGGGAGTTTTCAATGTAAAATTTCTATCGTACTACGTAGATTACGGGAGGAAAGCATAATTCTAACCAAAAAACCTCGGCTGTCCGCAAAGTGTTAACCCGCAAGTGTCGCGACGCCTCTGATCTTGTGGAAGGACGAATAGACGACATGGCAAAAATGTAAGTCTGTTGGGAAAATAGTCAGCACAATGTCGCTGCGCCGAGCGCGTAGCTGACGTGAAAAGCAATTTGGTTTTACCGCGACACAATTAATTTTTTCGGAGGCAATGCGATTTTCGATGCGACATTGCGTTCATTATTTTCCCGACAGACTGATAAACCAGCGTCCGCGAGTAGACCCTAACAAAAAAAAGTGTTAAATCCCTTACGAGTCGTTGCACGGAAGTGTGACAGTCCATTCACAAGAGTTCACTGTCCCGCTTCCGCTAGATTAAAATTCAAAAAAAGAATCGTACCATGACGATTACCGTCCGATTACCTTTCCCTAGCCCCCGTTCGAGTCCTTTGACCGCTCGATATTTGTGGAACGTGATCTTAATCTTCAAAAAAAGAAAAGACGGGTGTGACTTTACCCTAACCTCTCTCGCGCTGTTACGGAAAATAAACAAAGGGAATATCTCCATAATGTAAAAACGTTATGAATGCGGGCTTTATAATATGGAAATTTTTGCTTGATAATAACATCATTTTATGCAAAGCGGAGGTTTGCTCCGTTGCGAAAGTGTACCCACCCTCTACGAATTGTCGATTTCCAAATTCTGGCAAGCGCTATGCGGATGCTATGTATTTTCATAAAGTGCATAGATATTTTTGCTTTTTCGCACAGCGCATTTTAAACTTTTTTCCACACTTGTCGCCAATGCACAGTGCATTTTCTCTTTTCGCAAACCGCAAAATAGCCGTTTGCACCGTGAAAACTCCTTCCAGCGACGTAATTGAAACTTGCTTGTGTCGCAGCGATATTTCAAATGCACGGTGCGAAAGCCGAAAAGAGTGAAATGCACGGTGCAAAATGGAGAATTTTTTGTGCACAGCGCGGGCGGCGACAAATGTCCAAGAACCTTATGAACTGTTTGAAAGAGAGCGCGACATCATCTATTTGGGCCGGAAATTCGAAAGCTCCACCTTTTTCGACCGGTCGGTATGGGAGATTGAAAATTTGGGACATACAGTGAAATACATAAGATTTGATATTTTACGGTTTGTCAAGATGCCAGAGCTTACGTTAGCTCAAAACAAACCTTTTGAATTGGTAAACACTTGGTCAAAAAGGCATTTGCGAGGTTTTGTGAAAATAGTTCTGAGGGGGTTTTCGCCCTTATACACCAAAATTGGGTGGCTAATTTTTACATATTCTAAATCAGAAAAATTTAATGATTTTTTTGTTATGGTCAACCTGTAACTCCATACCCCATAAAAGTAATTTTCTTGTTAAAACAAAAAATTTATTGAAGAGGACGTAATATTTTCTACAACAAGGTACCCTAGGTCAGACCCCAAAAATCCAAGCTAAAATTGACCTTCTTTTCAGCTTTTAGCACTATTTATACACACTTGACAATAAACTTTTATGATTCACCGAAAACTTCATCCCATTTTTGAAAACTGTCCTATAGATCGAACGACAAAAGCAGCCAAATAATTGGGATCCCCTTTCTATCAAAAAACCTTTGACAATGACTTTTTACGTCATCCCCGCGGCGCAAACCACCCGTGTTGACTCAATGCTACATCAGGCGGAGGTTGGGGGGTTTTGAAATTGAAAACTTTGATCCGGTTACGCGTTATGAATAATACAAACAGAAGGATGATCTTCTGATGATCTCCGAGTTCTTCGGGATCGAAAAACAAATCAAGACTCGGTGAATCATGTGTGCAGGAGGGATTTTACCTCGAGAGGGGAGTTTATTATTAGTCTGTCGGGAAAATAATGTGGATTTGTCGCGTCGAAAATCGCGTCGCCGCTGAGAAAATGAATTGTGTCACGAAAAAATCTAATTCCTTTTCACTTCAGCGACAAGATCGTCTCAGCGACATTTTTCTCATAATTTTCCCGACAGACTGATAAATTTTTGCTATCAGTCGTCGGGATAATAATGTGGATTTTCCGCGACAAAATTCCTTGTCGCAACCGCACATCAAATCTCCAGCCGCGGCTAGCCGTCGCAAAGCCATAATGGGAAATTCCAAGGCGCAACGGATCCACATTATTTTCCCGACAGACTAATATGTGGATTATAGGAGCTAGTATCAGTCTGTCGGGAAAATAATGTCGATCTATTGTGCCAAATTTTCCAGCGTTGGCTGGAAATTTGAGCTGCGACAACAAAAATCCACATTATTTTCCCGACAGACTGATTTCAGAAAGTCTTTGAGGATTATACGGAATTGAATGAAACTCGGCCCAACTTTTGGGTGTATCACTCTGCACGTCGAGCAGAAGCGCTATGCCAAACTTGAGAAAAAATAAAAAAAAAGTGATGACTTTTACTTCCGCAGTAAAATTGTTTTTTCTCTATGAAAGCGTGTTGTTTTACCGTGGGTTTTTTCGGTTACTGAAAGAAGATGTTCTCCTCTTGTTTGACATCTAGCAACTGCAAGTTAAAAATTTTGTATGCGTTTTTTTAAAACACTAATTTCGATTTTCACCTAGTTCTTATCCACCCTAAAAAAAGACCAAAACTAACAGGAGAAGTACTCCAAGTGCGACGGTCAGATTTTGATGAAACTTTCCACAAATTTAGAATAATTTTTTCTAAGATATACGCGAGAATCCTAGCTCGCGCTTTGCAGAAACAACCGAGATTTTTAGATCGAAAGTCGGCCCAAATTTAGGACTTTTTGCCGAATTTCGGCACGAAAATTTTCATGCCTATTTCTACCGTAAAGGATAATGTTTCTACAAAAAATAAAATTTTTCCGCACGAAACTGCCAAAGTTATGGCCAAAAACCGCTTTTCTCTTTGACCGCTCTCCACGTTTAGCGTGCTCTCTCGGCGGCAAAAATCGTTCGATGTCTCGGCGGCGCCCGCAAAGCGCGAGCTAAAACTTTCAGGAATTGATATTTAGTCCGTACCCGACGTGTGCACAAAATTTAAAGAAAATTGGAGCGTCGCACTTGGAGTACTTCCCCTGTAAACCCAAAAAAACCTTACAAAAAGCGCATTTTTCCAATTGAACAGTCCATATTACCAAATTCAAATCTCCCACCGAAAACCGGTCAAAATGATGTAACGACGCGCCGTCAAAACAACGCATTTCAAGCCTTTATGTAAATGCGCTTCGGGCGTTGAACTCGCTCCCGAAACATTAACCCCGATGAATATGTGGTATGATTGAGAGAATAATTGAAGCGTGACCTCGTTTCGCTCTTTTTACCGCTGTTGTTGCGCTGCAAAATCCCTTCCGCCCGAAACATTTCCGCTCCGTGGCTCTCTTATGCAGGAGATTATATTTGCATAAGAGCGATTTTTGCGGCGATTTACGGGGGCATTGTTGTAAATTGCAGAGCGATTTTGCTATTTTGCAGAGTGATTGGTGATTTGGAGCATTGCGGTGGAGAAAAAAATTGTTGTACGAAGGATGTACCTTGTCACGGGTTCAGTGAGAGCACGTGTAATAAAGGTCCCTAATCTAGTTCTACCTAAGATCCCAAGCCCTATGCGAACACAAAGACAGCGACTATACAAACAAGCGACAATACAAAACTATGCCCTAGGCAATAACTTCAATATGACTCACTGTAGTTGACTCCACCAACAAAGAGTTAACCATAGACAAATCAGTAATAGACAGTAGAAAATACGACGGTTTATTGCACACAACACAACCGGGAAAAAACAGACACAATAATTATAATGATTGGGCGATTTCTCTTCTTTTTATACCAATTTGTCGGTCATTCCGTGGGAATATGCAAATTCGCACGCGAAGTCGTAAAAACCTCAAGCTCAAGGTTCAGATTTTCTTCAAATCTTGTACCCACTTCGAGCATAAGCCACGGATCAACTACTGAAAGTTTTAGCTCCCGCCTTGCAGGCGCAGCCGAGATATTGAACGATCGGCACAAGCTACACTGTTGGACCTGATCTAGCGGCAAAAAAACGTACCGTTTAGCATCCGGGAAGTATCAAAAATGTGGCAAAATGCTTCCCTCTTCAAGTAAAAAAACTTCGTTTTGAAGGACGCGCCCTTTTTTCTCACGAAAAGAGCAAACGCGCTTTTGAAATCTGAGTTTTTTCACTTGGAGAGGGAGGTATTTTGCCACATTTTTTGATGCCTCCTGGATGCAAAATGGTACGTTTTTTCACTGAATCTCATTGTAGGAGTCTGGCGTATGTCTTAAAAAATATTCTAAATTTGCAGCAATTCTCATCAAAATCGTCGCACTTGAGGTACTTCCCCTGTAAGGTACAATACGTATCATCAGAGGCCTGTCCCAATTAAAAAGTGAAGCGCGATTTTCCGGGAGAGCATCTTTCTCTCCCTTTTTAATTTGTGATTTGCACTACGCTTTCTAATTGGAACAGGCCCAGTGTTTCAATATATTTTTTTTGCAAATTTATTCATCATTATTTATTACTATATCTTAAATTTCTTTCTCAGAGTACCTGCATGTCATAAATTACAATTTACAGTAGCCAAAGTGAAGTTTTAAATTCACTGTGATTGAACGGAAATCTCGTCCGGACGAATCGCATCCTCAATGCACTTGAGTTCCCGAAAATATTTGGCGCATTTCACGGCCACATACACATACCAGCAATGGGCCATCGCGGAGAGCAGAACGAAGAAAAAACAGACCGAGGCGACCAGCGAGACCACTGAAATCGAATGGATCTTTTTTCCCGTGTGGCCTTCTTACCCGATTTGAACTGCAACGACAGTTGATGCGCCGCATCCGACAATCGCTTGTGCATTTCCAGCTCCAGATCTTGGCCCGAATAGGAGTTGGGATCGAGGGCAGCGGATGCCATGGAGGTGGCGAGCAGAATGAGGAAGGACGTTGTGATAATCTGCAATCAACACCGCTTAAAGAGCTAAAAAATCACTTTGCGATAGACGCGGCTAGGGATTTGGTCTCGAGGCATCTTGCCACGACAAATCCACATTATTTTCCCGAGAGACCGACATTTGTTTGTCGGGAAAATAATGAGCAAAATGTTGCCGATCGTGTTTGAAGTGAAGAAGAACTTGATTTTCACCGCGATACAATTCATTTTCTCGGCGGCGATGCGATTTTCGATGTGACAGACTGCTCATTATTTTCCCGACAGACTGATAAACTACTAGAATGGCTTCAACCGTCACACATTTGACATATTTTTGCAAATACAGTGGCAAATTAATCCAATTAAAGGTAAAGTTTTGCATCCGGAAAACATCAAAAAATGCGGCAAAATGCCTCCCTTCTCTAGGTCAAAAAACTCCGTTTTGAAGGGCGTTTTGAAAACCCCTGGAATCGGAGATTTTCCACTTGAAGAGGGAGGTATTTTGCCACATTTTTGATCCTTCCGGAGGCAAGATGTTGCTTTTTTTGTCACTGGATCAGGTGCGCCACTGTAGATCCCTTCAAAGTTCTCCATCATCCCTCAAAAGCAACTCACACTAAGCACCACGAATGGTTGAATAAATGCCGGCTTTTTCGAATAAACACCGTAAAACAGGGAGACGGAAGCGATGGAGTCCACCACCAAGAAGAGTAGTTCCCAATCCCAGGCCGTCTCCGAATATCCAGCGAGCTTCATCATCAAGTTGGAGACAATAAAAAAGGTCGACACAAACGTGATGATGTATGTCACTGTCTGAAACATATACCATATATTATACAATATTATACGGCTCGAAATTTCCAAATATAATATTTTTGTGTCCAGAAAATGTGTCATGACGACACCCGTTTAAGATGTGTCAGTGATATGAACAACGGCTGTATGCGACCAGAAATACTCCCTGGAGTACATAGAAAAAAATTTAGATTCCAAAACTTTTGCCGAACGGAATTTGGATGACGGATTTTCTGGATTTTCCGGATTTTTCTCCGCTACGAAATCTTTCAACGCCTCAAATTTCGCTGACTTGCTCTAGAGAGTGCTCCTAGCTATTTGCAGCCGTTTTTTGCAGCACAGGGAGATTCTAAACATGTGTCATCGTGACACATTTTCTGGACACACAAAGATTTAGAAGTTCAAGCCAAATACTAGTATTTTCATTAAGTGCGAGGACACCCTTTATTTCCCCGACAAACTTATAGTATTATATATGCAACCAACATGACTTCTCCTACCGTAATATGCAACTTGCCGCAGCAACATCGATAGTTCTCATCCAGCTCCTTTTGCGTCGAGCCCACCGATTCCGTGTCCGACGCCTCGTCCGACATCCCTCACCACAGCCGCATCTTTCGTACAGCTAAAATTAAATGACCGGCGGCGACGCGCGGGACTAATCGCCAAGTGAATTTTAATCGCAACGTCAAACACCGAAGCGCTGGACGTCGGCGGAGGGGTTAACGAGACGGAAGTGATTCACACAGCCATCGTGGGAAACCCTTTACGATTGGTTTACTCTGCAAATTGACGGGCAGCACAATACTGAATTTGTAGTATAAATGAGAGCTATTTGTGCAGCAAGGCAGCGCTCATAGACATGAGAATTCCAGGTCACAAAGGACGAGATTGAGTTGATATCAGTCTCTCGGGGAAATAATGCGGATTTGTCGTAAAAATAGTGGCTAGTCTCGTCACAGTCCCTCATCAAATCTTCAGCCGCTACTGACCAAAACACAGAGAGAAAATGAAGCTCCGAGGCTCCAAAAATCCACATTATTTTTCCGACAGGCTAATATTGAGTTTTCATAAAGTTCATGGATATTTTTCCTCTTTCGCACAGTGCATTTTGCACCTGTTCTCACGCTTGTCGCTGCACAGTGATAACTTCAAAAATAGCCGATTCGTTGGTCGCCATCTTCTGAAGAAAAAAAGCAAGTCTGAGCAACAACGTAATTTACAAAAAAAAATATTTATTGACTTGAAAATCGATAAACTCAAAAAAAGCTTTATCCGCAGTCGACAGGATTCGAAACTGTGCGTGCAGAGCCCAATTGATTTCTAGTCAATCTCCTTAAAGTGCGAGGTTCGCCAACACAATGCCCCAACTGTGATTGTTTTCCCGTCGAGACGCGGGGGGTCAGACTCAATCAGTCAGTCCGTAACCTGAAGAGTTAAAATAAAAAAAACCGAAAAAGGTTGCATATGTCCAAAGACCACCATAAACCGTCAAAAAAAAGTCCGTAATCCCTTCAAAAACCAAACAAACACCTTTTCCACAGCTTTAATCTGACATATTCTACATAATCGCTCAACAAAAACGCAGAAACTCACCTTACACCATCATAGAATTGAACTTCTTCATGAATTTCTCGAATTTCGAGCTTGGAAAAATAAATTATTTCATGGGAAACACTTGACAAATATGTGTCAAGTCTGACCCCCCGCGTCTCGACGGGAAAACAATCACAGTTGGGGCATTGTGTTGGCGAACCTCGCACTTTAACCACTCGGACACGACTGCACACGTCGGGCCAAGATGCGTAACCCCTTTTCAGAGAGAGTTTTGATGTTCCATTTGTCAAAACACAGCTTACTTCTCTTATAACTCCTCTGTTTATCAAGCAGAACTTCCTAGGAGAACGGATTGACACATCATGACCATGCACTTGTTGTGATAAGCTGTTACTGGTTCGGGAGTGAACGTGCAGTCGTGTCCGAGTGGTTAAGGAGATTGACTAGAAATCAATTGGGCTCTGCCCGCACAGGTTCGAATCCTGTCGACTGCGGATCAAAGAGAAGATTTTGGTGGTATTTTTAGTTGATAATAAGGCATAAACTTTTTGTAAAATACGTCTTGGTATGCAAAAATTGTCGTTTTGAATCTAAAAGCTGCAGAATATCAAAAAATATAACAAATATTTTGATAATGAAAAAATCACATCGTCGCCGAGGAAACGGATTATGTCGCGGCAAAATTAAGTTACTTTTCACTTCACCGACGCGATTGGAGCAGCGACAATGTGCTCACTATTTTCCCGACAGAGTGATAGTATATGTAGAAAGGTACGAGTGTACCTTTCAATGTACAAGTGTACCTTTCAATGCGACCAATTTCCCAGCCTCAAAATAACGCCATTTTTGGGGAAAAGAGGGAGCACGTCAAGATTTTTCGCTCAAAGGGTTCTCTATCAATACGAAGGTTGGCATTCTGTTTCCGCTTAGCAAAAGTCCAAAAAAGCCGTCTCAATGACGGTTCTTGGATGAGGTCAGAGGAAAGGCGAAATATTGCGCAAAATGAAGAGATTTTCTATCTCGAAACTGGCTCATTTGATTTTTTTCATTTTAGGCTCAAAAAAATCCGCCTTGTTCCAGACTATGTTTCCAGGAAGCTTCAAATAGGGGCGAGGGAAAATCTTAGAGAAATCCTCGAAATCGCAACATTTTTAGGCGTTGTCTTTTTAGGCTTCAAACAGATAGAGGACGACCGATTTTTTATATGAAATATCTATGTTCAGGGGCCTGTTTCACGAACGCAAAAACTCATATTTCTATTTTCTTTAGAAATATGAGTGAGCGAGGGAACAAAGGAAATGCATGCGAAACGGGAGAGACGGCAGAAAAATGAGGATTTCGCCACTTCTCAATCGGAGTGACTTTTTACGTCCAAAATCAGGGTTGGCGGCAGTGTTTCGGCCATAACTTTTCCCTCCATGGGCGTAGAATCACCCTTCAAAATTTCGAATAATGCTAACTGTTTGGGCTGTCATGTGTGCAAGTTTCGTTGCATTGTTGCAAAAACTCGCTCGAAAATAGCAGTAGTAATGCGCATATTTCTATTTTCTATAAATTTTTTGCAATTCTAGCTTAATTCCCTCATAACATCGCCCAAAATTGTCGGATCGACACCATTTAAAAAAAATCATGTTGACCTGAGTCCGCGGTTTACAGTAATGTAATTTTTTAGGATGTTTGGCGATCTACGGCACGAACAAATTTATAGTAGTGCAGCAGTTTGCAACATTTTTCCATTTTTTCAGAATAAAAATAGGTTTTTGTTCCAAAAAATAAAATATTAGTATAAAATTTTATATAATTGTAAAGAAAATTGTCTTGGCTACCTCATTTTTTTAGAGGGGCGTCTATATCTCACCAACTGATAAAGTTATGGGTGATTTAGTCCAGCCGCATCCCATTTTTTACCGTAAAATTTCTCTCTTCTTTTGATTTGAGGGCTCTTTCGAAAGATTTTTTGTGATGAAAATCGAGGGATTGTCAAAGTAAATCAGTTATTACTCAGCCAAAAAATGACTTACAGTTGGCCCTCTAAAAATGATTTGTAGAGAATTAAATTGTCTATCGACTGACATAAATTAGAATTTTTTACTGTTTCAATTAACGCGAAAAAAGGCCTTTTAGCGTTTTAAAGTAGAAGAATTCAACACTACAACGCCTATGGTAACTTTGTCATTGGCGGTAGAGCAAAAATTTTTATAGATCTACATAGCCCGAAGTCTCAGCATTATTTGAATTTTTGGAGGGTGCTTGTAGGCCCAAGTAGAGGAAAGTTATGGCTCAAATACTACCGCAAACCCGTAATTTTGGACGTAAAAAGTCACTCCGATTGAGAATTGGCGTAATCCTCATTTTCCTGCCGTCTCTCCCGTTTCGCATGCATTTCCTCTGTTCCCTCGCTCACTCATATTTCTATTTTCTTTATTTTGCGTTCGTGAAACAGGCCCCAGGTTAAGCAAGAGTCCGGATTCAAATTTATGTATGCAATAACCCTATTCTACCCCATATTCATGGTGTAATCAGGTTATCTTTGGGCAAAAAATTATTCTTTTGCTGAAACAGAATGCCAAGAATTTTCCATTGCTTGAGCGCTTTTGTTTTATGTTTTCTTGACGTGGGGAGGCATTTGGAAGGATTCGAAATGTCTCCCGCAGTGTTTTTGAAGAAATAATAATTATGTTTATTAGAACCACCGCAATGTGATCAAGCTCAATATAAAAGAAGGGCTTAGAAAATAATTTAAAAGTCATTACAGTTCTTAAAAACAAGTTGCAAAGTGACGAAAAAGACAATTTGAAGGTAAAAATATGGGAAAAAACATTCGAAAATGAGATCAATTTCAATTTTTTTTGACCAGGATTTTTCTAATTTCAAAATTAAAATTGGAAATTGCAATTAATTAATGAAAAAAATAGAGAACTGTGTATCTAAAAAGAAGATTCAATATTACGAAAAATAAAATTTAAAATTTTCAAAAAACAAAAAAATATGTACAAAATATTTCAAAAAAACAGAAAAATATCGAAAATTCTGAGGTTTCAAGCGAAAGCAAAGTAATGTTGCTGCATTTCGTACAGCTTGTTGATGGGCGACGAGGAATATTGTTCATTGGGGTAGGGGATTGGCTGGGGTGGGGGAAGTGCCGCGGGCATTTCGGAGGAGTCGCATCGAGCAATGGAGCGGACACTCAGATGGTCCGAAAAGGATTCGGTATCGGAGTCTGAAAAAAAAATTTTTTAACATTTTGCTTTCAAAAAAATTTTTTTTTTAACTTTGCTTTCCAAAAAAAGTTTTTTTTGGCAATTTTCCTTTTTAAAATTTTTCACTTTGCATTCCAAATAATTTTTTTAGCAAATTTGGTTTTCAAAACAATTTTTTTTGGCAATTGCTTTCAAATTTTTTTTCACTTTGCATTCAAAAAAATCTTTCTTTAACTTTGCTTTCCAAACAAAATTTTTTTGGCAATTTTGCTTTAAAAAACGTTTTTTCAGTAATTGCACCTTTCTAAATTTTTTTTGGCAATTTCGCTTTTCAAAACAATTTTTTGCACCGTGCAGTCAAAAAATTTTTCACTTAGCACTCCAAATAATTTTTTAGCAATTTTGCTTTTCAACACAATTTTTTGGCGCTTTTGCTTATCAACATTTTTTGCACCGTGCAGTCAAAAAATTTTGGACAGTGCGAAAAAAAATGTTATTTTTCTATGCACCGTGCAGTTTCCTTTGCAAAAAACTTTGCTTTTTTTATAAGCATTTTTTTCTTATTTTACTTTTTTACAATTTTTTTTCTATTTAAAAAAAAAATTTCGTTATGTATACACCACTTTTTTTGCAGCCGGAAGGCTCCAGAAAACCCTTACCATAGTCGTCCTCACTTTTGATGGATCCCATGCTCTTCAATTCCTCCTCCCCGACGACACTTTTGGCCTCGGAGTCGGTGGAAGTGACAGCACTTCCCACCGAATTGGCGCCCTTTTGCCCTTCCTTTTTGCGCTGGTCCTTTTTCATTTTGGCGCGTTGGTTCTGGAACCAGACCTGCACCACGCGAACACTCAGTCCGGTCTCTTTGGCGAGCTGTTCGCGGACCTGAAAAATGAAAATGAAAAAAATCGAAAGAAATGACATAAAATCACAAAAAATTGCAAGTTCTCAAAGCTCGACAGCTTGATTTTTCTGAAATTTGGCAAAAATGCTTTGCATAGAAGACAGTTAAATCGCTGAAAATTTCAGCTAACCATTTTTAGTGGCGGCCGAAATATTCAAAATAACAGAAAATTGCAAAAAAATTGCAATTTCTCAAAGCTGGATAGCTTGATTTTTTTGAAATTTGGCAAAAATGCTTTGCATAGAAGACAGTTAAATCACTGAAAATTTCAGCTAACCATCTTCAGTGGCGGCCGAGATATTCAAAACTTTTTGCAAGAGGCAATGGAAAATGAGGAGACAAAAAAAGTTTGCTTTTTTTGGCTCTTTTTTATTCTAAAAGTCTCGATAACTTCTTTACGCCAAAACTGCAATATTTTTTCCGTGACTCACCTTCCTGGTCGGCTTCGGCCCCTTTTCGAAGGCGTACTTGAAAGCCTTTCGTTGAACCGCATTCAGAATGGTTCTTGGCCGTTTTGGTTGCTTCTTGTCGCGACTGCTGCCGCATGAGTAGTTGGGTTCCATTGAGATCGTCGGCATGTATCCGTTTTCTAAAATACGAAGTTTAATTTTGAAAAAAAAATAAAAAAAAATTGATTTTTTGAAATTTCGAAAAAAAATTTATTACAAAAATAAAAAAATATATTTTCAATAATTATTTTTTTTATTTTTTTTTTTTTGAAAATCGAAAAACTTTTTATTAAAAGATTAAAAAAATGTTTTATAATTTATTTTTCCATTTTTTTAAATTGTTTTTTATGAAATTGTAAATTTTTTTATAAAAAAAAAATTAAAAAAAATTGAAAAAAATTTTGAAAAATTTTTTATTACAAAAATAAAAAAAATTACTTTTTTTATTATTTATTTATTTTTTTATTTTTTTTTTTTCTTTTTTTTTGAAAATCGAAATTTTTTTTTAAATAAAAAAGTTTTTATAATTTTTTTTTAATTCAAAAATTTTTATAAAAAAATAAAAAAAAATCGAAAAAATCGCCTAAAAAATCCCTACCACATGAATTTTGCGGCCTCATAATGACATTGTAATCCTCCGAGCAGATGATCTGCCCATCCACGCAATGATATCGATCGCCCTTCTTCAATTGCTGCCCACAACAATAACATTGGAAACAGTTGATGTGGAAGGCCAGGTTCAGCGTCCGATAGACCATGTCGGTCGATTTGAGGGCCACTTGGCAACGAGCGCATTTTGGGACGAACATCCTGAAAGTGGAATTTTTTGAATTTGAAAAAAAAATTTTTTTTTTCGACGAAAAAATCGGCAAGTATATATATGGAACTTAATGAAAATAAAAATTAGAATTATTAGACGTATTTTTTTATTTATTTTTTTTTTTTTTTTTTTCAAAAATTGCTAATTTTTCATTTCCTCTCTCCACAAAGATCGTTGAATATCTCGGCTGTTACTGCAAAGCAAATTAAAAATTCTCACGAATAAAAGAGTGGACAAAACACAAAATGTGGGCCAAATTTTCCGCTAATCGCAGCTTTCTATTTTTAGAAATATTATTTTTTTGAAAAAAGATGACTTTTCGGAATTTTCAAATTTTTTTCATTAAAAAATTGATCAAAAATTTTTTTCGGTGGATAAAAATGTATGAATATGAAAAAATTTAGGACAGACATAAAAAACCCGTATTTTAAAAATCATTTTTATTTTAAAAAATCCCGTTTTCCAACTTTTTTCGCATATTTTGTTAAAAAAATCGTTCAAAAGATTTTTTTGATAAATATAAAGACTTTATATGCAAAAATAATTATTATGGAAGTTCCTTGTGTTTTAAAAATCCATTTTTATTTTCAAAAAATATTGTTTTCCATCTTTTTTTTCATATTTCATTCAAAAAATCGGTCAAAAGATTTTTTTGAAAAAGAGTACTTCGTATTTTAAAAAATAATTTTTATTTTCGAAAAAACCCCGTTTTCCATCTTTTTTACCATTAAAAAATCGGTCAAAAAAATTTTTTCGATTAACAAAAAAATTTAATACGCAAAAGTACTGCTTTTGAGTAATTTCGTATTTTAAAAATCATTTCTACCTTCAAAAAATCCCATTTTTCCATTATTTTTCCCATTAAAAAACGCTCAAAAAAATTTTTTTGATAAGTAAAAATGTATTAAAGTGCGAGGTTCGCCAACACTATGCCCCAACTGTGATTGTTTTCCCGTCGAGACGCGGGGGGTCAGACTTGACACATATTTGTCAAGTGTTTCTCATGAAAAAATTTCTTTTTCCGAGTTCGAAATTCGAGCGAATCAAGAGGAAGGTCAATTTTATCGATGGTGTAAGGAGTAATTAATTAATTATTTACATGAACCGCATCCACTTTAAAGTACAAGCTAGGAAGACTACAGTTATTTGATTCAAATTCCTTTAAATTAATCTTTGTTTCCATTCCTCAAGTAATCACTTGACAAAAGTTCAATTATTCAATTTATTTATTTTATTTATTTACAATCGCGAAAATTATCAATAGTATTGGGTAAGCTGTAATATAATGGCTGATATGGTTTGATGCCCAGGTGATGGTTTCGATGATGGATTCGGCCCTTCGTAGCATCTTCGCGAAGTATTTGCTCACTGGTTCCCGGTTGAATATCGTGAGGATCGTAAAAACGCATTCAGGTCATACCTGAAATTGAACAATGATTTAGAAGACAACTTAAAATTATGACACAAAAATCTGCAAAAAGGTTATCAACAGCTGACGCACCCTAGCTGACCAGTTATTCATCACAAAGCATTTTTACGCTCTTGTCTATATGTAGAAAATTCAGTTCTCAATGCCTACTACAACAAGTCAACAGCCAACTAAAACACCTAAAATTAAAAAAAAAAAAACTTCAAAAGCTTACCTTGCGTCATTTGGATTGACCTGGCTTGATGATCAGCTTTTAGGTGATGGATTCGGCTGCTCGAAGTATACATGGTGTCGTAGCACACATCTGGAGGAAGTATTTGCCCACTGGTTCCAACATTGTGTAGAAGGTTGCGACTTCGTAAACACGCATTCGGGGCATACCTGAAATTCGTGCTCACTTGAAGAATATAACTCAAAAGTCTTCCAAAACCACATAAACACATTTGCCAAAGCTTGACGCTGACCTATTCTACATAATAACTCAACAAAAACGCAAGAACTCACCTTACACCATCGATAAAATTGACCTTCCTCTTGATTCGCTCGAATTTCGAGCTCGGAAAAAGAAATTTTTTCATGAGAAACACTTGACAAATATGTGTCAAGTCTGACCCCCCGCGTCTCGACGGGAAAACAATCACAGTTGGGGCATAGTGTTGGCGAACCTCGCACTTTAACATGTGAAAATTATGGCTGACTACCGTATTTTAAAAATCATTTTTAACTTTAAAAAAACCCATTTTTTTATCATTTTTCCCATTAAAAATCGCTCAAAAAATTTTTTTGATGATTAAAAATGAACTACTCAACTTTAACTCTCGTATTTTAAAAATCATTTTTATTTTCAAAAAATCTCGTTTTTCCATCTTTTTTTATCATAAAAAATGGCTCAAAAAATTGATAATTAAAAATGTATGACTCGACGAGCAATTTCGTATTTTAAAAATTATTTCTATCTTCAAAAAATCCCATTTTTCCATCATTTTTCCCATTAAAAATCCTCGTAGTTTAAAAATCCATTTTTATTTTCAATTGATAAATATTTATAAGGATTTAATACGCAAAAACAATTCGCAAGAGAGTACTTCGTATTTTAAAAAATAATTTTTATTTTCGAAAAAACCCCGTTTTCCATCTTTTTTTCCATTAAAAAATCCGTCACAAAAAAATTTTCGATAAGCAAAAAAGAATTAATATGCAAAAGTACTGCTTTTGAACAATTTCATGATTAAAAATGAACTACTAAACTTTAACATTCGTATTTTAAAAATCGTTTTTAATTTCAAAAAATCTCGTTTTCTATCTTTTTTTACATATATCCATCTTATACACACATATCTTCCCCATTCCTCTCAAGACGCTTCCTTTTTTCGATGCATCCCCCTCCACTCTTCGGCCTACGGTACAAATGCCCTGAGGGCCGGATGCGCAAACAAATTTCGGCTTTTCTCATAAACCGCCGCATTTATGGCACGATGAGTAAACAAATACCGTAGCCGCGAAGCAAAGTAAGCGTGTTTGTTCGGTTGTAAATTAAAGATTGCCAAACAGGAAGCCATAAATCGGCGAGATTCGCATTGTTATGCTGATACGGCAATAAAGTGTGAAGAGGATAGATTGGGAATTAAAAAATGGAAATAGTTTTTGTTATTGGTCGGGGTTATTACAAACTTTATTGGCCCCTTGCACTTGGTGTATTTTAATTTCACTTTTTTTGTGAATAATGAAGCTGTAAGACTCCAAATCTTACTGTGAACGAAAAAATAGAGAGACGGGATCAAATCAAAATTGGAGAAAATCAAAGTGTTAACACATTGGAGACATTTTATACGATGAAACGTGTTGCAAGGTCAAAGATTCATAAAGTTGTAATTAAAAGTTAAATGGCGATCAATTATTGGGCGAATAAAAGAGTAATGCAACAAATTTGATCCGAGAACAGGAAGAGGGACATTTTATACGGTGAAAAGTGTTTAATGGAAAATCATTTTTTGGGATGTTTTTTAATTTTAAGGCTTTGGATTTTGATGAAACTCTTGAATTTTGGTAGGAAAAAATATTTTTTTTTTGTAAAAATGTGTTACTCTACATTTTGTTTTTATCGCCATTTTTTCATTATGAAAATTTGAAAAAGATTGTTTTTTTTTGAGATTTTTCAATATAAAAATCTCAGTGATTTAAGCCAGGTGCCAACTAAAAAGCTTCGATATGCCTTGGAAATTTTTTAAATCTATTTTGGCCAATACTTTCAAAAAAATTATTATATTTAAAATTTTTTTTTTTTTTTTTTTTTTTAACACCATCCCTAATTTCCCAACTTTCCATCCCTCTCCTTGGCCCAACAATTCGTCCCCGCGTCCTCAGCGATCCCCCTTCAATTCCTTCCTTATTTGTCAGCAGCATTATTTGGCCCGCTCTTTTCGCGCTCTTGAGTGGAGGTGTCAAGGCCGGGGCGACATATCCGGACTTGATTGATCTTGAGCATGACAAGACGCCAATTTCACGCGCTTGAACACTTGACAATCCCGAGAGTGAGGATTAGCGGTCAGCGAGCGGAAGGATAATATTGTAGGATTGCGCAATGGGGTCAAAATCGAGATTTTTTGATTTTTGACCTGACAGTGGAGTAAAAATTTATTTTTCTGGAAAAATCAAAAAAATGGAAGGTCAAAAGCGCATTTTTTACTCGCATTTTTCAAAAATTTTTTATTATTTTGCAAAAAAATGCAAAATTTTGCAAAAATGTAAAGTTACATACAGATGTAAACCCTCCTAAAATTTGTAAAATTACATTTTCCAACTGTTTCTAACATTTCCCCCACCTTTTTTCCCCTATTTTTCCTTTTATTTCCCCAAATTAATCCTAAAAAATGCATCTGCACAGTGCGAAAAATTTTTTTCGCCGCACAGTGCAATCGAACTCACTTTTTTCTTCGCACCGTGCGAAATATGTCGCTTTTGATTTTCCCGCCCAAACTGAACGAAAACGAAAGAGAATTCGGAGTGTGCAGTCGTGTCCGAGTGGTTAAGGAGATTGACTAGAAATCAATTGGGCTCTGCCCGCACAGGTTCGAATCCTGTCGACTGCGGATGAATGTTTTGATATTTTCGTGGTATTCATAGTAAACAATAAGGTTAAAACTTTTTGTAAAATACATATTTGCACCTGAACGCCTCTTTTTTGAACCTAAACTTGTCGAAATTTGCAAAAAATCGTTGGTTTTTGAAAAAAATCCTATTTTTTTGTTAAAAATTCTGTTTTTATCCTCGAAGAACAGACTAAATCTCCTTAACGAATTCGTAATTATGTATCAAATATTCTCTCCCTCACTTCCATAAACAGTCCCGACAAAATTCCACAGTAAAACTAATCGAAAATGGCTCGAGACCCGGATCAACTCCAACATTTTTCCGTATGGCCCAAAACCCCATTGTCCCCGCTCCACAAACATATTGTTGCTACAGGAAAAAGTCCTTTATCTCGCGGCGGATTAGGTGCGCATAATCTGGCGGGATTAGAGCAGGGATTTGCCTGCGGGGGGAACACGTGAAAGAATGGGGGTTTCGCAAAAAAAAAGTGTAGGAGAAAGAGGGGAGCGGAAGGAACGGATTAGACTCTTCACTGAGCTTTGGCTCTCTTTGTACAGTCATCCACACAGTAGTCTTGGTCTTGGAGGGGATAAGCGGGGAATTTGGGGATTTTCGGAGAGAAATTCTGGAATCTTGGGAGAAATGGGGAGGGGAAAAAGGAAAATGAAATTTCACAAAACCGGAAAGACATATTAGAAAGCAATGTATGGTAGTTGACAGGTAATGGAATGCTCTGTAAAACAAGCCAAAAATACGTTTTTTATAGCGAATCGTATTTTAGAAAAATCACTTTTTTCCAAAGGATCGGAAAATTGAGTCAAATTTTTGTTTGGCCAAAAACAAAAGTTGTGGCCAACAGAATCTCAAGTCTTGATGGCATAATAAAAAACACTTAGTATGCTACAGATTGGACTATAAAAAGTACTTCAGTGGCCTGCCGTATTTTACCTATAACCACTTCTTTCCGATAACCATGAAACCCCGAAAAATCAGATTTATCTATATTTTTTGGCCAAAAACGAAATTTCTGGCCATGCAGTAACTAAATTGTTTTATTCTATGCACAACACATACTGTCAGCTTTAATTCAAGCCCAAGCCCATCATTCCAGCCCAGCTGTAACTTTAGTTACAACCAGAGATTGCCACGGCTCCGGAGCCGGCTCTTGGCTCCGGCTCGGAGCGGCTCCGGCTCCGAGCCGGGAGCCAGAGCCGGAGCCGGTAATTTTGGGTACGGCTCCGGCTCCCGAGCCCAAAGTCGGAGCCAGGCTTCTCAGCGTTCAAAAAGTAAAAATTCCATAATCTTGTTAAACCAAATTGCTTAAAAAATACTGGTAAAGATGTGATGCATACTGCAAAAACGTTGGGTGTGTGATCTCTGGCACTAATAACTTTTTATTTGGAAAAATATTTTTAAAATTTTTTTGAATGGGAGCCGGGATTCGGAGCCGAAGACCTTTTTAAATTTTTCATGGGAGCCGGGAGCCGGAGCCGGAGCTGCAAATTTGGCCTCGGCTCCGGCTCTGGGAGCTAAGAGCCGGAGCCGGAGCCAAAATTTTGACCGTGGCAATCTCTGGTTACAACCATCTTTTCCAAGTCATCAAGAAGAAAAAGTCCCCCTCAAAAAACGAGAAAAATCCCAATCCTCTACAGTAACCCCACCCGCTAACCGCAACTTGGCGCATCCGCAGACGCTGTTGACCTTATCTCAAACCTCTTTACCGACAATATTTCCCCCGGAGGGACGCAATTTTCGCTGCTTCTTTTCTCTTTTTTCTTTTGTGATCCCAATCTCAAGGCGCGATTAATTAGCGGCTCGAATCTGGCCGAGTGTTCGGGATGAGAGGCACGCAATCTTGCCACACTTTTCGATTATTCCCCGGCGCGTTTGACCTTGAAATCGGGGAGAGAATTGAAAATATTTTTGGGATTTTTTGGATTTTTTTTTTGATATTGTAGTAATAAATGGGTCAAAAATAAGGTCCAATCGATTTCAATCGATATGAAATTAGATCCAATCAAAGAATAGGCCTCTGAAACACAACTTACATGTAGTAGTCATCCTTGCAATACATCTTGTCCGCCTTGAAATAGCAGCTATTACAGTCGGCCATTGCTCTTCCGCAAGCGCAGCACCGCAGGCAAAACTCGTGATACACGTTGTCCAGCACACACAAAAGGTATCTGAAACCAAACATTTTTATTTTTTGAAAATTTTTTTTTATTATCAAGGATAATATCGGAAAAATTTTTTGGTGTATAGTGCAATATAAATTTAGTAGGATGGACTCAAAACAACTCTGCAAACATAGTTTTACACTTTTTGAACGCTTTTTGACACCGGAAATGGAGGTATTATAGGAAGAAAATTATAAAAAATCTGCACGGTGCAGCGAAAAAATCTATTTTTTAGACCGCACGGTGCGGTGAAAAAAGTTTATTAGACTGCACAGTGCAAACGGAAGAAAATTTTTAGACTGCACGGTGCAACCAGAAGAAATTTTAATTTTTTTAATGCACTGTGCAATGGAAAAGTCAATTATGAGACCGCACAGTGCAGTGAAAAAACTTTGTTAGATTGCACAGTGCGACCAAAAAAAAAATTTTGAGACTGCACTGTGCAGTAAAAAAGGTCTGTTAGACCGCACAGTGCAATCGGAAAAAAAAAAGTTTTTTGACTGCACAGTGCAAAGAAACAGTTTTATTAGACTGCACAGTGCAGTAGAAGTGAATTCTTAGACCGCACAGTGCAGTCGACAGAAATTTATTCGACTGCACAGTGCAGTGAAAAACGTCCGTTAAACTGCACTGTGCAGTAAAAAAAGGTCTGTTAGACCGCACAGTGCAGTCGGAAAAAAAGTTTTTTGACTGCACAGTGCAAAGAAACAATTTTATTAGACCGCACAGTGCAGGAGAAGTGGATTTTTAGACTGCACAGTGCAGTGGAAGTGAATTCTTAGACTGCACAGTGCAGTCGGAAAAAACTTTTTTTGACTGCACAGTGCAGGCGGAAAAAACTTTTTTTGACTGCCCAGTGCAAGGAAACAATTTTATAAGGCCGCACAGTGCAGTTGAAACGAATTTTTTGGACCGCACAGTGCAGCAAAACAAGTTTCTTAGACCGCACAGTGCAGTCGGAAGAAAAAACAAATCCCACTGTGCGGTGGGATTTCCGACCAAATGCCATGCTTTAACTTGGGAACAAGGTGCTTTGGAGGCCTAATCGGCTAGTCAAGAAATCCGAGGATATCGAATATTCCATCTCCCCGCTTTCTCGGGACAAAGGTGAGTAGGGGGAGGGGAGATAATCCCCGGGAACGCGGCCCCTCGCGCAGCGGCTAATCCACCTCCGCGTAGATGCCGGAGGGCTTATCAGGAAACGTTCGTGTTTTGGTTTGCTTGAAATTTAGGCTGGACTCGAGAAATTGGTGGAATTTTGAGCTTTTTTTTGGGAAAAATTGTATTTTGTGAGCGCTAAAAACCTCAAACTTAAACAAAATTGAAAAAAATGCTTGAAAATTCGATTTTTTTCAAGTTTCAAGACTATGACAACTTGGGATACTTTTTGATACTTTTGGATACTTTTTGATAACTTTTGATACTTTTTGCAAAATTTAAAAAAGAAATTGTTTTTTGACCTCTAGAATCGTCAAAACGATAAAAATTTTGTAAAATACGACGGAGTTTCAATATCTTCAAACAAAAAGTTCAAAAAATTTCACTCAAAATTCCCAATAAAGTCCTTGACAAAAACACAAAAATAGGCTCAAACACTCTCCGAACGCACCTAGTATCGCATTTCCGGTGCTCGAGCAGCGAAAGCGGCTTAGAATCGATTGAAAACGCCGCATGGGATCGGCACCTTATTTTTAGACGCCGCTGATAAGCCCGCACTGCTCAAGGCGCTCTCGCGGAGACGGTAGGACAAAGGGAATCTTGTTTGTTTACATTTTAGGGATATCCCAATGTAGTTTCTAGTCTGCTACCGCCAGAAAAAACTCGAGTTTTTGCGGGCGGATCATTTTAGAGATAGTGGAGGTTCATTGGTTGGGCAAAAGTTTTAATTCTTTGATAATCTCCGGAAATCGCTTTGAAGATTGCGGTTAAGCGAAGAATTTGAGAGTTCTGAACGCACGAATGTAGTTTTCCAGAAAGATAGTATACCAGTTTACCGGAAAAACGACATTTTATACGAAAGACTCCGGGATTTCCAGAAGTCATCGGTTTTTGAAAAAACTCGGTAAATTACAGTGACCCAAAAGGAAAAATTTATTTTTTTACCGACCAAACGGATATATAGAGGCTATCGTAGTATTACTGAAAGTTTCCTAGAGCAACTCTAATATTTTCAACCTTTAAAAGTCATTTTCTTGGGACTACCCCATCTCTTAGGATGGATAATATAATTGATGTTTAGAGAAGGAGAAAATGATTATCTTGGCTCGGGAGTGACAAAATACATGACAATTTGACATGAAGTATCTAGGGCTATCTTGGTTATTGATCAGATTTTGTCTGCTTTCTTGTCAGTCAAGGTTTTCAAAAACTCTGCATCCATTAGGGATGGGTAATATAATTGATGTGCAGAGGCTGAGTGACGCTTTCTGTTAACAAACTATAAGTATTTACGGAAGGTCTAGGCATTGTAGCTGCTATGTATATGCCTTATTACATGCCAGTATCTAGAAAATTTGCTTTTATGGCAGATTTTTTGAAAACTGCTCGTCTTTCGACATGGGTAATATAATTGATCTCCAGGGCCTGAGTAAAGCTCTCTGTTTACAAGCTGTAAATCTTTATGGAAGCCCTAGCGCTGTAGCTGCTACGTTTATGCCTTATCCGTTGTCAGTGTCCAGAAAATTTACTTTTATGACCGATTTTTTGAGACCGGTTCGTCTTTCGACATGGGTAACATAACTGATGCCATAGGCTACAAAATTTCTTGCTTCATGTTGATAACAAATTAAATATAGTTAAGTTGAGTTCCTTCTATCACATACTAAAAGGATCTCCGATCACTCTCTTCCACTTCCCATTTGCGGAACGTTTTCCGAAAATTTTGCAATCTCAAACCTTTCCGATAAGAAAGATGTTCCAAGATGTGGAAAAAACGGCCGTTTACAGCCCCACTCACCTGTCGTTGATGTCGAATCCGCAACCGCTGCAGGTCTTGTAGAGCATTCGGTCTGAAAGAGCGCAAAAATTACCCGAACCAAACAATCGCGAGGCCAAAAAAATTGAGGGAGCGGCCCGGGCGAAAAAACGGGGGGCTTATCACCGGCGCCCACACTTCCAGCGCCACTATCTCGTTTCCCTCCGCGACTACTGCCGACAGTGTTATCGGCCGAGAGGGGTGAGGCCCGCCGGCGAGGGAAACATTCGAAAACTTGGGAAACGGAATACCAAAAAATACCCAAAATACAGTAGGATTTTTTGAGATTTTTTGGGCGTGCGAGTTTGAGATGAAATTTTAAGGAGTTTAGATGAGTCATTTTGTCATGAGAAATGTTTATTTTTATCAAAAAAAGAATATTTTTCATGAAAAAATCAAAAAATTTTTTTTTACAATTTTGGTCACTACTCAGTAGTAAAGCAATGGATTGACTTGAAATTTGGTACATTTGAAAAACACAGTTGCCGTAGACATTGGTAGAAATTTCAAAGCGCGGTATACAAAAATCTTTGAGATATGGAGTTTTGAAAATCAAAAAATCTCAAAAATTTTCTCTGCTAAAAATGAAATTTTTTGGATAAATCATGCGATAAATAGGCCAGATATTAATTTTAGAGCGTTTTTTCACCTATTTTTAATCGATTAAACACCCAAATAAAGCGATTATAACACCGAAATCCCTTGGAATTCCCCTCCATTTTACACTCAATGTCAACACAAACATCGAAGAATTCCTTTGGCAACATTCTGAAAACTCCGATCTTTACAGCGCGCATTCTCACGCGAGCCGTGTTGGCCATACGGTGAACCTTTTGTGCACCATGCAAATGCTAATGTTTCGTACAAAAAAAAGGCGAAAAGTTTGATGGGAACTTGAGAAACATTAAGATTGAGATTTTTTAAGGGATTTTTGAGGTTTTTAGCTCACGCTTTGCAGTAATTTTACGAGCTTTTTTGAATCAAAAAATCCTAAAAATTCAAATTTTTAATCGATTTCTAAAATGAAAAGAAAATTTCCAGCAAAAAAATCAATTTTTTCCAATTAGTAGACTTTCATAAAGTGCATGGACATTTTTTCCTCTTTTGCACAGTGCATTTTGAACCTTTTCCCACGCTTGTCGCGTACGCAGTGCATTTTCCTTTTTTCGCACAGTGCAAAACCCCAAAAAAACTGATTGCACTGTGCAATTCCGAGCGACAACAGTAAATGTGGCATGCACCGTGCAAAAAGGGGCGAAATGCACTGTGCGCCGCGAAAAAAGTTCTCTTCCCTTTCGCACAGTGCATTTCGAACGTTTTTCCCACGCTTGTCGCGAACGCACTGTGCATTTTCCGTTTTTTGCACAGTGCATTTTGAACTTTTCCCACGCTTGTCGCGAACGCACTGTGCATTTTCCGTTTTTTGCACAGTGCATTTTGAACTTTTCCCACGCTTGTCGCGAACGCACTGTGCATTTTCCGTTTTTTGCACAGTGCATTTCGAACATTTTTCCCACGCTTGTCGCGAACGCACTGTGCATTTTCTGCTTTTTGCACAGTGCATTCTGAACTTTTCCCACGCTTGTCGCCAACGCACAGTGCATTTTGAACTTTCTTCCCACGCTTGTCGCGAACGCACAGTGCATTTTCTGCTTTTTGCACAGTGCATTTTGAACTTTTCCCACGCTTGTCGCGAACGCACAGTGCATTTCGAACATTTTTCCCACGCTTGTCGCTAACGCACTGTGCATTTTCTGCTTTTCGCACAGTGCATTTTGAACTTTTCCCCCGCTTGTCGCGAACGCACAGTGCATTTCCGCTTTTCGCACAGTGCAAACCTCATGAAAAGCCGTTTGCACAGTGCAATTTTTTGGCGCAGCGACGTAGTTGGGACTTTCCTGTGTCGCAGCGATATTTCGGTGCACAGTGCGAAAACCAAAAAAGGTGGAATGCACGGTGCGAAAACTGGGAGTTTCTGTGCACGGTGCGGGCCGCGACAAATGTTTATGCACTTTATGAAAATACCTGTCGGGAAAATAATGTGGATTCGGCTATGTGCTGTCGGGAAAATAATGCGGATTCGGCTATGTGCTGCCGGGAAAATAATGTGGATTGGCCCATGTTCTGTCGGGAAAATAATGCGGATCCGCCTATGTTTTGTCGGGAAAATAATGTGGACTCGCCTATATTCTATCGGGAAAATAATTTGGAAACGCCTATGGGCTGTCGGAAAAATAATGTGGATTCGGCAATGGGCAGTCGGGAAAATAATGTGGACTAGCCTATATTGAATATCTCGGCTCTGCAACAAAATCGTCTACTAAAATTTTGTCCCATTACGTTACAACCCATGCACAACACCCGTGCCAAATTTCAAGCAAATTGGCCCATCCCTCTCCGAGAAAATCGACTTTTAACCAAAAATTATGATTTTTCCCCACTAAAATTCATTTTTTCGCAAATCTGATATGCACTCGTCAAAGCCCGGCAAACCGATTCCTTGCCCTCTGAAATTCGAACTTTTACGCAACGCAAACGGAATTAAAAATTTGCATTTTTTTATGTTGTCCTCATTAAAACGAATGGGCCGGATTGCGGGAAGTCAGGCCGAGGGACCTAATCAATTCCCATAAAAAGCTCGTTTTGTCTACAATTGCACAATGTGTAAATGTAAAAAACGTGTTTCGCGAGACATAAATAAAGACCAAAAAATTGTTTCGGAAATTTGGAAGGCCTGGAAAGCAAAAAATTGAGATTTTTTGAAAAGCAAGGGCTAAAAATTTCATCTGAGAATTTTTGGTCGCTACTCAAAAAGTTTTCAGTATTTTGAAGATACGGTATATACGATAAAAAGAGGAATCTTTGGCGTCTCTAACGATAGTAACATGCCTTCATAATCTTTAGTACTGATGAAGATATAGGCCAAACATTAAGACCTTGTTCTAGACAAAAAAGTTTGAAAAAATCAAAAAATTCTGCAAAAAAATCATAATTTTTAAAACAGCTGTGGATTCATAAATGCACTACAAGGCTCAGAAATTAACTCTAGAGTAATAAATCATTGATCTTTGACGATTTTCAGCAAGAAAAAATGAGATTTTTCGAATATACCCCGTTTTTTGATGACTTTTTCAAAAATTACGCAGTAAATTGAAAATAACAGGGTCTAAAAACTAATTTATATGATTGTTATACTGCCAGCTTCTCTGAGATTGCATAACGAACAAAATGACCCACAATATTTTACCTTACGACATCAAAAAACCCCCCAAAACTTACCGTCAATGGCGGCTTCTGCGCCAATCTTCTCCTGAAAGCCGAGACCCATCTCCGGAGGCGCGGCCAGTCCGAACAGCGGATCCTCTTCCTGCATCTTCACGACTAAACCAAATAGCCCGCTCCCCGGCCCATGTCGCTACCGTATCGCCACGGCGGGCGGGTGGGCGGAGCCTCGCGGCAGATGTGGCCCGCGGCCAGATAATCGCGACGTAATAAACGAGTGCAATAAAACCGCCTCTGCGCGCGAAGAGAGGGCGATAATTGGAGGCAAGAACAGGGGGATTACCGGCGCCGCAGCTCATGTCGGAATGGATAAGGTAAACATCGGGGATTTGGAGGTGAAAACCAGGTAAATTAATGTCAGAAATCATGACTTTGTGGAAATAAGAGCTAAAAATTGTTTTGACAACTTTTTTTATAATTGAAAATCAAAATTATTTTCTAAAAATTCCGAAAATTTGCTTTTGTCTTTCAACTTTTTAATTTTTTTGCACAGTGCGGCCACTTTTCTCCGATTGCACGGTGCAAAATTCAAGCGAAAAAAACGCACAGTGCAGATTAAAAAAATTTATTTTTGCACTGTGCAAAAAGTAAATCTCTTGCGACAAAATTTTTGCACAGTGCAATCAAAAGTTTTGAAATTATTTTTTGCACAGTGCAGAACAAATTTTGTCATTTTGTGCACAGTGCAAAATTTTTATAAAAACTTGCACTGTGCAATAAAAAATGGATAATTTTTTGCACAGTGCAGATTAAAAAAAGTTTATTTTTGCACTGTGCGAAAAGTAAATATCTTGCGACAAAATTTTTGCACGGTGCAATCAAAAGTTTTGAAATTATTTTTTGCACAGTGCAGAAAAATTTTTGTCATTTTTTGCACGGTGCAAAATTTTTAAAAAAGTTTGCACTGTGCAATAAAGATGGACAATTTTTTGCACAGTGCAGATTAAAAAAAAGTTTATTTTTGCACTGTGCAAAAAGTAAATTTCTTGCGACAAAATTTTTGCACGGTGCAATCAAAAGTTTTGAAATTATTTTTTGCACAGTGCAGAAAAATTTTTGTCATTTTTTGCACGGTGCAAAATTTTTAAAAAAGTTTGCACTGTGCAATAAAGATGGACAATTTTTTGCACAGTGCAGATTAAAAAAAAGTTTATTTTTGCACTGTGCAAAAAGTAAATTTCTTGCGACAAAATTTTTGCACGGTGCAATCAAAAGTTTTGAAATTATTTTTTGCACAGTGCAGAAAAAATTTTGTCATTTTGTGCACAGTGCAGAATTTTTAGAAAAGCTTGCACTGTGCAATAAAGATGGACAATTTTTTGCACAGTGCAGATTTTAAAAATTTTACTTTTGCACTGTGCGAAAAGTAAATTTCTTGCGACAAAATTTTTGCACAGTGCAGAAAAAATTTTGAAATTTGCACTGTGCAGAAGAAAAAGTTTTGCGCACGGTGCCGAATTTGCAATAAAAAAAATTTTTTGCACCGTTCAGATTAAAAAATTTTTTTATTCCACCCGTGCAGATTAAAAAATTTTTATTTTTGCACAGTGCAATCCAAAATTTCAAAATAATTTTTGCACCGTGCACAGTGCAGAAAAAATTTGTCATTTTGTGCACCGTGCGATAAAAAAATGGACAAATTTTTTTCTGCACCGTGCAAAAAAAAAATTTGTGCACAGTGCAGAATTAACAAAGTTTGCACTGTGCAGACTAAAAAATATATTTTTGCACTGTGCGGCAAAAACAAAAAATTCAAAAAAACCGCCAAAAATGGTTTCAAAATTTATCCAATCATCATTGCGAGTCAATAAAAGATCAAAATCCGAATCAAAAATCTTCTACTCGGATTTATTCTTATCTTCCTTGAGGGATTCGACGTGTTTGATGGTGTCGTCGTCATGGCAGACCTTGACCGTTCTGGAAATTTGAGTCTTCTGCGAGTTCGGGCCGTCCGGTTCGGGGTCCGGATCGTCGCGCGGCGATTGAGTTGTTCCCACCGATTTTTTCTTCGAATTTTCCTTTTTCGACTTGGCCTCTTGTTTGCCATCCGCACTTTCGTTCGCTTTTTTATCATTCTCCTTGGCCGGCGGCTTGTCAGCAGCTGAAAAATGGGTTTTTCAGTGATATTTGAGTGAAAAAATGGCTGAATTGTAATTTTTTCGAAAAAAAAATTTAAAATTTTTCAAACTTTGTCGGTCTATATCTCAGTGAATTCTTTAAATTTCACTTTCAAATTTTCAAAACCTTCTTAAAAAGTCTCCTTCTCCATCTATGCCAAATTTCATCAAAATCCAAAAAACTTATTTTTGGTCCCGACACGAAAACTTGAATTTGCTAAATTCCGGGCTAGACCCTCAGAACTGCTTTCTTATTGAAGAATAAGTGGAAATAATAAATAATCAGACAAAAGATTAATAAAAAGTGTTAAAAAAATGCTAAAAATCGACTTACATCCACCTTCTTCCTTCTTCTCCGGCTTGGCTGCCTTATTATCAACGATTTTACTGCCTTGAACCTGAAAAAATCGTCAGTAATTTAACAAACAGAGTCTTTTTATCCGCATTCTACAATTTCCAAGATTTAAAAATCAATTCCAAAATCTAAATTTCAAATTCCCGCCAATTTTGGCATTCTGTTTTAGGTGGTGAAAATGATGAAAAATGAGTTGAAATTGTTGAGAAATGCCCTGGAAAGGCTCAGAATGATATTTGAACTTACATTCAAACAGTTAGAAGCGATTTATAAACATAAAATTATATTATCCATAACAACGTCTCATGTTTTTGGTCAAATTTCATCTTTTTTTGACTAAAATATCGTCGTTTGATATTAAAATGGAATTTTAATAGTCCTGGAAACAAGACAATGCGTATTTTACACTATATTTCGTCGCTTTTTATCTTCAAAATCCGATTTTTTCGAAAAATCCCCCCCCGCTTTTCTTACCTCACATTTGGGCGGGTTCGGCGCTGGCGTTGGCGCGGCTCCGGGGGGTTTTGAGATCTCGGTCTGATTGCGAACCGGCTTCGCGGGTGAGGGAACGGACCGGGCCGCCGTTTTCTTCTTCCCACACAAACCGACTATTGTGAGCATAAGGCCAAGCAAACTGAAAGAGATTCCAAACGCCGAAAGCATTTCCTCGCACCGACCTCTTACCAAATCGAAGAAAAAAGTAAATGAAAATTGATGAAATTTGTTAAAGTTTGTGTGGATTTGAGGGTCAATGCAAATTTTTGAATTTTTTTGAAATTATGCAAATTTTTGGGAAAATTAAAGTTATACAAAAATGTCGATATTTGCTAAATATTTTAATTTTCAATTTACTTCTCAAATTATTGGATTTAAATTCAAAATTTATTCAAAATTTTTTTAATTTTTTAAAATTATGCAAATTTATTTAAAAAAATTAATTTATGCAAATTTAGCTCAAAAGGTCAATAATGGCTAAATAATTGAATTTTTAGTTTTTTTTTCAAATTTTTTGATTCAAATTCTTAATTTATTCAAAAGTTTTTAATTTTTTTTTTAAATTATGCAAATTTTCTAAAAAATTGAATTTATGCAAATTTACCTCAACAAGTTCAATATTAGCTAAATATTTGAATTTATGATTTTTTTATAATTTATTTTATTCAAATTCGCCATTTTCAACGCTTTTTTGTCATTTTTTCTGACTCCCACAACGAAAGATTGGAATGCCAAAATTCTCTTGGCATTCTGTTTAAACATTGGAAAATAATTTTTGGACGCGCTTCCCACAAAAAACTCGTCGCTCTTGCTCAAGTTCTGCACAATTTCACTAGCTTTAGTTGACATTAGCCTGGAAATTTACCAATAATTTTATAGATGCCACCAAAACGGGGCCGAAAGAAGAAGAATGTGGAGGCGGAGGCGGAATTGTCGGCGGAAGAGCATTTCTCCGACGACGAGGTGTATGATCCCCCGGATGAAGAGGAAATCGTCTTCGAAGAGGCGATTGCAAGACCTCAGAAGCTTCGATTAAGCGATGTGAACACATCAAGTGGGTTTATTTTGATTATTCTCTTGTGAATTTAGGTTTAAATTAACGGATTTGGCAATAAAAATATTGTAATTGGCCTGGAAAAGCCTGTCATGAGCTGTTTTGGCTATTTTACGGCTAATTTTGCATGCTCTTTCCATAAATTATGTTATCCATGTGGCAAGCTTAATAATTTTATTCGAATTGATGTTCAAATTAACAAATCTTGGCTGAAAGACATATTTTGAGGTCTGATAATTCTATCTGCGATTAAATCGTGTTATTTTACCTCTAATTTTGCCACTTTTTGTCTAAAATTATACATATTATCCATGAATAAAAAATTTTATTTTTTGCTGTCCAACCTAATATAATCTGTTTTACAGACCTCCGACTGAACAAAGTAGACGTCCGACGGTATGTGCAGGCTTGTAACTACAGCTGGGTGGATTTTATGAAAAGAAATGGAGTCAGCGACGCCTTGAAAAAACTGGTCGATGAAAGGCGATTTGAATACGAAGTGGTGTCGGATGTATTGTAAGTGTTTTGTTTTTCAGTTTTCTTCGTTTTTAGATGACGATTCAGAATTGTTGGAGTGCTATTTTCCGGAAATTTTCTTATATTATCCATGGCAATTTCAGCGCGGCCCTTCCTGATTTGGCGAATTCCGAGTCCCTGGACTTGTATCAGACCCAAATCAAGCCCTCCCAACTCTCTCATCTGAATTCGGCGACCAAAATGGCCAATCATATGGAGCGACAGGCCAAAGAAGATCCACCAACACATCAAGATGCCCTCCGGTTAAAATTCCTCGAATGCCGGGAAATACGGTATCCCACGGACACCAAAAAGCCCGACGCCTACTTCGGAAGTGGCCTAGATGCTTATTGCAAAGAGTTGTGGCAGAATAAAGACGCCACCGCCTACAATGACAAGGAATTTCAGACGCCCAGCTCAGCCCTCATGGTGAATATCGGGAACCCGATTGCGGCCATTGCCATCTGCCCCAATGCTGATGAGTTGGGGAATGAATTGTTGGCCCTTTCAGCGTTCCCAGACGAAGAATGGCTCACACCGGATGAGGAGGTGAACAGCTATGTACAGTTTTATTCATACAACCCAAATGATTTTAAGTCAGTTTTTTTATTATTTTTTTTTATGTTTTTAGGTAAAGAGGTATTGATATGGCATTTGGAAGGGATATAAGTGAAATTCAGACCGTTGGAGTGAAGAGTTATGAGGAATTTTGAAAAAATTTACCTTACTTTAGGTAAAGTAGTATAATTTTTATGAATTATAGTCGATTTTGGGGATAAATTCGAAGGAAAAGAGCTTTTAGAGGATGTCTGTGGAATTTGCACACTATTTGAGTTATGTTTTGAGTAAGATGTAGCCAAAAAATTAAAATTTATATTATTTTAGGTAATAAATTTATATTCATTGGCTAGTTTGGGTATTTTTCTTTGTCCACATCCCGGATTTTGGTTGTAATTAGAAGCACAAGGCTTTTTAAACGTTCTGAAATTGATATATCTCTGGTTTTGAGATAAAATTTTTTAGTGGTACCTAAAATAAGGTGATTTTTTGCTATTTTTGACGATTGCTATCTATTTTTAGGTAGATTATGGGTTATAAATGCCATATTAGAGCCTTTTATTGATTTTTGTTTAATTTTTGTTTCTCAAAATTTCTTATTTTTCGTATTTTAGCAGCGCGAAATGCCGATTTCTCCTGGAAATCCCCTCCCAAATCGTTTTGGACCTCAAATTCTGCCCAAACTTTGTGAATGTGCCCGGAAACCCGAAGGCAATCGACGACTCCTCCGATTTCCTCGGCCTTTTGGCCGTCTCCACCTCCAAAGGATTGGTTTTGATCTATCGAATTTCCAAAAATCTCCCCCAAAAAATCGATGGAAAAGTCCCAATTGTCAGCCTGAAACCATCGATCACTCTGGTCCACCCTGAAATCCAGGTCAAAACTAGCAATTCGGACGGAGGAACGCAGGAAATCGGCACTTCCAGTCGAATCCCAATATTTTCGTTGGATTGGCCCCCGGTTGACGGCGGAAATTTGATCCTGGCGGCGTCGGAAGCACGTAAGTGGGGATGTCTTGAATTGATAACGGTAGAATAGAGATCTGGCTACGTTTTGACACCAAAATTGTAGGAAATAAAGGGTTTTGAAGCGATTCATGACCTTGTTTTAGACACCTACAGCTGATTTTGGACGATTTTTGATAGAAGTTGCAATTTTTGAATTATCTGTTGGGAATTTTGAGTTGAAAATGGTAGAATAAAGCTCTGGCTTCTTTTGACAACAAAATTGTAGGATTGAGAGGGGTTTGAAGCGATTTATGACCTTGTTTTAGACACCTACGGCTGATTTTAGATGATTTTTGATAAAAATTGCGATTTCTGGGTATTTTGTTTAGAATTTGGCATTGACAATGGTAGAATAGAGCTCTGGCTACGTTTTGAGACCAAAAATGTAGGATTGGGCGGGGTTTGAAGCGATTTATGACCTTGTTTTAGACACCTACAGTTGATTTTGGACGATTTTTGATAGAAGTTGCAATTTTTGAATTATCTGTTGGGAATTTTGAGTTGAAAATGATAGAATAAAGCTCTGGCTTCGTTTTGACACCAAAATTGTAGGATTGAGGGGGGTTTGAAGCGATTTATGACCTTATTTTAGACACCTACAGCTGATTTTGGACGATTTTTGATAGAAATTGCAATTTCTGTATGTTTTGTTGGGAATCTTGTGCGGATTTTGGAATATTAGAGCTCTGGCTACGTTTTGAGACAAAAAATTAGGATTGGGAGGGGTTTGAAGCGTTTTGTGACCTTGTTTTAGACACCTGCAGCTTATTTTGGACGATTTTGGATAAAAACTGAGAATTTTTCGGAGAATTCTTGAAGTTTCGTGTTGATATAAGAGGGATATGACTCTATCTACATTTTGATTACAAGAAAAACGAATTTAGAGGGCTAGTTAGACAAAAATCTCTGATTTTAGGCGAAAATTCTGATTTTTTCGCCAAAATTCTTGGAGTTTTGGGACGCTAATCAAAGAACAGAGTGTTGGCTATGTTTTGAAGTAAAAAGAATTTTATTTTCAGGCCGAGTGATGATCTGGGACCTGAGCGAAACTCCCGAACCCAGAGAAATGACTGAAGAAGCATATCTCCAGCTCTCCGACACCCTCCTGCTCCCCAAACTGACTCTGTTCGAGGCGTCCTGGCAGTCCCCACCCAACACTGTCTGTTTCCTCAACGAAAACGAACGTAGGATTACTGTAATTTGGGGGTTTCCAAAGTTTTTTCGACTTTTAGTGGTGATCGCCTTCCGAAATCGCACAATCCTGGTCTACAAAGTGCCCGAATGCGAAGTCTGCCTCACGGAATCGACCCCCAAATCGGCGGGAGTCGTGGTCACGGCCGCTCCGGCCACTTTTCGCTCCTTTCTTTCGGCCGACGCCACCCTCGCCAATGTGGATGGGATTTTGTACGCGCAGACCTGCTACATATCCCTGAAAGAGGCCGGATATGAAGTGGCTTTGATCCCAGCGTTGAATAGGTGGGCAAAAATTTGGATTGCAGTTGGGATTTGACAGTTTTTTGAGGTTTTTTTGGTGGAGGGGCCAAGTGTAATATAAATTTGGTCGATTTTAACAAAAATTTTGGTTGAACTGGCGTCTTGATTGGATTTTTAGGCCATTTTAGTATTGAAGTTTCATTTGGAATCGAAAAATGCGGCTTTAGACATCTGTTTTATATTGTACTAGGGCACCAAGTGTAATATAAATTTTGTTGAATTGGACCAGAATTTTTGTTGGAATAGACGCTAGATTGAATTTAGAGACTTGTTTTGGTTTTTTGAATGGGCTAGATTGGAATTTTATGCGAGTTTTTGCCGATTTTAGTACCAAGTGTAATATAAATTTTGTTGATTTTGGCCAAAATTTTGGTTGAACTGGCGTCTTGATCGGATTTTAAAGACTTTTTGGTATTGAAGTTTCATTTGGAATTGAAAAATTCGGCTTTGGACATCTGTTTTATATTATACTAGGGGACCAAGTGTAATATAAATTTTGTTGAATTGGACCAGAATTTTTGTTGGAATAGACGCTAGATTGAATACAGAGACTTGTTTTAGCTTTTTGAAAGGAGTGGATTAGGTTTTTGTACGAGTTTTTGACGATTTTAGTGTGGAGGGACCAAGTGTAATATAAATTTTGTTGATTTTAGCCAAAATTTTGGTTGAACTTGCATCTTGATTGGATTTTTTGGACATTTGGTATGGAAGTTTTATTTTGAATTGAAAAATTCGGCTTTAGACAGCTGTTTTATATTATACTGGGGGACCAAGTGTAATATAAATTTTGTTGATTTGGACCTGAATTTTGGTTGGAATAGACGCTAGATTGAATACAGAGACTTGTTTTAGCTTTTTGAATGGGGTAGATTGAGATTTTGGACGAGTTTTTGCCGATTTTACCAAGTGCAATATAAATTTTGTTGATTTTTGCCGAAAAAAATGTTGGAACAGACGCTAGATTGAATATAGAGACCTGTTTTGGCTTTATGAACGGGGTGGATTGGGTTTTTCTACGAGTTTTTGCCGATATTAGACTAAGGGACCAAGTGTAATATAAATTTTGTTGATTTTTGCCCAAAAAATGTTGAAAATGGAGTTATGAGGCGGTTTTTAGGCCAGTACGACTTCGGAATTTAATTTTTTTTCTAAAATACGGATGTGTTTTTTAATTTTGTTTTCGAATTTTTTTGAAATTTTTTGATTTTCAGTCATCAACTCCAAATTTTCGACGTGAAACTGTGCCCGCGGACCGGTCTGTGCGTGTCGTGCGGGGCGGACGGCCGCCTTCAGCACTCCATCAACGCGCGAAACCGCCCCAGAGAAGTGGACGGCGACTTTAATGCGGACAATCTGAACTTCCTGACCGGCCGACCCATTATTCACCTGATCAGACATCGAAAAGTGAAAGGAATCGCCGATGTGGCCGAGAAACCCCCGCCCAAAAAAGCAAAGGCCAAAAAGAAGGAGGAGGAAATGGAGGACGAGAAACCCCAAGTTTTGATCAAAAATGAGGATGTTCGCCAAGGAAATTGGATGGAAATCAGGTGCGGCGACACGAGTTTGATCGATCTGGCACAGGTAAAAAATTTTGGAATTGATTTTTGAACTTTTTTTGAAGTCTGGAAAAAAAATTTTTTGCACAGTGCGGTTTTTTTGTAAAAAAAATTTTGCACTGTGCGGATTTTAGTGGAATTTTTTTTGCACAGTGCCCTTTGCACAGTGCTTTCTTTTATAAAAAATATTTGCACTGTGCGATTTTTTATAAAAATTTTTTGCACTGTGCGATCTTTTTTGGAGATCTTTTTGCACTGTGCACAGCTGTGCAGACCTTCTAGAACTTTTTTGCACGGTGCAAAGTAATTTTTCCCTTTGCACAGTGCGGCTTTTTACAAATTTTTTTTTGCACTGTGCGGATTTTACGAGCGGAAGTTTTTTTTTGCACAGTGCAGACTTTTTAGAGTCTTTTTTTGCACAGTGCGAGGTAACCTTTCCCTTTGCACAGTGCGAATTTTTGAAAAATTTCTTTTTTGCACAGTGCAGAATAAAAAAATTGGATTTCATTGGCACTTTAATGTAACAAAGAGTTGTAAAATATCATAGACAGATCTTTTAGACAGCAGATTTGTTATCACGTAAAAAAAAATTATTTTTTCTTTTGCACAGTGCGAATTTTCGAAAATTTATTTTTTGCACAGTGCAGAATATAAAAATTTTAATTTTGGTTTCTGTACGATTGAAAAAGTGGTTTTAAAATGTATTAGTGGATAGATTAGACAGTAAAATTCTGGTGATAACCAAAATTGTCAATTAAATCGGTCATGATGACGAATTTTTTGGAATTGAAAAAATTTTTTTTTCTTTTTTTATAATTTAATTATGCAAGTTTCAGTTGAAAAAGCATCGAACCCAGCTCGCGCAGACTCTTTTGGATCGACGAATCGAGTCCTTCACCAGAGTCGCCATCAGCACCCGAACCGCGGGATTGACAGCGGTTGGCGGCGAAGCCGGCCTGGTTTTTGTCCTCCCAACTCTGCTATGATATCCGAAAATACACTCAACTCTCTCTACGGGTCACGTTACAACGATATCTCCGCAAATTCCGAGTTTTCTCGCTGAGAAAATGAGAGAATTCTGAAATTTTTTTCCAAAATCCTCAATTTTTTTGTTAATTATAACCTAATTTTAATTGTTAACTAATGTAATTTTGTTGTTTAATAATTTTTATGCGATTTTTGGATCAATTTTGTAAAAAAATCAAAGAAAATTGCACGGTGCGAGATGTTATATTTTTTGCACTGTGCGGTTTCTTAAAATTTGCCTGCACTGTGCAGTTTTGGGAAAACTTTTTTTGCACAGTGCGTTTTTTGTCGCTTTGAGAGTTTCAAAATTTGCACGGTGCAAATCATAAAATCAACCGCACAGTGCATTTGGTGGCAAGATTTTTTTTGCACAGTGCATTTTGGAGGCAAATTTTTTTGCACAGTGCGTTTTTTGTCGCGTTGAGAGTTTTGAAATTTGCACGGTGCAAATTAAAAAATAAATTGCACAGTGCATTTTCGAGGTAAAATTTTCTTCGCACAGTGCAATTTTAGTAAAAAAAAATTTGCGCACGGTGCGTTTTTTGTCACTTTGAGAGTTTCAAAATTTGCACGGTGCAAATTAAAAAATCAACCGCACAGTGCATTTTGGAGGTAAAATTTTTTGCACAGTGCAATTTTAATCAGAAAAAATTTTGCACAGTGCAGTTTATGTAACATATTTTTTTTGCACTGTGCAATTTTATTGGGAAAAAAAGTTTTGCACAGTGCAATTTTATTCAAAAAAAACTTTTGCATGGTGCAGTTTCGGGAAGATTTTTTTCGCGCAGTGCAATTTTATTCAAAAAAAACTTTGCACAGTGCAGTTTCGAGAAATTTTTTTCGCACAGTGCAATTTTATTCAAAAAAAATTTTTGCACGGTGCAGTTTCGGGAAGATTTTTTTCGCACAGTGCAATTTTATTCAAAAAAAACTTTGCACAGTGCAGTTTCGAGAAATTTTTTTCGCACAGTGCAATTTTATTCAAAAAAAAACTTTGCACGGTGCAGTTTCGGGAAGATTTTTTTTCGCACAGTGCAATCTTAATGAACAAAGATTTGCAAAGAGCAATTTTATTGGGGAAAAATTATTGCACAGTGCATTTTTAATCAAAAAAAATTTTTTGCACAGTGCAGTTTCTGGAAGATTTTTTTGCACAGTGCATTTCTAATCAAAAAAAATTTCGCACAGTGCAATTGCAAATTTTTTTAAGACTAATTTTAAATAATTTTCGGAGCTAAAAGAGGCCAAGCGGCACGCAATCGGCTTCGTGAACATGATCACCGTCTCATGAAAAAAAATCAAAAAAAAATTTTTTTCATTTTGGCCAAATTTTTCGATTTTTACAAATTTGGCAGCATTCCCGACACTTTTTCTACGTTATAACACGCATTCTGGCATCTAAAAAAATTTTCCGCCCATTTTCCAGCCATTTCAGCACTTGCCACACAATGCCAAACTTTCGTGTTGGGACCAAAGTACCCGTCAAAACTCGCGTCAAAACTCTCGAAACTAATCAAATTTTCCAAGGCAGCGTACGAGACGCACTTTGTAGTTTGCAAGCAGTCTACACGCTCGTTCGAAGCCAAAGTTTTATATTTACCTGGAAAAGGGCGAGAAAACAAGAAGCCATGAGCGGTCGTCAAGGCAGCCGGAGAAACGCCGCCTCTCCTCGCAAGGGCGTGCGAGAATCCCAACGTACATTGTGCGAATCCTCAGGCTTTACTGAGTAATTGTTTTCATTATTTGAAACGGTTTTGAAATTTTTTGGGAAATTTCTGCCTGTTTTTTGCTGAAAATCCGATTTTTTATGGCGAATAAAGTTGTCTAGAGGATTGGAAATAGAGTTTGTTGGATGTGACATACTTTAGTTCATCTTATTCTATGGTAAAAATCAGAATAATCGGATTTTTCGACCGATTTTTGGACATTTGTCGAGATTTTTCCAGATTTTTTGCGATTTTTCCAAAAAATTTGGTATTTCATGGTGAATAAAGCCGCCCAAAATACTTCAAATTAAATCTGCATACTACTACCAAGTTTATTCTATCCTATTCTACTCTAAACATTACAATATCACAGCTGTTTGTCAAGTTATTTGGCCAAGTTTACTCAAATTTCCCCTAAATCTTCGCTAAATTCCCGATTTATCGCCGAAAATCCTATTCAAAATGGATAAAATCCGGATCAGAGGCGACGAGCGTACTCTGGAGACAGTACTTATTTGCGTTCACTCCGTTTTTGGCCTCGTGTCGATGGCTGTGAACGCTCTGGCACTGTACAAGTCCATTTTTTCTGCTGCTGACATTTTGGGCGCTTATAAGTTGATTCTAATCAATCAATCGGTGGTCAATTTTTTGCTCGCTGCTAGTGTTGTGTTTCTACAGCTCAGGTAGGTTGATTTGCGACGGTTTTGGACCAAAAAATTTTTTCGTGGTGGGACCCAAAAATTTGTTTGATACCTTGAAAATAGCACTGAAAGACTTTTTTTAAGAGCTCTATGGTTGCATTCTACTCTAATTCTATCCATTTTCCCCATCTATGATCGATTTTGGACCAAAAAATGTTTTCGTGGTGGGACCCAAAAATTTGTTTGATACCTTGAAAATAGCACTGAAAGACTTTTTTAAGAGCTCTATGGTTGCATTCTACTCTAATTCTATCCATTTTCCCCATCTATGATCGATTTTGGGCCAAAAAATGTTTTCGTGGTGGGACCCAGAAAGGTTTTTGAAATCTTGAAACAGCAATTTAAGACCTTTTTTAAGGGTTCTAGAGTTGAATTCTCCTCAAATTCTACTTATTTTCTCCATTTCCAAGCTATTTTGGACCAAAAAACGTTTTCGTGGTGGGACCCAAAAAGATGTCTGAAATGTTGAAAATAGCACTTTAAACATTTTTTGACGACTCTATGGTTATATTCTGCTCTAATTCAACCTATTTGCTTCATTTCTAATCTAATTTGGGCCAAAAAATGTTTTCGTGGCGGGACCCAAAAATCTTTGTAGAAACATCGGAACTTAGAGTCAAATCTTACTTTAAGACATCCCTGATGATCTTTCGACGCATCTTCTACCAACCACGAAACTTCTTTCCTCATCAAACTTCACACTTTCGCGGTGGGGCTCAAAAAAACCCCTAAAAAATCCGAAAAATTCAAAAAATCTCGTTTTAACCACTTCATACCACCGAATCAACCCCATAAATTTTCAGAATATTCATCACGCCCTTTGGCAATGTGTTTGCCGTCCTCGGGTTGGCCAGCTTCACTAACCATTTCATCGCTTTTTTGGTCTACACCTTATTCTCCTCGCTCTTCTTGGATTACTATTTCCTACTCCTAATTGGAATGCTGTACAACTGCCATTGGATCCACAAAAGCAGATATGGCCCGAAAATGACGTCCATATTTTTGTTGGCGGCGGCTGTGCTCAGTTTCGCGGATTTTGTAGGTTTTTTTGGAGGGTTATTTTTTGTTCAAAATTGTGGTTATTGATGAAAAAAATGTGTTGAAACTTGCGGATTTCGATGTATTTTATCTTTTTGACCTGCCAAATTTCACATTAACCCATTTTAGTCCGGAAAATTGCACGGTGCAATGAAATTTCGATCGCACTGTGCAAAGCCCAAAATTTTCGAGAAGCATAGCAACGAGAGTATCGTATTTAGAGAATTGAAAATTGCTTTACATGATCAGAAATACTCTCTTTTTTATTGCCGAACACTTTTTTTTATCGCACCGTGCAACAATCCACAGTTCTGCACAGTGCAAAAATTTTCCGTTGCACCGTGCACAACTTTTGTTTTTCGCACAGTGCAAAAAAAATTTTTCTTGATTTCGATTTTTCATTCAAAAAACAGTGAAATGAAAAAAAAATTTTGGTTAAATTCTGTATTTTAGGTCCTTTCCGGCGTCCTTTTTTACGAGGACGAGGATCAATCTCGGCAGTTTTCGCGGAACAAAACCCATGAAACCGTGTTGAATCGGCACATGGTGTTTGCGGTCCGAGTGCATGAGAATGTCATGGATATTGTCGTGAATTACATCGATGCCATTTTTATGGTCTTCTGCATCGCCATGCTGATCTTCCTCCGCTACCGGATTCGCGTGTATTTGAAGCGACATGAACAAGAATTGACTTATATTCAGAGCAAATTGATCAATGTAAGCCTTGTAGGAGATAATTTTTTCGTATTTTTATGTAATTTCGTATTTTACATTTTTTTTTTTCATTTTTGCGCTTTTTCGTTTTTTTGCACTGTGCGAAAAATTTTGGGTCTGCACAGTGCAGCCAAGTTCGGACTTTGCGCACTGTGCAAAAGGAAATTTTAGCGCACTGTGCAAACACAAGTTTCACCGGAAAAAAAAATTCTGCACGGTGCAAAGAATGCCGCACTGTGCATCAGCGACAAGTCGATTGCACAGTGCAAAGAAAGGTAAATTTATGTCTTTGCACTGTGCGAAAAAAGTTGGTCCGCACGGTGCAGCCGAGTTCGGACTTTCGCACGGTGCAAAGAATGCCAATTTGCACTGTGCATCAGCGACAAGTCGATTGCACAGTGCAAAAATAAATAAATTTTGAAGCCTTTGCACTGTGCGAAAAAAGTTGGTCCGCACGGTGCAGCCGAGTTCGGACTTTCGCACGGTGAAAGAATGCCTGTTTGCACTGTGCATCAGCGACAAGTCGACTGCACAGTGCGAAAAGATTTGGTCTGCACAGTGCAGACAAGTCGAACTTTCGCACTGTGCAAGACGAGATTTGACCGCACAGTGCAAACATAAGCTTCATCGCACTGCGCGATCGGATGAAAATCCTGCACAGTGCAGACAAGTTCCAACTTTCGCACTGTGCGAAAGAGGGATGCCTATTCGCACTGTGCATCAGCGACAAGTCGACTGCACAGTGCGAAAACGAAATTGTTCACTGCACTGCGCGACAAATTGCACAGTGCTGCCGAGCTCGGACTTTCGCACTGTGCAAAATGAGATTTGACCGCACAGTGCAAACACAAGTTTCACCGCACTGTGCGAGCGGATGAAAAATCCTGCACGGTGCAAAGACTTCTTACTTGCACTGTGCATCAGCGACAAGTCGATTGCACAGTGCGAAAAATTGATCTGCACAGTGCAGCGAAGTCCGGACTTTCGCACTGTGCAATAGGAAGTTTGACCGCACTGTGCAAAGAATGCCTGTTTGCACTGTGCGTCAGCGACAAGTCGACTGCACAGTGCGAAAAATTGATTGTTTACTGCACTGTGCAAAAAAAATTTGGTCTGCACGGTGCAGTCAAGTTCGGACTTTCGCACTGTGCAATCGGAAGTTTGACCGCACGGTGCAATGTCTGTTTGCACTCTGCATCAGCGACAAGTCGACTGCACAGTGCGAAAAATTGATTGTTTACTGCACTGTGCGAAAACATTTGAAAAAGCTGCGACTGCACTGTGCGGCCAAGTTCGGAGTTTCGCACTGTGCAAAACGATGACATTTGACGGCACAGTGCAATTGCACAGTGCAAAAAAGAAACTGGTTACTGCACTGTGCAAAAAATTTTTTGGGAGCACCGCACTGTGCATTTGATCAATTCGCAAATTTTGCACGGTGCAAGCGCGACAACTGTAACTTTTGATTGTACCGTGCAAAAAATTTTTCAAACCTCAAATTTTTCCACTGCACAGTGCAGCTTCTAACCCTCAATTTTGCAGCTGATCATCATCCAAGCATCGATAATGGTGGTGCTGGTCGCAATTCCCAGCGGCTTCTACTTCCTGCTCTACGAATATCTGCGTGAGGCCGGCTGCGACTGCATCATGTTCATTATGATCGCATTGGCCCTGTTCCTCTTGCCCATCTTCGTTCTTCGCATGCTGCGCACGGTGCGACACTCGCATCGCCTGCACAATGACGACAATCTGAGTGTGAGTGTGGCGACATCGCATCTGGAACGAGAGGGGCCTTCCACTTCGACAATACATCGAGATTTATCATAGTGATACGAAATTTACATAGTAATTTTTATAGTCACAAAATAAAAAAAATTTTTTTTTAATGGTGATTTTTTTTCTTCGCACAGTGCGATAATTTTTTCAGTGTTTGTTTTTTCGCACTGTGCAGTCAAGAATTCGTTTCTTTTCTCGCTGCACTGTGCAGCGGCGACATTTTTTCATTTGCACTGTGCAGTTCATTTCCATTTCGTAAAATTGCACGGTGCAAAACCAAAAAATCAAAATGCACCGTGCAATCAACAAAATTCCTTTCTGTTTTCGCTGCACTGTGCAGCAGCGACATTTTTTCCTTCTGCACTGTGCAGTTCATTTTCATTTCACAAATTGCACGGTGCACACTCGAAAAATAAAAACGCACCGTGCAGTCGAAAATTCACTTCTGTTCTCACTGCACTGTGCAGCAGCGACATTTTTCCCTTTTGCACTGTGCAATTCATTTCCATTTCGTCAATTGCACAGTGCAAAACCAAAGAATAAAAATGCACCGTGCAATCAAAAAATTCCTTTCTGTTTTCGCTGCACTGTGCAGCAGCGACATTTTTTCCTTTTGCACTGTGCAGTTCATTTAAATTTTGTCAATTGCACGGTGCAAACTCGAAAAATAAAAACGCACTGTGCGATTCCAGCGACAATGGGATTTCAAGTCTTTGCACTGTGCGATTGTTTCCCAACTTTCTGAACTGCACTGTGCAACCTCATTCATTTAATTTCGAAATGCACTGTGCGAAACGCAAAGAGCAAAAAGCGCACAGTGCAAGTTCAGCGACAGAAATGTTTGTTTTCTTTGCACTGTGCAGTTCATTTGCATTTCGTCGATTGCACGGTGCAAACTCAAAAAATAAAAATGCACTGTGCGATTCCAGCGACAATGAGATTTCAAGTCTTTGCACTGTGCGATTGTTTCCCAACTTTCGGAACTGCACTGTGCAAACAAATAAATGTTTCTTTTCTTCGCACTGTGCAATGATTCATTTTGAAAGAATGCACAGTGCGCGCCAAACAAAATTTAATTTTCTCGCACAGTGCAGTAAAAATAATGAAACTTTTGTGGGTTTTTGGAGATTTTCAATCGGAAAAAAGTATAAAAACAAGTTTAGTGAGTCATAATACTGTTTTAGCTGCTGTTTACAATATAAAAAAGGGATAAATTGAAAATTTAATTGGGATTTTTTTTCAAAAAATCGCAAAATTTTGCCTTTTTTGGGGCTTTTCGGTATTTTTATGAACTAGAAATAGTATATACATCGTATTTTACCTCCTAATTTGGACTTTGTTTTACATTATGTGCCATAAATCACAAGTCAAAAAAAGTTCAAAATACAAGACACATCGCAGAATGACCGTCCAGTTTCAAAACCCCGTCTCTGGCGGTTGTTTATTCAATGGTCTTATCAATTTTATCAACAAAGCAAAATTCGATTTGCCTTCGAAAAAAGCGAATTCTTTTCGACGTTTTTCGCGTTTTTCCCTGATCTTTTGGAATTTTCATCGTGCAAAAATTGATGAGCAGAAATTTTAGGAACGTAAAATTGATTTCGCGTATTTTACAACGATTTTTTGTGAGAAAAAATGGAATCAGATGAATACACACCGTTATTGTACAGGTGAGCATCCATTTTTTATTTTTTTCCTACTTTAGGAGGCTTATTATAGCCAAATTAGACTTCAGACATGGTTTTTGTAAATTGCCGGAGGCTATTTAGTCGAAAAATTGAAGAAAATTTTTCTCCGCACCGTGCAACGAAACAATTTTTTCTTTCGCACTGTGCAGTCAGTTTGAAGTTTTTTGCACAGTGCAAATCAAACAAAAACTTTTTGCACTGTGCAAAAAAATAATTCTTCAGAGATTTCGCACTGTGCGAAAAATTTTGGCTTCTCGGTTTTTGCACTGTGCAGTCCGCCAATCGCGAATTTTTTATCGCACAGTGCAACGAAACCATTTTCCCTTCCGCACTGTGCAACCGACTGTTTTCAATTGCACTGTGCAATCCCCATTTTTTGCGACTCAGCCCTTTCTTCCGCACAGTGCAACAGACTTTTTCTCAATTGCACCGTGCAGTGCGCAAACTTTTCGCACTGTGCGAAAGTTGCGACAAACTTCTCGTTTCGAACGCACTGTGCAATCCCCATTTTCGCGACTCAATCCTTTCTTCCGCACAGTGCAGCGACAATAATTCCTTTCATTTTTTTATTGCACTGTGCATCTTCATTCCGAAACAAATCCGTGCGCACGGTGCGGTGGGAAATGATGGAAGGAAGCGAAATTGAGCCGGGGGCCGCAAAGTAAGGTAAATTTCGGGGGAAAAAAGTTTAACCAACATCTCCTAAGGGCTTATACAGTATTTCCAATCTATTTTTGTCCCCAAAAAGCACCCGGAATGCGCTAAAAAACGGGATTTTTGACTGTTTACTGGCTCATTTGCGTAATTATGTGTCAAAATCTTTGCGTACGACCGAGTTCCGTCCCTGATAAGGCCCATTCCCATCCTGTTCCGTCTCCATGCCAACGGGGAAAGCGGCTTTTGCGCCGCATCGTTCGCCGCTGCTGATCCCCTCGGGCCAAATTCGTAAATATTGATAGGCAAGGGCTTCTATCGGCTTTATTCTCGCATTACACCCCATTTCCAAGGGTTTCCCGGCCAAATATTGCGGGATTTTCGGCTGTATTTGACTAGAATTATATTGCACATGCCAACGTATAGGTAAGAATTGGGGATTTTTGGGGTTTCAGAAAGAGCTGAGGGCTTGAAATGGCTTGTAAGGAATTTTGGAGAAGTTTGAGATATTTTGAAATCGTATTTTAGCCAAAAAAATCAAATATTTGACAAAAATCATGATTTTTGGGGAAATTTGATGATTTTTTGCAATTTTCTCTAGTTTAAAATCAAGATAGCCGCCTGCAATTTTAGACATACCTCTTTTAAGGTTTAAATATTATAGCCACATCAAAATTTCGTCCAAAAATGTTTAGTATCACCTAAAATACGACGATTTTTTCCTTGAATTGTCATCATTTTTTAGCTCGCTCCCAACCCTCACCGATATCGCTCAGATTCCGGACGCGACCACCAGTCGAGAAGAGGACACCAATCGGAATGCATACCCAACAACGTCGCGGTCAGTTCACGGCGCTGTCGCCGGAGGCGATCGCTCGAAACGTCGTGGGACCGCGAAAAGAAAGCCCAGGCCTCGAACGGGAAGTGATAATGATGTCCGCAGGCTAAGGTAGGTGGATTTTTTGGAGAATTTGGGGGTAAAATACGGGGTGATTTCGATCGCGGGTTAAAATTTTGAGTTTGGGTCTAACAGTTATATTACACTTGACAAAAATCGATGATTTTTTTACCTTTTGAAGGTTGGATTTGCAAAAAAAAAACTTTTTGAAGACTAGTGTGAGGTAGGAGACATCTAAAAATACTAGATTTGAGCCACTGCAGTCAAAAAATTATATTACACTAGATAAAAATTGATGATTTTTTTGACTTTTTGAAGGTTAATATTGCAAGAAAACATTTTTGAAGGCTATTTTGAGGTAGGAGACATCTCAAAATACTAGATTTGAGGCATTGCCGTGAAAAAATTATATTACACTACAGGGTGTTTCAAGAAATTTGGAACAAATGACTTGCTTATATCTTTTTGTTCTTTGAAGCTATCAACGAATTTCTTTTTGCTTCTAAAAATTGACAGCGTGCGTTTTTAGAATCTCAAAAAATTTTTTTTCGTCGGCGGAGGGCCCATTTCTCGGCGGAGAAAATTAGGGCCTTTTTTAAAAATCACAGCGTATTACGTGGCGGAAACGCCGTTGCAACGGCTGAAATCAAGTTTACGTAATACCTCCGTCGATTTTACGGTATGCATTTTTTTGTTTTCGATTTTACGCGCACCGCGGAGGCGCGGCGGAGACTTCAGATTTCGGCGGACGTTGTTTTGGGCCTTCGGCTGTTGCAATTCATGTTGGAAAAGAGGTTGGGGTGATTTTTTGTTGTCATCCGATGCACAGAAGGCAAAAATTTCGTGCTTTTTTCCCCGGCGGAGGATTCGGCGGAGGCTTTATCAAAGGGTCAAAGCTGTCTTACGAGTCCGGGAAAAATCTCAGCTACAAGAATCCATCAGAGCAGCATTGTCTTTCAAAGATTTTTGATTTTTTTGGTCCGGCGGACAAATCGGCGGAGTTTTGTTTTTACCCTTTGATAAAGCCTCCGCCGACTCCTCCGCCGGGGATAAAAAGCACGAAATTTTTGCCATCTGTGCATCGGATGACAACAAAAAATCACCCAAACCTCCTTTTCCAACATGAATTGCAAAAGCCGAAGGCCCAAAACGACGTCCGCCGAAATCTGAGGTCTCCGCCGCGCATCCGCGGAAGTGCGTAAAATCGAAAACGCAAAAAATGCATACCGTAAAATCGATGGAGGTATTACGTAAACTTGATTTCAGCCGTTGCAACGGCGTTTCCGCCACGTAATACGCTGTGATTTTTAAAAAAGGCCCTAATTTTCTCCGCCGAGAAATGGGCCCTCCGCCGACGAAAAAAATTTTTTTTGAGATTCTAAAAACGCACGCTGTCAATTTTTAGAAGCAAAAAGAAATTCGTTGATAGCTTCAAAGAACACAAAGATATAAGCAAATCATTTGTTCCAAATTTCTTGAAACACCCTGTAGATAAAAATTGATGATTTTTTGACGTTTCAACGTGTATTTTGCCAAAAAACACAAGCTAATGTGTTTTTACAACCTTTTCAATGTTTTTCCTTGAAACTGATACCCATATCACACTCTGAAATATCGGATTTCCCAAAAACGGACCTTACACTTGATGTCAATCTCGATTTTTGCTCAAAAGACGGGATTAATCCGGCTGAACGGATGTGCTAATCCGTGTAACACACCTTCTAGTCTGTTGTGGCCCATTTTGCAGAGTTTCGGGCAACAGGCCGAGGGTTTACGGGCTAAAATACCCGAATTTCCGGATATTTTCGAGGTTTTCGGCGATCATGGCTATTCAAGTGGAATTCCGGCGGCGGGACGGCACGGCCAGGTGGGCCAAGGAGATTTTAGAGTGTTATGAAGGGGACGGCGGGAGCTGTGGTCATTTCCGGCGGGGCAGCGTGCCGTTTTTGTCGTCCCATTGTGCCAAAAAAGCGCCGAAACGAAAGCCTTCGAATTTGGAGGCGAATTTTTGGATTTTTCCGAGGCCCAATGGCCTCGCCACGAAGCCCAGGCCCTCGCCGCTTGTTTGCTCTCGCTTCGGGACGCCCTCCGCGTCCCATGCGGTCTGTGCGCGCCCGGCGGCTTATAGCGCTGGATTCGGGGCGCTTTTTCTCTTTTATTAGTTCACGGCATTTGACCCCGGAGGCCCTCAACACTTGCGGTTTTTATCGAAAGTTCCGGCTAGAACATTGGAATTATGGATTTTTGAATTTGTCGCGAAAAAAATGCGAAAAAACCCCAATTTTCCCGGTTTTTCGGCAATTTTTCGCGGGAAAATGGGAAAATCCGGAAGAAGTTGATGTTTTCCCTCGAAATTCATGTTGTATTTTAGTGGATTATGATGTCTTCTTCCTCTATCTACCTGGTGAATCCGGTTTTACTTCGGTTTGCATCGATTTTCATCGATTTTCCGCTCAAAAACAGCTGTTTTCCGCGAATTTTTGGATTTTCTTTTCGGTTTTACTCTAATTAGGTAATAAAATTGTTCAATTTAGCTAAATTATCAAGAAACATGTCTGTTTACACCTATTCCCCTTTAATTTTACATCGAATTCCCAAATTTTCGAAATTTTTTCGATTTTGTTACCTAAAATTATATTATCCATCGGAAAATCGAGCCGTCGTCTTGTCTTTGCCTGTTTTTTGGAAGGTCTAAGCGCCAAACAGGGATTTCGAGTTGTTTACATTCGATTTCAAGCACATTGCGCAATCTTTGCACTCCTTGGCCATGAATAATGTAGGGTAATGGTCCACAAACAAGGTGTAGGTGTTCCATTGTGTTGCGAAATCGTTGTAGTACGTGCATACGTTTTGTTGAATGATGTGACGCAACACTTGGCAATTGAATGGAGGGGAATTGCAGGAAATTTCGAAATCTCCCGGATTTTTGCTAAATCTCCGGGAAAGGAAAGAAATTTTTAATTGTTTTTGGGGGATTTCTTTGATAACAAGTTGGCGGATGTCATACTACATGTCTGGGAAGGCTTTTCACCCCAGACAAGTCGAGTTTCATTTATTTTTTGGCCAATTTTCTCCGGCTGGAGCATGGATAAGATAATTTAGGTAAGAAGTTGTCGATATTTCAAATTTTCGTGGCAAATTGTTGATGAAAAAGATGCTTGAAGGTGGTTTAGAGCTATTTGATTTATTGCTGCCTCTTAGTTCGAGCTTCGACATTGATTTTGAGGCAAATTTTTCGTCTGGCCAATGGGTAATGTAGTTTTGGTCTTTTCTCCGAGATTTTTTGATATTTTTAAGGGAATTCTTGCTGGATATGTTGTCTAGGACTATGTTAGAGGTGCTCATTGACTTTTTGTCCCAAGAATTTTGCGATAACATCAGTTTTAAATAATTTTTTTATCAGTCTGATGGATAATATAATTTTGATAATTTCTCCGGGTTTTTTTGATATTTCCTGATAAATTACTGTTTAATAAGTTGCCTAAGACCATTGCGGAAGTGTTGATTTAGTTTTTATCTCCAGAAAAAGCTATAAAATAGATTTTTTTTTCAAATTTCCCATCAGAACCATGTATAATATAGGGTTTGCAGGATTTTGTATAATTTTCGGGCCAAGAGCTTAGCAACAGTTTGTCCCCAAGTCAAACACCATGACGTAGAGACTGAAGGCCCTCCAAACTACTTGCAAAGCTTGAAAGCTCGCAAGTCAAAACGAATTCTAAGGCCAGGTGTTCGAACTCCCCTCCCGGGCGGGGGTTTCGGCCCACAAAACACGGGGAGACCGGGATTTTCAGATGTTTACGTGATTATAGTCTCCTGAGTGATTTTTTATTACGATTTGGGGTTGATTTGTCTCAAAATTATCATGGGTAATATAAATTTTTTTGTGGAAATGAGATTTTTAATCCAATTTTTGTTTAGAAAGAAGAATTGGGAGGTCGGAAATTCAATGAGAGCAAAAATATTGGTTGCTGGCTCTATCTGAATCGTTTTTTGATCAAATTTGGCCGGTTTTGTTATCAAAATTGGATCTGGAACGGGTTGAGTCAGCTTGGGAAACCGCAAGATCTATGAGAGATGAACGGAACAGCATTTTGAAACTCGATGTTGATTAGGAAGTAGTTTGGAGCGTGCAGTTGCATCTGCAAAGCTGTGATCGTGTCAGCGGGGACTTTTTTTGGCTTCGCCGTTTTCTAGAGAGATTCCGGGTTACATTTTAAACCTAAGGAGCACATCTATCCCCAAGGTCAAATAGCAAATGGGTCGCCAAAGCTGGACATGGTAACCGGATGTTTGCTGAATCCACACTACCAGACCACCATGGAGTTCGTACGAAAAGCGAAGGCTTGCACAGGCGATTACACGTCTAGATCACATGATAAAAACGTCATTTAAAACTTTTGGAAAGCGTTAATGGAAGAAAATCACCAGTTTGGGTAGCTCTGCATCAAACATGGTTTAACGCGTTCAAACCCGTCTAAACCTGGCCGAATGTGTCCCCATACCAGTCCTAGTAATCAGTGGAGGACTCACTCATTACTAGGATTGTTTGTTAAATTGTGGTTATTAGTAAAAGATTGAATTAAACCACGTGGTCATATCATTTTGTCCAGCCGATTTTTGGCGGTTTCGCGTTTTTCCAAATTTTACTCACCTTGCACTTTTTGAAATCCTTTGATACTTTTTGGGTACATGTTACATTGCTCCATACTCACTTTCACCAAATATTAAAGCAATTCATTTACCATGGACAAATTGCCAGCGCAAAATTGCGGTGGTCATATCATTTTGTCCAGCAGTGTATTTCTCACGACAAAATTGCAGAACTCGTATTTTAGCGATTTCCCTCGCTGAAATCGAGATTTTTCGAAGTTGATCATCAAAATTGATGTTATCCTTGATTTTTCTGATAGTTTGGAGGTATTTATAGGTAAAATAATGTTGATTGTGGAGCCTAAAGTTATATCTTTCTACTGAAACCATTTTTTCCATGTATTTTATCCATTTTCCCACCTAAATCGAGAGTTTTCCACCTTCTCCATCAGAAAATTGATATTATCTTTGAGTTTCTTGGTATTTTATAGGTTTTACTGGGTGAATATGTTTCCATTTTGTAGCTTAAGGTCTTGGGTTTTGGTTAAACACTCTGGCCACGCATGTTATACCGATTTTCCCACGTAAATCGAGATTTTTCGACCTTCTCCATCAGAAAATTGATATTATCCTTTATTTTCTCGGTATTTTGGAGGTATTCGTAGGTAAAATAATGTTTATTATGGAGCCTAAGGTCCCGGCTTTCTATTGAAACCATGTTTGCCCCATATTCTACCCATTTTCCCACCTAAATCGAGATTTTTCGACCTTCTCCATCAGAAAATTGATATAATCCTTTATTTTCTTAAAAATTTGGAGGTATTTAAAGGTAAAATAGTGTTTATTGTGGAGCCTAAGGTCCTGTCTTTCTATTGAAACCATTTTTGCCCCATATTCTTCCCTTTTTCCCACCTAAATCGAGAGTTTTCCACCTTCACCATGAGCAATTTGCAAATTTTAGTCGCTTAGTCGTCGGAACGCCCCGCTTCGAGGCCTTAATGAATAAAAAATGTCGCCGCCGACGACCCCGCGCGTCGCTGACCCCGTCCACGTTGATATGGGGGAGGTCGGCGACGGCGCGCACGACCAGGAAACGGAGGACGTCGCCCGGCCAAGTCATATAACCCAACATAAGGCCAAAACCCCCGAACATCGGTAGGGCAAAGCGTTGATAATAAGTGTACTAGGGCTAATAGAAGCTATGGAAGAGAATTTTGGGGGAATTTGAAAAATTCGGTATATTGTAGTAGGTAAAATCACCTAAAATAAGGTGAAATTTGATGGGCATGGATGAAGTAAAGGCGAGACATGGGTGTTTAAAGGTTGGGAAATCATTTTTGGTATGTTATCATGGCGAATTCAGAGGTAAATGGGAGTCATTTTTGAAAAAAATTATGTACAGTGGGGGACCTGATCCAGTGGCAACAGTTGCCAAGATGCGGTAGTACAGCCCTTTTTTTCTGAAAACACATAAATTTCTACACTAATCTCTCTTTTCGCTGTTGTTTTCACCAAAAACGTAACTTTTTTCTTCTACGTATAAAATGGCAAACAACATTTTCACAAAGCTCGGGCGCAGCCCACAAAAACAGTTTTTGAAGAAAATAACGTGCAAGTGGCGAAAAACGTACCATTTTGCATCCAGGAAGCATCAGAAATGTGGCAAAATGCCTCCCTCTCAAGGGAAAAAACTTCGTTTTGAAGGGCCCTCGCAAAAAGAGCTGGCTCGCTTTTGAAATCGGAGTTTTTTCACTTGGAGAGGGAAGCATTTTGCCACATTTTTGCTACTTCCCGGATGCAAAATATTACGTTTTTTGCCACGAGCACGTTATTTTCTTCAAAAATTGTTTTTGTGGGCTGCACCCGAACTTTGTGAAAATGTTGTTTGCCATTTTATACGTAGAAGAAAAAAAGTTCCGTTTTTGGTGAAAACAACAGTGAAAAGAGAAATTAATGTATAATTTTATGTGTTTTCAGAAAAAAAGACTGTAATACCGCATCTTGGCAACTGCTGCTACTGGATCGTGTCCCTCACTGTAAAATAAGGTAATTTTTGCCTATTTTTTGACCTGAATGGGATGAAAAGTAGGTGAAAAGTTGGGTTAGAGTGGGAATTTAGCCAGAATGTGTAAAAAGGTCTTTTGTTTTTCCATGTTTTACCAAAAAATCCCGTTTTAGGCCGTTCATCGCCTCCCCATTTATGCCGATAACTACCAAGTCGAAGAACGAGGTCGTGGAACAGCCCCGGAAACTCAAAGAGCCCCGAAGCCGCTCACCCACCAAGTATGGAGCACTGGCGCACAAGAGGTCGGACGCGGACCAGCGAAGAGCCGAACTTTTGCCGCTGCAGGCTGCGCCCGAGCCTTCCCCCGATTCGCTCGCCGTGACGCCGGCGGACCCGGTGCAGCCCCGGAAACGCTCGGATTCGGAGTCGTCGCACAGTTCGGACGCCTCGGAGTCCTCCAGCAGCTCCGACTCCTCCGACTCGTCTTACACCAGGTTCAGCGACCTGACCCGAAAACAATGGGCCACGATGGGCATGCTGGCCATTGCGAATTTGTGCTCAACAGTTGCATTCTCATGCATAGCCCCGTTTTATCCCGGCGAGGCCACCGACAAAGGCATGAACTCGACGGAAATTGGAATTGTCTTTGGAGTTTTTGAACTGGTCATGTTTGTCACAGCACCATTGCTCGGGAAATATGTAGGTTCTTTGGGGATTTTTGAGGCCAATGGAGGAATTTCGAGCCTATGAGAGGCATTTTGGATCGGGTTTTGATCAAAATTTTGGTGGGTTAGATCATGGTGAATATAATTTTTGCCGAGTTTTGGAGCGTTTTGGATTAAGAAGTGTAGAAAAGTCCCTGAAAATTGATTTGAGGAGGCTTGGGGTGGTTTTTAAACTGTATTTTGGTCAAAATTTTGATGGCTTTTGTCATGGTGAATATAAATTTTGTCGAAATTTGATATCGTTTGGGTTTTGAAAGGTGTATTCTTTACTAAAATGGGGATAGAAATAACTTTTGTTGTATTTACAGTGAGATTTTGCGATTTTTTGGATCAACTTTTGTCATGGTGAATATAATTTTTGTTGAAATTTGATATCGTTTGGGTTTTGAAAGGTGTATTCTCTACTAACATGGGGATAAAAGTAACTTTTGTTGTATTTACATTGAGATTTTGCGACTTTTTGGATCAAATTTTGTCATGGTGAATATAATTTTTGAGAATTTTGTTCTGGAAATCATAGTAAAATACGACCTAGGACAATTTAATATAAATTTAAAAATTTAATACAAAATATTTTCAGATGACCACAATCGGGTCGAAGCGCATGTTCACGGTGGGTTTGTTCATGACCGGCGTGACGGCCATCCTGTTCGGGTTCCTCAACTTGCTGCCGGCGGGTAGTCTGTTTTTCTGGGCCTCGCTGGTGATCCGATGCCTGGAGGCGCTGGGAGACGCCTGCTTTGTGACTTCCTCATTCGCCATCAGTGCCAAATGTTTTCCCGGGCGAATCGCGACGGTTGTGGTGAGTTGGGCGAACGGCAGCTCGCGCCCTGGGCTGGGAAAGGAATGAAAGGGGGATTAGGGCTAAATTATGATGTAGAATGTGTCGGTGATTAGTAATATAAGTTTTAAAATGATTTTTGATGTTTTTTATTTTTTGATTTTTGGCAGCTCGCGCCCTAGGTTGGGAATGAAAAAAGGGGATTTGGGGTAAATTATGATGTACAGGGTGGTTCAGCCGAAGCTTCCATCCTTATTTCAAGCATTTCTCCGCCTATAATGCACCAATTTTTATAAAATTTATATCAAATTGAAGCTGAAGTTTCCCATTTTTTGTCCACCAAATATGACAGGCCCAAGTTCAAGGATACCCCCGTACTGACCTTTGACATTTTCATTCCAAATTTTGGAGCCCGAAATCGGTGAAAATTAGAAAATTTTTGGAATGATTTTCAATTGAGTTTCTCGGACTTGGAAAATTTTTGGATTTGCGGCAAAAACAAAGTCGCCAAATTCAATGAAAATTTTTTAAAAAAGTAAGGTTCACAGAAGTAGCAAGTGCCTAAAAAGCATATTTCAATCCGGCGAGGCACCAAATCGAACGATTGAAAACGAAAGCTCTTTTCTCGGGCAATTCAGGCCTTACAACTTGTTATTTATCTTCAGGGTGGATTTCGTCATCCACATAGACAGTCTCGCCCATTTTTTCGTATTTTTTAAAATTTCGATTAACAAAGCCTGTTACCCCAGAACACAAGAGCAATGCCTTCAAGATTAATTAGGAGTATTCCGTTGACTGCGGTCAATTTTTTCAGCAACTTCTGAATGTCATATTTAGCCAAAGACTCGAATATTTTCCAAGTACGAAAACTTAATTGAAAATCATTGCAAAAATTTTCTAAGTTTCACCGATTTCGGGCTCTAAAATTTGGAATGAAAATGTCAAGGGTCAGTACGGGGGTATCCTTAAACTTGGGCCTGTCATATTTGGTGGACAAAAAATGGAGAACTTCAGCTTCAATTTGATATAAATTTTATAAAAAATGGTGCATTATCGGCGGAGAAATACTTGAAATAAGGATGGAAGCTTCGGCTGAACCACCCTGTAGAAAGCATCAAGGATAATGCTAAAAAGTATTAAAACAATTTTTAATGTTTTTATTTTCTGATTTTTTGGCAGCTCGCGCCCTAGCTTTGTCTCGGAAATCTTGAAAAATTGGAGAAATTTTTTGATTTTTTGATGATTTTTGCCAAATAATTTTTTTTTTCAGGGTCTAATCGAGACATTTGCGGGTCTGGGCTACACCGCTGGACCGGTGATCGGCGCCGTTTTGTACGAATACGGCGGATTTCAAATGCCATTTTTGGTGCTGGGATTCTTATTAATCCTGGCGACGGTGGTCTCAATTTTCCTGGTAGAGGATATCGAGGACGAGGAAGCGGAGGACACGAAGGGAATGCTCGGCATGCTCAAAATGCCCGTGATTTGGCTCATGGTTTTCGCGGTGGTGATTTGCGCCATCTCGTTGAGCTTTTTCGACCCAACGTTGGCGGCTCATCTGGAATCGGTAGGTTGAAGTTTGTGTTGAATTAGTGCTTCGATGTTTAGGAAAGTTGGAAGAAAAATCAACCGCAAATTTTTGACTGCACAGTGCAGCGGAAAATAAACCATTTTTTGGCTGGATTTTCGCCAATTTTTTGTGGAAAAAATTAATTTTTTTCATGCACATTCTACTCATCATTCTAGACAAAGTCCAAATTTTTCAATTTGAAAATCAAAAAAAAAAATTTTTTATTTTTCGATCAAAAAATTTCGATTATTTTTTTTCAAACCACAAGAAAATCATCCCATAGACCGTTTAGAAAATTCCATTCAACTATACTACTAGTCGTTCCAGAAAGTGCGTGCACTTTTTTCCGCCTTTTTTGCACCGCACAGTGCAAGTTTTCGAGTTCCCCGCGCGACGCGATCCTTTTCGAAACATTTTGCACTGTGCAATTTCCCCAAAGTTCGCGCCGCCTCCGTTGAGAAAAGCCTGCGTCGCTGCGACATTGCAATTGCACGGTGCAAAGGTCAAATGCACCCCGCAAGAAGGGAATTTTGTGCACAGTGCGGTCCACGACAAAGAGTGCACGCACTTTCTGGAACGACTAGTAGTCGAATTCCATCGATTGCGACCCCGCATCGATTGCGACCCAGCATCGATTGCGACCCAGCATCGATTGCGACCCCGCAACGATTGCGACCCAAAATGGGGTAAAGCGACCCCGGGATGAAAATTCCTTGATTCTCTTCGGGAAAAACTTGATTTAGGGGTTTTCGAGGGTGCTGAATTCGAAAATGATGTTTATTTTTCCTCTAGTACTACATAGTGCTGTCTGATACTGTATAGTACGAAGTCAAAATATCGCTTTTGACGTTAAATACTCGATTTAGGGGTTTTCGAGGGTGCTGAATTCGAAAATGATGTTTATTTTTCCTCTAGTACTACATAGTGCTGTCTGATACTATATAGTACGAAGTCAAAATATCGCTTTTGACGTTAAATACTCGATTTAGGGGTTTTCGAGGGTGCTGAATTCGAAAATGATGTTTATTTTTCCTCTAGTACTACATAGTGCTATCTGATACTATATAGTACGAAGTCAAAATATCGCTTTTGACGTTAAATACTCGATTTAGGGGTTTTCGAGGGTGCTGAATTCGAAAATGATGTTCATTTTTCCTCTAGTACTACATAGTACTGTCTGATACTATATAGTACGAAGTCAAAATATCACTTTTGACGTTAATGCTGTTGTTTTGATGCTTAGTACTCTTCAAAAACACGTTTTAAAGGCTTGGTGCTATATAGTACTGTCTGATACTATATAGTACGAAGTCAAAATATGGCTTTTGACGTTAATGGTGTTGTTTTGATGCTTGGTACTCTTCAAAAACACGTTTTAAAGGCTTGGTGCTATATAGTACTGTCTGATACTATATAGTACGAAGTCAAAATATCGCTTTTAACGTTAATGGTGTTGTTTTGATGCTTAGTACTCTTCAAAAACACGTTTTAAAAGCTTGGTGCTATATAGTACTGTCTGATACTATATAGTACGAAGTCAAAATATCGCTTTTAACGTTAATGGTGTTGTTTTGATGCTTAGTACTCTTCAAAAACACGTTTTAAAAGCTTGGTGCTATATAGTACTGTCTGATACTATATAGTACGAAGTCAAAATATCGCTTTTGACGTTAATGGTGTTGTTTTGATGCTTGGTACTCTTCAAAAACACGTTTCAAAGGCTTGGTGCTATATAGTACTGTCTGATACTATATAGTACGAAGTCAAAATATCGCTTTTGACGTTAATGGTGTTGTTTTGATGCTTGGTATTCTTCAAAAACACGTTTTAAAGACTTGGTGCTATATAGTACTGTCTGATACTATATAGTACGAAGTCAAAATATCGCTTTTGACGTTAAATACTCGATTTAGGGGTTTTCGAGGGTGCTGATTTCGAATATCATGTTCATTTTTTCTGAAACTTGCAAGTTTTCCTTAACTAGTGGTGTTAAAAAGTAATTTTTTAAAATTTTTCAAAAAATACTCGATTTAGGGGTTTTCGAAGGTGCTGATTTCGAGTATCGGGTTTATTTTTTGGGGTTAGTCGCTGACTATGATGTTTAAGACGTGTTTTTTATGTCAGGTCGCGACAAAGCTCGCGACCACGGTCGATGCGGTTGCTCAAAAACCTCTGGAAATGGGGTTAGTGTTTGATTATGACGGTCAAGAAATTTCTTTTAATTATGTTTTTTTCGTTTTCATATACCTTTTCACATTTTTTAACTCGTTTGGATAACGCATCATTTTATAATATAAAAGATGAAACAATAAAAAGAATTGATGATGAAAATATTAGAATTGATGTGAAATGTTTGTTGAGGTCACCGATGAAATATGCTTGAGGTACGCCTTAAAATAAAAATTAAAGCAAAAAGTTCCTTATTTTGGCCACAATAAAGGTACTCCGCGAACTGCGCCCAAGCTTGGGCACTTAGAAAATAACTAAATCCACTGCCCGGGCATTGAGAACGATGAATTCAACGTGCACGCTAAATTTGGGCTAATTCCGACCAGTTTCCGCAAAGTTATAAGTTGTGGCCAAAATAAGGAACTCTAACCAAATTAAACACTTTAAATGCCCCCCTCCGCATCCCTCTTTTTTACAGTCCAGTTCTTTACGGCTTCATCTGCTCCATAATCAATCCGGTTTCTTTGGCCTTCTTCGTCGGTGGTTCGGTGCTATCATACAGATTGACAATATGGGCAAAAAGGAGAGATACCACGGTGGGTGATAACTTTTTACACATATACTGTAGCATAAAACAGTTATCAATTGACAGACTATCAAGGAGCCGTCTGAGAGAGCGTGGATCGTACTCAGTGTTTTTCAAAAGTCCTTCAACTAAAACTCGGCGACGGAACGGAAGTGTTTCAAAAATGATGTTGAAAATCTGCAGTAGATTAGTCAAGACTCCCAGCCATGTGAAAAAGTACAACGCGGACGCCATCAATGCATTCGTTGCCGCCATGTTATGATAGCATGCCGCAATTACAGTTTTTTTGCCGTCGGGAGAATAGGGAACTGTGCAATTCCAGGAAGTAACCGTCGCAGAGCTGCTACCGGCGAGATTAATGAGAGGTCCAACCATCCCCATATTGTTTAAAATTGGCTGCAACTTCAACCACCACATGATAATTAGAAAAATCGTATGAATGATGTGGTAGACCATACAGAACAACGTCGTCTTGAAGGTGGTGTCCCTTCGTTTTAAAGAAACGAGTAGGAACCAGGTTGCGGCGTAAGTCTGCCGGGCCCGCTTCTCTGGATTGGTGTAGCTGACTTCATTTTGTAATTCAGCGGTCAAGTTGAAGAAGTCGGTACCTATAAAAATCATTTCCGAATGAGTTGGGGGCAGAAACGAAAGAATTGGAATTGTATTTTTTAGAAAATCCTACAGCTTTAACCTGATTTTCCTACAGCTTTAACCTGATTTTAAACAAAACCCAGACAGAAACGAGCAGATTATTTTTTTAAGTTTACATACGGTCTCTGGATAAAAACCTCGGTGGTTTCTGAACATAAAGAGCCAAGAATCTTGCATATATCTTATAAAATTATGTTGTTTCGTGAAATTTTTTCCCTCATGTCAAAATAGTTGGTCAAACAGTAGTATTTTTCGAATTGCTTACTAAAATATGCCATCCATCCTTGACGCATGTTGGCGATAAAATATAACAGTCCACCGAACAAGAACATGTATTGCATGTCGTACAAACCTTCTGGGGCACCAAAACCGAGGCAGTACCGCTCGGAATCTGCAATGAAAATCTTAAAGTTTTGAATCAAAAATATAACCCAGGCGTTCAATAACGCTCGTAGAATTATTCTCCTTAAATCAACTTTCACACAAAAAAAGCTCACCTATGCCTTGAACAGGCTGAGAGCGTTCTAGAGTTCGCTATGAAAACCGATTTTGTATTCTGCAGCCTCCTCGCAATGCGCCAAAGAGGCGAGATCTTATTAGCGCTGTATGTTTCTTCTTCTTTCTGTCTGTTATCGGCGTTAGCAACATTAATAAACGATGCAAAAACATTGATTATGTGCTCTTGCGGTGCCAAACATCTTACTAAAGGGAATAATGTAAGCTTCCGATCAAATTATATGCAATCATTTCAACGTTTGGATTCGTTAAAATGATTTCAGACTCCTGAAGATTGCCAAGACAACAACAAATTACCATCTTGGATAGATTTTGATCTTCGTTATGTCATTTTATCCATGGACTCCGACAGATATCGAACGTGTCGTGAAGAGATCACAAGGAGGTGCATGCGTTTACAGGTATAAAATTTTATTAATGGAATAATTGGAAACCTCAGACGAGAATGGTATATATTTTCTACTTCCTACGCAGAATGTTATACTTAACTTTTTCAAGAAAATAAAACAAATAATCAGATGTGGCAGGGTGGCCGCGGCTTTGGAAATTTTGAAAAGGGCCGGACCGAACATTCTGTTCTCAAGGTATTTTCAGCAAAAATTTTTTGTTTTTGGAAGAAAAAGCGGTTTGTAAGACAGGAAAACCTCATTTATTACTTAGAAACATGTTGGCAATGGCAAAATCCATCAAAAAAGTTTTTAAAAGTTCACTTTTAGTCAAGCTTGAACAGTGTTTCACTATTTTTCGACTTATTTAATATAAAATATTTTTTCATTTCAAATCGACGGCCTTCCATTGGCTTAAACCTGTATATTCGAAAGGATCTTGGTCTCTTCTTATAAATGGGCAACCGGCTCAATTTATTACCAATAACGATCAAAAATTGGAGAATTTCATCCAGATGTCATGGATAACATGATTTAATTTCTCAAATGCTTTACATTGGTTTTTCCCCGGATCTAACAATGGTTTTGAGAATCAAACGACCTATCTGATGTTTTCAATTTACTTTCACGGCCTGCTTACCTATTATTGAATTTTCCATCTTCGAAAATCTGAAAAAATGTTTAAAAAAAACATTCCGTTATCCAAACGAGTTAAAAAAAGATATGAAAACGAAAAAACACAATTAAAAGAAATTTCTTGACCGTCATAATCAAACACTAACCCCATTTCCAGGGCTTTCTGAGCAACGGCCTCGACCTTGGTCGCGAGCTTCGTCGCGACCTGACATGAAAAACACGTCTTAAACATCATAATCAACCATTAACCCCATTTCCGGGGTTTTTGAGCAACCATCTTGACCTTTGTCGCTAGCTTCGTCGCGACCTGACATAAAAAACACGTCTTAAACATCATAGTCAGCGACTAACCCCAAAAAATAAACCCGATACTCGAAATCAGCACCCTCGAAAACCTCTAAATCGAGTATTTTTTGAAAAATTTTTAAAAATTACTTTTTAACACCACTAGTTAAGGAAAACTAGTAAGTTTCAGAAAAAATGAACATGATATTCGAAATCAGCACCCTCGAAAACCCCTAAATCGAGTATTTAACGTCAAAAGCGATATTTTGACTTCGTACTATATAGTATCAGACAGTACTATATAGCACCAAGCTTTTAAAACGTGTTTTTGAAGAGTACTAAGCATCAAAACAACACCATTAACGTTAAAAGCGATATTTTGACTTCGTACTATATAGTATCAGACAGTACTATATAGCACCAAGCTTTTAAAACGTGTTTTTGAAGAGTACTAAGCATCAAAACAACACCATTAACGTTAAAAGCGATATTTTGACTTCGTACTATATAGTATCAGACAGTACTATATAGCACCAAGCCTTTAAAACGTGTTTTTGAAGAGTACCAAGCATCAAAACAACAGCATTAACGTCAAAAGCGATATTTTGACTTCGTACTATATAGTATCAGACAGTACTATATAGCACCAAGCCTTTAAAACGTGTTTTTGAAGAGTACTAAGCATCAAAACAACAGCATTAACGTCAAAAGCGATATTTTGACTTCGTACTATATAGTATCAGACAGTACTATATAGCACCAAGCCTTTAAAACGTGTTTTTGAAGAGTACTAAGCATCAAAACAACACCATTAACGTCAAAAGCGATATTTTGACTTCGTACTATATAGTATCAGACAGTACTATATAGCACCAAGCCTTTAAAACGTGTTTTTGAAGAGTACTAAGCATCAAAACAACACCATTAACGTCAAAAGCGATATTTTGACTTCGTACTATATAGTATCAGACAGTACTATATAGCACCAAGCCTTTAAAACGTGTTTTTGAAGAGTACTAAGCATCAAAACAACACCATTAACGTCAAAAGCGATATTTTGACTTCGTACTATATAGTATCAGACAGTACTATGTAGTACTAGAGGAAAAATTAACATCATTTTCGAAATCGGCACCCTCGAAAACCCCTAAATCGAGTATTTAACGTCAAAAGCGGTATTTTCACTTCGTACTATATAGTATCAGACAGCACTATGTAGTACTAGAGGAAAATAAACATCATTTTCGAAATCAGCACCCTCGAAAACCCCTAAAGCAAGTTTTTCCCGAAGAGAATCAAGGAATTTTCATCCCGGGGTCGCTTTACCCCATTTTGGGTCGCAATCGATGCGGGGTCGCAATCGATGCGAGGTCGCAATCGAGCGGGGTCGCAATCGAAGGATTCCTACTATCAGTCTGGCCGAAAAAGAACCGGCCTCCCCGAACCCTTCCGTCGCACTCACTCCAAACCCCAATTTGCACCGCGCAGAAATTTGGAGGACGTCGCCGAAGAAAAGAGCAAAAACAACGCATCGCCAGCGATAAAAATGGGTTTTGCACAGTGCAAATGCCCTTTTTCTGCTGTTTCGCACTGTGCAATCAAGAAAATTCCCACAAATTCAGCGATCTTTCGATGTCGCGCGCACTTTTGCGATGCATCGCAAAAACATTCAATTTCGAGGTTGCGATTTCGAGGCGCGAGGGGGGCCGGTTCTTTTTCGGCCAGACTGATACTAGTCGCGACATAAAGTCCTGACACATTTTGCACCGTGCGAAAGTTCGGGGTTTGGACGTCGCACCGCGCATTCTTCTTTCATTTCATCCGCACGGTGCATCTTTTTACATTTGTCGCCGCGATTTTCCATTTTTGCACTAGCGACATGCACTTTCGCACCGTGCTTTCTCTTTCATTTTCATCCGCACGGTGCATCTTTTCGCATTTCTCGCCGCGATTTCCCGTTTTTGCACTAGCGACGTGCACTTTCGCGCGCGACAAACCCGAATTTGGGGGCGCGACGTCCAAACCCCGAACTTTCACACGGTGCAAAATGTGTCAGGACTTTATGGCGCGACTAGTACTAGTCCAGCAAAAAAGTCCGCGGAATGGCTGCACTACGCTGTTCGCGCATGCACTGTGCAGTTTTCGGCCCGCACAGTGCAAAGTTTCAGGGTGCGCGCGACGGAATTGGGCGCACGGTGCGAAAAGACGCTGCACAGTGCAATAAATTGAGTTCGTTTTGGGTTTGCACGGTGCGCTCGGTTTTGGCCAGATTTTGGTGGCGGCGCACGGTGCGGTTGGCTCCCCGATTGAATGCACAGTGCGGATATAAAATTACGTACGGCTTGGTTTAGGAGGGTAATAACTGTAGTAAATCGGGACATTGCTTGACTAAAATACATGATAATTATAAAATAATGGTTGCAGAAAGGATTGTGAATTTACTGGCGTTTTTTATTGTTGTTTCAAACCAAAAATGTTGTCATACAGTAATTTTAACGCCTTTTGAGTGCTGTTTTTTGCTAAAAAATACTTTATTTTAATTTTACAAGGATGTTGACAACTTTAGTGACTCAATAATCAATTTTAAGAATTTCAAGTGGAAATTTACCATCATTAATGCAACATTACACAGTAAAAATCTCAATTTCCGAAAGACCGCACAGTGCAAACCACAATCAATTTTAGGTCTGCACTGTGCAGACGGCCGAGAATTGCATGCTCCCCGCACTGTGCAAGCAAAAAAACCCCAAAAGAACGAACGATTTCCGAAGCGGCAGCCCCAATTTCGGCGACATGTCGCAGAAATTTCGATTTTCATTCGAAAATCGCTGCGATTTCGCAAGCGAAACGGAATTCCAGGATGCACTGTGCAAAAAGCCCAGAAATGGCCGCACAGTGCCGATTTTAGCCCTTTGCACTGTGCAAAGTCAAAATGCACCGTGCGAAAAGTCTGTCGCGGGGGTATGCACTGTGCTGATTCAAACTGCACAGTGCGGGGTGCGAAATCCATTCCGCGGACTTTTTTGCTGGACTAGTACTATTAGCATTTTCACGAAGTGCCTGGACATCATTTCGCTTTCGCACAGTGCATCTTGAACCTTTGTCGCCAACGCACTGTGAACTTTCCCGTTTGCGCACCGTGCAAACCTCAAAAAAGCCGATTGCACTGTGCACATTCTCGCGGAGGCGCAGTTGAGAAAAGCTTACGTCGCAGCGATATTTCAAATGCACAGTGCAAAACCAAAAAAAGGTCAATGCACGGTGCGAAAAATCGGGGGCCTTTGTGCACAGTGCGCGTCGCGACAAATGTCCAGGCACATTGTGAAAATGCTATTAGTCCGTTCGTAAAGTCGCTGGAGTGATTTTTGGCGCTGTGCAAAAAGCCTTTTGCACGGTGCAAGAAGCAAGAAATTGCACAGTGCAAAGTGAACTTTTTTTGCAGTAAATGTTGCAAAAATCACTCAAGCGACTTTGCGAACAGACTAGTCTAGTTGAATGGAGTTTTTTAAACAATCTATGGGATGATTTTCTTGCGAGTTGAAAAAAAATAATCGGAATTTTTTGATCGAAAAATTAAATTTTTTTTTTGATTTTCAAATTGAAAAATTTGGACTTTGTCTAGAATGAGGAGTAGAATGTTGATGTGAAAAATTAATTTTTTCCACAAAAAAATTAGCGGAAATATAGCCAAAAAATGGTTTATTTTCCGCTGCACTGTGCAGTCAAAAATTTGAGTTTATTTTTTGTTGGCACTGTGCAAAAACCTTCAACAATCAGTTTTTGGGGGTTTTTATTCAAATAAAAGGTGTTGCAACAGATTTTTTCCGCGATTTATTGCGATTTATCATGATTTTTCCCTGATTTTCCCCCCATTTTCAGTTCAATTTGTCCACCACGATGGTGGGCCTAATGTTCCTGTTGTGCGGCGGAATCTACACCCTAACCGCACCCCTGTGGGGCCTGATCATCGACCAGTGGAACTGCTGCTACCTCCTGATGTTCTTCGGATCCTCGGCGACGGTGGTTTCGATGCTTTTTGTGGGCCCATCCCCAATCTTCCACATGGAGAAGAACTTGGTCGTAATCGGGCTGAGTTTGTCGCTGTTTGGAGTGGCCGCCGGCGCATTGTACATCCCCACCTTCCAGAACTGCCTCAACGCAGTGAAGTGAGTCGAAATTTGTGGATTTTTTGGGGAAAATTTGAGATTTTTTGGAAAAAATTTTGGGTAAAATAAGGTGAAAATTAGATGGAAAAGGGGAATTTAGGATGGGAAATTGTGAAATACGAATAGTGGAAGAATTTTAAATTGATTTTAATCATTTTTCGAAAAAAAATCGGAATTTTTTGGAAAAGTTTTTACCTAAGATAAGGTAAATTTTTGTTGAAAGTGGGGGAAATTTGGATCGTAAAGTGGCGTAAGATGGTTCTTCTTTTAGAAAACGAGGATATGAAGACAACTTCCAGACCTATGGCTGCGTCTCCGGTGTTTTCCAGGCCGCGTTTGCCTTTGGGTAAGCGAATTTTTGGCAAGGAAAGTGCTTCTATGGGTATGGAGTTGCGGATCGAGAAATATATCAAAAAATCACGAAGTTTTTGTGATTCAGAATATGTAAAAGATAGCTGCGTAATTTTGGTTTGTAAGGGCGAAAAACCCCTCAGAACTTGCCTCGCAGCACCATGTAAATGCTTTTTTGACCAAGTTTTTACCAAATCAAACGCTTTGTTTTGAGCTAAAGTAAACTCTGGCATCTTGAGAAGCCTTAAAATATCAAATTTGATTAATACTACACCTTAATTAGTAGTGCCAATTTACAGTGACGGACCTGATCCAGTGGCAAAAAACGTACCATTTTGCATCCAGAAAGTATCAAAAATGTGGCAAAATGCCTCCCTCTACAAGTGAAAAAACTCCGATTTCAAAACCAAGCCCGCTATTTTTATTAGGGCCCTGCAAAACGGAGTTTTTTCACTTGGAGAGGGAGGCATTTTGCCACATTTTTGATGCTTTCTGGATGCAAAATGGTACGTTTTTTGCCACTGGATCAGGTCCGTCACTGTATATTGGAACTACTAATTAAGGTGTAGTATTAATCAAATTTGATATTTTAAAGCTTGTCAAGACGCCAGAGTTTACTTTAGCTCAAAACAAAGCTTTTGATTTGGTAAAAACTTGGTCAAAAAAGCATTTACATGGTGCTGCGAGAAAAGTTCTGAGGGTTTTTTCACCCTTACAAACCAAAATTACGCAGCTATCTTTTACATACTATGAATCAGAAAAATTTTGCGATTTTTTGAGATATTTCTCGGCCTGTAACTCCATACCCCATAAAAGTACTTTCAAGCACTTTTCTTGTGAGTTTTTTTGCGAAATTTTGGACCTTTTTATAATTTTCTTGTCCTCCAGCGCCTTCATGGGTCCAACGCTGGGCGGGTTCGGCGTTCAGCAGATTGGGTTCGCGTGGACGACCTCCATAATCGCCGTAATCAATGTGTTCTTCCTGGTGATTATGCTCATTTTCTTCGCCATCCGCTGGTACAAGGGCGACATCGAGGAGGAGTCGGGGTCCGAGAGCTGCGACTCGGCCAGCGAACGCTCGCAGAAGGCATAATTTTGGAGAATTTGAATAATTTTTTACAATTTTTGGAATTTTTGCAAAAATTTTCTTAACTTTTGTTAATATTGTAATAAGTTTTGGTCGGACAAGAGTGGATTTGAGGTGAAAAGAGGGCATAGGGTCTCGAGAAGAGATGACATGGTGTTTTGGAGGATTTGGAGAAATTTGAATATTCAAAAAATTGAAAATTTTCGAAAAATTCAAGTTTTTTTGGAAATTTTTTGATTTTTTTAAAATTTTGAAAGTAAAAATTGTTGTAAACAATGAAATATCATAGAATATGCCTCTAGGCTCTTTGGCAAGTCGAGATTTTTTGGATTGTATCAATTTGAAAAGAAAAATTTTTAAAAAATTCCAAAAATTTGCGATTTTTGCCTATTTTTGTCTATTTTTTGCAATTTTTGGCAGTTAAAACTAATTTAAACTGCAAATAAATCAAGATCACCCCTCGATCTACCCTCCCCACCTCGGATCCCACCTTCTCTCGCCAGTTTTCCCTCAAATTTCCTTCAATTTCACTAATTTTCCCACGGTTTTTTCAACAGTTGTTGTTTTTTTCTACAAACTTCCCAATTTTAACAGGTTTTATTTTGTGATGATCCAGCTAAAATGTATTTATTTTGTCTTTCCTCGCTCCCTCTCTCGTATTGTTATCATCCCCCCTCGACTTCTATCTTAAACGTACGATACTGGTATTCAAAATTGGAATTTTTGCTCCGAAACTCAAAATAACGTCGATAAATTTGGATAAAACAGGAGAGTTGGAATCTTGACACTTACGAGGATGATTTAACCTGATTTTTTTGTTGAAAAATCCCGAAAATTTTGCGAATTTTTGGTTTAAAAATTTATTTTTATGTTTAGTGCCGAAGGCAATAATTTGTTTGTTACTTTTTACTGGTCAGGGACCTTCAAATTACCCAGTGATACCTATTTTTACTGAAAAATTTTAAAAATTCAATTTCCCGCCAAATTTTGGCATTCCGTTTCAAGCCTTGAAAAGAGCGTAAAAATGCTGAAAATTGAAGAAGACAGCATAAGAAATTGTTTGAAACACTTGATTTGCTTTTTTATGTGGTCTAAGATACCTTTCCATCAACTTTTTTATATTATCCATGATAAAAATTGATGTTTTTTGTCAAAAAATCAATGTAATCCTGGGCAAAACTGATATATTTTTATATTATCCGTTTTAAGCTTTCATAAAAATCAATTCGCTACACGTAACAACAAACAAACCATCTATACGGCTGAGATCATTGATATCGAGGTGGTTGATACATATTCTGTGGCATTTGAGGCGGCATCGCGCGCATTTGCACCTGATTCGGATTTATTATGGTGCCAGGAGGCATCATGTTTGGCTGTGTGCCGATTAGGCCTTGAGGCATTTGCTGGATGAACTGGCGCTGGACCATTTGTGGAGGCATACCTTGAACTAAAACAAGGTCGGGATTCCATAGAAAAATAAATAAAAAAGGCGGTTTTTTGATACTATTATAGTCCGTCAAGGCATGTAGTAACTCATTAGAATATCGTTTTCATCAATTTCCGACGTTTTTCCATCAATTTTGACTTTATATTCCACTTGACAAAAAAAAAAAATTCATGGCAAATTTTTATCTATTTTCTAGGATTTTTGACCTCGTGACCGTCCAAACATTTCTATAGATTCTCATAATCGAAAACAGTCTTCATTTTTTTTATCAAATACCAAAAATTTTTACATTATTCATGAGCTAAAGACCAAATTTTAGACATTTTGATGATAAACCACAGTCCAGTGGCAAAAAACGTACCATTTTGCATCCGAGAAGTATCAAAAAATGTCGCAAAATACCTCCCTCTCCAAGTGAAAACACTTCGTTTTGAAGGGCTCTCACAAAGAGGGCCCTTCAACACGCCTTTGAAATCGGATTTTTTCACTTGGAGAGGGAGGTATTTTGCTACATTTCTTGGTACTTCCTGGCTGCAAACGGTACGTTTTTTGCCACTGGATCAGGTCCGTAACTGTAGTTTATCATCAAAATGTCTAACATTTGGTCTTTAGCTCATGAATAATGTTAAAATCTTTGATATTTGATAAAAAAATGAAGACTGTTTTCGATTATGATGGTCTATAGAAATTCTTGGACGGTTAGGAGGTCAAAAATCCCAGAAAATAGATAAAAATTTGCCATGAATAACATTCTTTTGGGTCAAATGGAATATAAAGTCAAAATTGATGGAAAATCGTCGGAAATTGATAAAAAAGATATTCTAATGAGTTACTACACGCCTTGACGGACTATAATAGAATTTCTACCAATTTCCACCTGCTCTCTACTACAATATCCGCGCCTCTTCCAATTACCTTGTTGCTGCTGTTGTGGGTGTGCCATTCGAACCTGTTGGTGTTGATGGAACAGTGGGATGTTTTGAGCCTGTTGTGGATGCATTTGCATCTGATTCGGATGGTATTGAACTCGTTGTACTTGAGGATTACTCTGCTCCGGTTTCACTTGCCGAACATTGAAATGATGTTGTTGTGGGGGTTGCTGAGGATGTTGTGGGTAGTTGAGCGGAATCATCGACGGATTTGCCGGGTGTTGATGGAGTTGTTGCGGATTCTGGGTGGCTTGCATATAAGTTGGCGGGGCCTGTGGAAGGCATGGCTGTGGTTGTGTAAGGGCCTCCTAAATGTAGTAGATGTAACCATATTTTTCTAAGAAAAAATATCACACAATATGACCACGTATTTTACAAATTTTATATGGAAAAGCGGTTGTTTTAGGACCAATTTTAATTTCAGCCAGGGCGCGAGCTGCGTGAAAAATTTCGTTGTTATGGCCATAATTTTGGACAACAACTATGTTTTTGCTTCCCCACTAAACCAAACAACGTATCTTAGGATTGTTATTGTATTGCCTTCATTTTTAATTGAGTCCAGGGCGCGAGCTGCGCTGAGCGGATTTCTGAGTTTTACGTATTTTCCCAATCCGCAACGCAATTTCCGATAAACATACGTCCTTATAAAGCCCATACAGCCCGCACTACTTACAGTTTTGATCTTTTTCAGCGGCGGTGCTACCATTTCAGGGGCTTGTTGGAGTGGCCCTCTCACCACATCCTCATCCTTCATAAATTGCCGACGTTCGTACGGGATTTTGTCGCCATTGAACACGTCCACTGTGGGGAAAGGCGGTTCCTTGAAGAACGGATGCCTCAGGGCGTCTTCGGCGGTCAAGCGGCGAGTCGGGTCCATGGTTAACATCTTTTCGAGCAGGTCGAATTGCTGGTTGTCGGTGGGCAGTTTCTTCGACTCGATGTACTTTTTCAGCGAGCAGTTGGCGAAACTGAAGGCATTCGAGCTTATTTTATCTATTTTAATCGTGAAAACTTTCGAAATTTCAAAAAATTTTTAAATTCCCGCCAATTTTGGCATTCTGTTTTAAGCGCCATAAAATGCAAAAAATGGTTGGAAAATAGCAAATAAAGCTCTAATAAACTATTTATAAGCCAAAATTGAGGTTACTTTAAATTTTTGATAAATTTTTATACTATCCATGAACATGGATAATATAAAAAGTGGGTCAAAAATTCAAAATAATGGCAATTCAAGCCAGTAGATTACCTTTTAGTGCCTTCTTCGATATATTACAAATACTCTTTATCATTCTGCGGCACTTAAAACAAAGTTTTTTCCAACAAAACGCGACCAGCTCTACGTAAAATCTAATTCTCACCTGTTCCTTCTGAATTCCGCTTGCAATTTCAGGTATTCCGGCATGTTCTTGAGGTCAGGCCATTCCGCTTCACTCGGATATCCCATCACATTGAATATCTTGCCCAATTGCTCTTGATTATAGGGGGTTTGTGCCTTCAAGTCATCGTCTCGACTCAGAAATACCGGTTCATTCGTTAGGAGTTCACCGAAAATGCAGCCAATCGCCCAGATATCAATGGCTTTCGTATAATGTTTGGCGCAGAGTAAGAGTTCTGGCGCGCGGTACCAGTAGGTCACCACGACCGGGTCCACGTCGTAAAACGAGCGCAGCGGGTTGTAGAAGACTCTGGCGAAGCCCATGTCCGCGATCTTGACGCGGCCCCGGTCCAACAGATTGTCGCAGTCGCCCATCACCAAAATATTCGCCGGCTTCAGGTCGCGATGCAGGATCCAGTTGCTGTGCAGGTAGTTGATGCCTTCGAGGATCTGATACATCAGCGACTTGAGCATTCGCCGCTCCACGTGGAATGGGGTCTTGTTCTTGCGGCAATCGCGATGAGTTTTGATGATGTTCCAGAGGTCGTATTCGGCGTAGTCGAAGAGCAACCAGACTTTTCGTTCGGGCGTCAGGAACACCTGCTGAAGCTTGATCACGTTGGGATGGCTGAAAAACGCGGGAAATTCGTCTTTTGCGCAGGGTGGTTCAGCCGAAGCTTCCATCATTATTTCAAGCATTTCTCCGCCAATAATGCACCAGTTTCTATAAAATTTATTTCAAATTGAAGCTGAGATATCCCATTTTTTGTCCACCAAATACCACGGGCCCAAGTTCACGGAGGCTCCCGTACTGATCTTTGACATTTTCATTCCAAATTTTGGACTCCGAAATCGGTGAAACTTATACATTTTTTTGCAATGATTTTCAATTGAGTCTGAGGTACCCAATTTCTTAATGAAACTCAATTGAAAATCAATGCAAAATTTTCAATGTTTCATCGATTTCGGACTCCAAAATCCGGAATGAAAATTTCAAGGGTCAGTACGGGAGCCTCCGAGAACTGGGCCCGTGATATTTGGTGGACAGAAAATGGGGTACCTCAGCTTCAATTTGATATAAATTTTAAAGAAATTGATGCATTATTGGCGGAGATATACTTGAAATAGGGATGGCAGCTTCGGCTGAACTACCCTTTATAGTCCATCAAAGCGAAAAAAATGTTCATGCACTTAATGAAGATACTAATAGACGTATATGTTTCACCCGCATCTAAAATCGAAAGCACAAGAAACACACTTACTTCAGCTCTCTCAACAAGGTGATCTCCCGGACCGAGGACATCGTAAAGCCGGCGGTTTCGATCATCTTCAACGCGAAATACCTCTTTCCTCCCTGCTCCGGTCTTCGCATTCTGGCCTTGAAAACATGGCCGTACGTGCCCTTTCCGACCTAGAAATTAAATGAGAATAAGAAACTAAAGATCAAAATCTGAAAAAATCGTAAAATCTCACCTTGCAGTTTTCGAACTCGAACTGATCCTCCACATTGGCGCGGCGTTTCTCCAGCTCCAGCCGGAACCGAGCGTCTATCATACCGTTCGCTTCATACACTTGTTTTTATCCATTACGGCGAAAAAAGAGGAAGAAAATAGAAAATAATCGCTGTCAAAAATTATTGCGTCCAAACGGACGCGCGTCTCTCGCTTCGAAGGCGGCGATTTTCTCGTTGCGTCCCGGTTTCCGAGAGCGGCTGGTCTCGCGAGAAGGACAAGATTAAAAGGAACTTTTTTATTCCTTGGACTCAGTAGTGAAGAGGATGTTCGTACACTTTGTTTGAAACATGACGAGGACGTGCTTCTCCAAATTTTCCATGCATTGCGCGCCTAAACAAGGCATGCATCCGCTTTCCCTGCCTATACCCCGTCTCTGTGCTGATCCTATTGTCTATTCGAATCCTGATCCTATCTCATATCCGTATCAATTCCCCCTCAATCCTCATTCTTACTCTCCGCGACCCCGTAGGTCGGAATACTTCCTCAACACAATCAAGATACAATAACTCGCAACACGACTAGGGCTCGAGACTTCGCAGCCTGCGGCTGCTCACGTCTCTCGGGCAGCTATGCGGATAAAGACAGCTTTGCGCGCGATTTGGACCTATTCAACGTCGAAAACCAACGTAAAGTCGCCTATGTGGAAGAAACGCTCGCCAAAGCTTTGCCGACGGCCTCCGGCCGCGGCAGAAAAACGCTACGCGTTTGACTGAGCCTAGTGGAAAGTTTCAGCGCTCAAAACGCTATGCCGACCTTGTTTTAGATCGAAAAGTTAAAATCGCTAAGCTTACCCGAATCGCTAAGTCAGTCCCAGATCGCTAAGCCCGGTTAAAGCGCCCGCCGGCATGAGGCGACGGCCTACGGCCGCCGCGAGACTATGTTTTGTTACCTAAAATAATTTTCTTCCACCAAAAGTTGATCAAAAACACTTTCAGTAACCAAAAATCAACTAAAAAATGGACTCAGCGCTCAAAGGTATCCTAAGATACCATTTTTCCCGAAATCCCCATGAAATTTGGCCCTAAAACGGCCAAACCCCGAGAATCCAGGACCAAAAAAAAATAATTTTACAAAAATTTCTCGAAAAAATCCAGAAAACCCCGTCATGACGTGTCACGACGACCGTTTCCTTACCGCCCTCTTCACACACAGCACTCTCTCCGTCTGATCTCTGACCAAAATCGAAAGAGAAAACATTTCTCTAACCACCCTCCACCCCTTTCCCACTCTCTCTTTTCTCCCGCCAAACGAAGAAGGAAGCGGTTCTCTGCCCGCTCTCTCTCTTCCCCGCGCTCTTTTTTTGTGTTTTCGGGAATGGAAGTCGGCGTTTTTTCAAAACTGGCACTTGTTGCACTAAAAGTACCGGGGAAAAGGATACGACTATGTCCGAAATGACATGGAGATTCCGAATATGTAACTTTTAGACCGATTGTAATTGGAAATTTTCGAGTTTTGGTCGATTTTGTGATTATGTAAATTTTGATTTTTTTTTTTCGTTCCAAATATCTTACCAAAAAGTTGGATGTTACTACTGAGGTTTTGCATACTTCTCAGAAGTCTAAATACGAAGTGCACCTGAGAGCGGGATTTTTCGATTTCGACCTTGTTTTTCAGATAACGTAACTTTCGCCAAAGTAAGCAAAATCCAAAAATTTTGAAATTCGAATATTGCTCTCGCAGTTTGGTCGTATTTTAGAATTCGATTGCCGTTTCTGTAGCAGTTCAGTGTGCTGAATACGATAGAGGAAACAAAAATTCAAAAAAATTCCATCTCATGCCCTGAGGGCCGAAATTCGGCCAAAATTAAAAACTTTTTTTTGATGACCCAGTGCACAGCGAACACGGAACCCAGCGACCTGAAACTTCGCATGATGGTAGTTTGGTTTGTCGACTATCACATACAGCAAGTCAGGTTTTCAAAGATCGCTTCTTGCCCTGAGGGGATCTTTTTGAAAAAGGTGCCCATTTTTCGGCCGAAATTTCCGGATGCTCTGCCGGCCGTAGTTCGAGAGATACGAACGTGGTGTAAGCGGGTAAATTGTAGAGCTCTTCGAGCTCTACAATCTATAGTCGGGCACTTTTGACATTGTTGTTGACCATCCGGGGTAAAAATTTGAAAAACTGAAAATTTGAAAAATTTGAAAAATCGACTTTTTTTGGCGAAACTGGTTCTGAGAGATGACGATGACTACAGGTCCAAAAACAATTGAGGACAATCTTCGGGCAAAAAAAATAAGATTTGCGAGTGATTTTTTTGAATTTCGATCTAGGAGCCGAGAACGAATTGTTTGAATTTTGCACTGTGCAAATCGGATTTTTTACAGTAAGCCATAACTAAAATACGAAGGCGAGTACGGGAATGAAAGACACGTACTAATAGGAAGTCGGGTACGCAGAATTCAATGGAATCAAAAAAATCCAGAAAATCCGTCATCATGACGGGGTTTTCTGGAAGTGTAAGTTTGTACATGGCCGTATCTACACATACATTGAGATATCTCTTAGTTATGAATTTGCTTTCCCGATATGGACCTGTAGAAGCTTGCATTTCAATATTCCCCGGTCTAATTAAAAGATACGAAAAAAGGTCTTTTTTTGAGATTTTTTTCGTAAATTTTGAAATTTCGAAAAAATCTCGAGAGTGATTGTCCCATTGTGTACCATACGCGACGAAACCAAAATTCAAGTCGATACCTATAAAACAAAGCGAGATATGGTAGCTCAAAGTTTTGACTTTTCGTGACGTCATAGGTCACTCAAAATTGAAAATTTCGAAAAATTTTTTCAAATTTATGATGAGACAGTCTTAAGCAACCCCCATGCCAAAAATCAAGTCAATCGGAGCAAAACAAAAAAGAAACCAAAAACCCTATGAATACTTGTATTTTTTTTTAGATTCGATTGCTTAGTTATTTTTTATTCTTAGTAACGACAATACCAAATACTGTAAAAATTTCACAAGTGAAACACCCTGGATCCGACCGTTCTCCTAGGTTCCACAATCGCTTTGGAAATAAAAAAATGTTTGTCTTGTTCTGTCTTCTGAACGGAGTTCAGAACACTCCCCCGCCGAGAATCTTCTCTATATGCTCCCGAGCTCTTCGCTGTACGTCCCGGTATTGAGCTCCAATGTTCAATCCCTTCATTGGGGATCCCATTCCAATGATTAATCGGTCCTCCCTAACCCGGCGGTTCAATTTATCAACGTACTCCTTTTCCGAGTTTGAGTGGATTACCTGTAGCAACAACATCAGACGTCGTGGATCTAATTTAAAGTACGGATCCAGGAATCATAACAGCTCGTTGAACATCTTCTCGACGTCTCACCACAACGTATGCCCTGATCGGGTTGCTTTTCCAACACCGTTTATTTAATTTAATCTCCACTACAGTAAAAGTCAAGTGAATAGGTATATATACATTACGCTGACTTCGCGCACAATGTTAAATAAAAAATACGTTATAATACATTTGCAGTCTACTGGTATCTTGGCTGCTGGTTCATAAACTGTTGGTTTTGCCCTTGCATCATTTGGGGATTGTAACCCTGCCTCATTTGGGGCTGCATGTTGCCTTGTGGCATGTTGCCTTGTGGCATATTGCCCTGCGGCATATTTCCCTGCACCATGTTGGGGTTGCCGCGCATTGCCTGCTGTTGGGCGTATTGACGTTGTTGCATCGCTAGAAGCAAAATTTAATAACCTTTTTAGTTCATTGCAAGACATTCGAAGCTAGCGACTCTTCCGGTCAAAGCAAACCCTACTGAGCTGGCCTCCAGGTTTGATAGCAAAAGCTGTCGCGGAAACAATAACTATTACTAATTGTGGTGAAATGCGTTTTTGAGTTGCAAAAGGTCGCTGATAAATGTGAAAACTGCTCCATCTTCAAACATGTATTATTAGTTTTCAAAAGTGGAGCAGTTTTCTCTTTATCAGCGGCCTTTCGCAACTCAAAAAAAAGTATTTCAAACGATATCACATCAATCCTATCTCCACAATTGGGTAATAGTTATTGTTTCCAGCTTTTGCTATCAAATCTGGAGGTCAGATCAGTAGGGTTTGCTTTGACCGGAAGAGTCGCGAGCTTCGAACTTCCTATCTCCACAAATCGGCAATACTCATTGTTTCCGCGAGATTTTTTTATCAGTCTGTCGGGAAAATAATGAGCGCCCCGTCGCATCGCCGCAGAGAAAATGAAATGTATCGTGCCAAAATCAGATTTCTTTTCACTTCAGTGACACGATCGGCGCAGCATGCTCACTATCAGTCTGTCGGGAAAATAGTGGGAGCCACGTCGTTGCGGTAATCGCGTCGCTGAAGTGAAAAGCAATTTGACGTTGTCGCGACACAATTCATTTTCTCTGCGGCGATGCGATTTTCGATGCGACAGAGCGCTCTACTTTCGCGACAGACTGCTAAAAAGGTGGGAGTGTCCTGATTCTTTTCAATTTTTTATGGCCACAAACTGTGCCGTGACTCTCAAAAATCCAACTACCTTGTTGCTGAGCCATCATGTTCTGTTGCGGTGGCATTTGCCGCATTTGTTGGGGTTGCTGTTGATGGGGTTGCATTTGCGGCGGCGGCATGTTTTGGCCCATGAACTGACGCTGTTGTTGTAGGTTGGGATTGGGCATTTCCTGCTTGACTTGGGCGAATTGTTGGGGCTGCATGTTTTGTTGGTCGTAATGGAATGCGTTGCGCTGCGCGTTCATTTGCTGTTGCGGCATTTGTTGCGGAGGCATTTTGGGCTGCGGCGGGTTGTTTTGCGGGAACCCTTGCATGGAATTCATGGGCATTTCTGCAAAAATGCGAGCTGATTTCGAAAAATCATCAATTTTGGAGGGGTAAACTCTACCGCGTTTTCGTCTCGAATCAAGCCAAAAAACCTTTCGAAATTCCATTTGAGCTTTCCTCTTGGCTCTTCCACAAACTTACGTTGCTGCGGTGCCTGTGGCATTCCCATTTGTGGGTTCCTTTGAGGTGGCTGGTTCTGCATTTGAGGCGGTTGTTGGGCCTGTTGGTTCATCATGGGCGGGTTCTGCTGATAGGACATGTTCATGTTCGGCTGCGGCATCATGTTCATCGGCTGGGTGGGCATGGAATGGGCGGGCATTTGCTGATGTTGTACTTGGGTGGCCTGAACGTAATCCGGAGGTGGGGGCGGAGCGGGTTGGGTCTGCATGGCTGGTGGGTTGCGGAAGTTCATTGGCTCTTGTTTTAGTTGGAAGGGGTCCTGGAGTTGAGAACATATGAATTTGAATTCATTTCAAAACCAAAAATTTTCGAAATTGATATAAACTGGGTAGTGTGTCAAACGGCAACCCTAAGAATTCATTCAAAATATGCCTACACACTCTACATGGTCCTCATTTCAATCGCTGAAAATTTTAGCCGGCGATTTACAGCCACAGCCGAGATATTCAGCGGTCTTTGCAGACGAGAGACTATGGGAAATGAGGAGAGACGGTCAGAGAAAAGTTTTTTTGCCGTAAATACTTTGATTTTTCCCGGAAAATTTTTTTTTGAATAAAGTTTTTCCGGGCAAATCCAAAGTATTTACGGAAAAAAGTTTTTTTCTCTGACCGTCTCTCCTCATTTTCCATAGTCTCTTATCTGCAAAGATCGTTGAATATCTCGGCTTTGGCTGTAAACCGTCGGCTAAACTTTTCAGGGATTGAAATGAGGACTATCTAGAGTTTGTAGGCATAATTTGAAGGAATTCTTTGAGTTGGCGTTTGATCACTACCCAGTTTTGTATCAATTTTGAAAATTTTTGTTTTTAGAACGGAGGGACCTCAAAAAAAAATTTTTTTTGAGGTCCTAAACCCCCAAAAACAAATAAAAAATCCCCCACCATCTTGATTCTCTTATTGGCGGGCCCTTCCAGGCCGCTCTGCGGTTGTTGTTGCATGACATTGTGGATTGGCGGTTGGATATGCTTCGAAGCCGAGGCTTTATCATCCGCGTCGTCATTCATAAAGCTTCGCTTTTCGTACGGGATATTCCGGCTCGCGAAAACATCCTCCGTTGGGAGGGGCTCCTCCTTGAAGTAGGGGTGTTCCATGGCGTCGTAGGCGGTGATTCGCTTCAGTGGGTCCATGGTGAGCATTTTTTGGAGCAGGTCGAATTGCAGGTTGTCCGTCTTGATCTTCTTGTGCTCCATGTGGTTTTTGAGGGAGCAGTTGGCGAAACTGAACAGGAAATTTGAAAATTTCGGATTTTTTGGTAATGTAGTAGACAAAAATTTCAAAAAAACTTGAGGAATTTTTTAGTGAAGCTCGAAAAAAAGGCAAGGTTTTTAGATCGAAATTGTTAAAATCATTTTTTTCAAACATTTCGAGCTAAAAATCTCGCTTCTTCCTGCCACAGTGGGGAACCTGACCTAGTGGCAAAAAACGTACCATTTTGCATCCGGGAAGTATCAAAAATGTGGCAAAATGCTTCCCTCTCCAAGTCCCTCATAAAAAGAGCGAATGCGCTTTTGACATCGGAGTTTTTCCACTTGGAGAGGGAAGCATTTTGCCACATTTTTGATATCTCCCGGATGCAAAATGGTACGTTTTTGCCACACTTAAACCGGAACTTTATAAGACACCCTTTTTGAACCCCTGGCCGCCCCAAATCCCATCCCATTCCCTCCCTCAGAACCTACTTGCTTCTCTTGAACTCGGCTTGAAGTTTCAGATACTCGGGCATTTTCTTCAAGTCGGGCCAGTCCGCTTCGGTGGGGTAGCCCATGACGGTGAAGATTTTGTTCAATTGGTCCGGATGATAGGGGCTGGAGGCCTTGATGTCCTCTTCGCGGCACATAAACATCGGCTCGGACATCAGCAGCTCGGCGAAAATGCAGCCAATCGCCCAGATATCAATGCCTTTCGTGTAATGTTTAGCGCAAAGTAGAAGTTCTGGGGCGCGATACCAAAACGTCACCACCACCGGGTCCAGGTCAGCCAGCGGTTTCAATGGGTTGTAAAAAACCCGGGCAAAGCCCATATCCGCGATTTTCACGCGTCCCCGCTCCAGGCCCGTGCCCTCGCCCATCACCAAGATGTTCGCCGGCTTCAGGTCGCGATGCAAAATCCAGTTCGAGTGCAGGTAGTGGATGCCGTCCAGGATCTGATACATCAGACTCTTGACCATCGACTTGGCCACGATTATCTGCTTCTTGTTCGTCTTGCTGCTGCGGTGGGTCTTGATGATGTGCCAGAGGTCGTGTTCGGCGTAGTCGAACAGCAGCCAGACCTTGCGTTCGGGCGTCAGGTAGACGCGTTGCAGTTTGATCAGGTTGGGATGACTGGAAAATTGCTAATTTTCAAGCAAATTTTTTTTTGAAAATCACAAAATTTTTCCAATTTTTTAATATTTTTTCAAAAAAAATTGTCGGCCACCCCTTGCCATAGCCTCTAAATCACAAATCAAACTTTTTTACAGACCCAGCCACCTTTTTCAGCTATTATTTTACCTTATTTTACTCAAAGTTTTTGAAAATATCCACTTTTTTTTTAAAAAAATTTCAAAATTTCCTATTTTTTTTTCAAAATTTCCTAAAAAAAATAGTTTTTCAACCAAAAACTCACTTCAGCTCTCTCAGCAACGAAATTTCTCGACATGCCGACATCGAAAACCCCACGCCTTCGATCAATTTCAGGGCGAAATACATCTTCGTTTCCTTGCCGGGCTTGTTCGACGTGGCTTTGTAGACGTGGCCATAGGTTCCGCGGCCAACCTGAAGGTCGGAAATTGATCAAAACTAACTAATTCGCTTTAAAATCTTCAAATTTCTGGTGGATTTCATTATTTTCCGGGATTTCTTGCAAAATCCACAAAATTCCCGATAAAAATGTAGAAAAAACAAAAATACACTTCGTATTTTACAACTTCAAGACCTTACAATACTTTTATATCCCATTTCCTTTATCCTCCCATCAATTACAGGCTTCCTTTCGTCCAAAAATTTGACAATTTCACCATTTTTACCTTGTTTTAGGCTAAAATCAGGTAAAAACCGCTCAAAAAATTTTACCTTGCTGTTTTCGAATGTGAATTCCTCTTCGACCTTGTCTCTGGTCCTGTTCAGTTCTTCCCGGAAGCCGGCGTCGATCATGCAGCCGGTATTCGACATCTAAAAATCAAATTATATTACACATGACTAATATAAATTTTTCTCGATTTCGATGGCTAAACCAATCCAAAACGTGGGGAATTTGCTTCAAATCCCAAAATAGGACGCTACAATCCCCCCACGTCTTTAAATCACAAGAATTTTGAAAAAAAATATATTACACATGACAAAAAAATAACGAAATTTTATCAATTTCAATGTCCAAACCAACCTAAAAAGCCGTCAAATGCTCTCTCAAGTAATTTCTAATACATTATACATAACAATGCATCAAAAAATCATCAAAATTCAAGTAATCAAGGTCAAAAACCAGGTAAAATCAAATAAAACCCAAAAATCTTTTCCATTTCCTTCGATTATCTTATTAAAATGCCAACAAATAAGTTACAAACAGTGTAATCAACAATGTGGAGCGGAAATTTATCCGAGTTTTTGGGCTTTGAACACTGGCTGGCCATCTTTATCATCATCATCATCCGAGTTGTCGGCTTGGAAAACGGGCTTGGGCTGGGTCTTGGCGTAGGCTTTGTTGATGTAGAGGGGGTTCTTTTCGGCCTGAAATACAAGAATAAAACCCTTTTTTTTGATTTGAAGCCCACAAAATTTTTTTTGAGTCCCACCACGAACTCCCTGAGAATCAGGGAAAATCGCAAAAAATGAACAAAATCGCCGGAATTTTAATGAAAATCAATTAAATTCTTCTTCGGCAGACCTTGGAGAGCCTAATAAACTCAAAATTTACATTTGAGACATGAATTTTGGGTCCAACCACGAAAGCCCTGAAAATCAGGAAAAGGCCGAAAAAGTGGCTAAAATAGCCGGAATTCATCCGAATAACAGCGATAACCTCTTCAAGCTTGCCTAGAAACTCGTTGTAAACCATTTTAACCCATAAAATCCAGAAATTTTTGGTCCCACCACGAAAGCCCTGAAAATCAGGGAAAGTCTCAAAAATCGACCAAAATCACCACGAGTTCACTGAAAATCCACTGAATTCTTCCTCAACCAACATTTTAGAACCTTATCAGCTCCCAAATTCACATTTCAGACATGACTTTTGAGTCCCACCACGAACTCCCTGAAAATCAGGGAAAGTCCCAAAAAGTGGCCAAAATCACCGCAAGTTCCCTGAAAATCCACTGAATTCTTCCTCAACCGACATTTTAGAACCTTATCATCGCCCAAATTTACATTTCGGACATGACTTTTGGGTCCCACCACGAACTCCCTGAAAATCAGGAAAAGTTTCAAAAATCGACCAAAAATCACCACAAGTTCACTAAAAATCCTTTGAATTCCTCTTCAACCGACATTTTAGAACCTTATCATCTCCCAAATTTACATTTCAGACATTATTTTCGGGTCCCACCACGAACTCCCTGAAAATCAGGGAAAGTTTGCAAAACCCCGCCAAATCACCCGAAATCCCTCCAATCACACCACGTACCTCTTCGGCATGCCGTAAAATGCTCTGACGGATGTCGTCATCGCCAATGAACTCCTTATTTCGGTTCACTCCCAACTGTTGCGCAATATACGAATGTAGCGTGGAGCCGGCGGCCGCAACCCGGCCGCCCTGGCCCGGCCCGTCCTTCGGGATGTCGGCGGGCGTTCGGAAGCTGGGCCGCTGCGAGTTGTTGTACATGCGGAGGTACTTTTTGAGGCGGAATTCGGTGACTTCCTTCTCTTCGGCGTCCTCTCCCTTGGCTTGGAACATCTCGAGAGATAATGCTGAAAAAATTATCGTAAAATATACGATTAAAACTTGCTCAAACTCGAATAAAATCCCTGGTAACGTAAAAAATCGCTAGTTTCAAGCCTAATATTTAGAAAAAATCAAAAAAAAATCATCAAAAGTTGTCATGGATAATATAATGTTATGCCGGAAATCAGCTAAAAATAGTTTTAAATTGTAAAAAACGTCCTAACAATCCGTGACTGCATCAAAATTGCCAACTAAAACAACTTCAGTATCCCAAAAATCATCAAAAATTATCATGGATAATATAATTTTCAGTCGGAAATGAGCTAAAAATAGTTTTAAATTGTAAAATACGTTCTAACAATGTATGACTTAATCAATATGTTCAACCAAAACGGCTCAAAAACCCCAAAAATCATCAAAAATTGTCATGGATAATATAATTTTATGCCGGAAATGAGCTAAAAATGATTTTGAATTGTAAAATACGTTCCAAGAATCCATGACTTGATCAATATTGTCAACTAAAACGGCTCAAAAGTGCAAAAAATCATCAAAAATTATCATGGATACTATAATTTTCAGTCGGAAATCAGCCAAAAATGGTTTTAAATTGTAAAATACGTTTGTAAACAACCTTAAAAGATTATTATCGCCAACTAAAACAACTTTAACATCCCAAAAATCATCAAAAATTATCATGGATAATATAATTTTTTCCCTCTAAACTTGTCCAAATCCCATCCAAGATACCAAAAAAAAATTTTTTTAATCCCTTAGAATTTCATTAGGTTCCTTTTTGGACCCAAAACTCCCTGTTTTTCCAAAAATTTTTTATCAAAAATTCTCATTTTCCAAAAAAATCTTCCAAAATCGCCAAAAAACTCAATTTTTGGCCAAAAATCGAGGCCAAACCCTTAAAAAACTTACGAGCCAGGATCATTTCCTCTTTGACGACCTCCGTAGCCCTCGGGCGGCGGACCTGTTTGTCGACGCACAATCTGGCGCCTCTTTGGCTGAACTTTGTGTCGTAGTAATTCTTCACATTTCCGTCGCTCAGGCCGACCAGGATCTGTTCAATCTTCGGATGCCACAGAATCTTGATGCATCCTGCATTTGGATATTCGATTTTGTATTTCAGGTCCAGGTCCTCGGTGGAGAAGAAGAGCAGAGAGCCGGAATAGCCGCCTTTTTGGAGGGTTTGGGTGCCCGTGAAGATAAAGTTCGTGTCCGGGCTGTAGCCGCAGTCGGTTCTGAAAATTGATTTTTTGTAATTTTAGTCCGGAAATTATGCAAATCTGGGGAAAAAAGTTAATTTAAAAAATAAAAAAAAAATGAAATCTTAAAAATTTTTTCAAAAAAATGAAAATTTTTATAAATTTTAATCCAGAAATTATGCAGATTTCGGGAAAAAAAAAGTTAATTTAAAAAAATTTAAAAAATTAAATTTTAAAACTTTTAAAAAAATGAAAATTTCTAAAAATTTTAGTCCGGGAATTATGCAAATTTCGGGAAAAAAGTTAATTTAAAAAAATTAAAAAATCCCCCCTAAATTTTTTTAAATCCCCCAAAAATAAAAAAAACCCAAAACTCACCGATTAAATACAGCATCCAGCCCTTCCACAGATTTAATTGGCTCCTTGAACTTGGCCAACTCCCAGATTTTCAATGTTCCGTCCACTGAAACGAAACGATTATTTTTATTTTCCGCACAGTGCACATCAAAACAAAATATTTTCGCAAAATAATTCAAAAGAAATTTTCGTGCACAGTGCAAATTCAAAACAAATCTTTTCGCACAGTGCAAAACCGAAAAAAATTTCATGCACAGTGCAAATTCAAAAAAAATTTTCATGCACTGTGCAAATTCGAAAAAAATTTCATGCACAGTGCAAATTCAAAACAAATTTTCAACGCACAGTGCAAATTCGAAAAAAAATTTCATGCACAGTGCAAATTCGAAAATTTTTTTCACGCACCGTGCAATCCCACATTTCAAGGCGCAGCGAAAATTCAAAACAAATCTTTTCGCACAGTGCGAATCCGAAACAAATTTTCAATGCACAGTGCAAAATTCATCGCTATTGCACAGTGCAAAATTCATCGCAATTGCACTGTGCAAAATTCATCGCTATTGCACTGTGCAAAATTCATCGCAATTGCACTGTGCAAAATTCATCGCTATTGCACTGTGCAAAATTCATCGCTATTGCACCGTGCAAAATTCGTCGCTATTGCACTGTGCAAAATTCGTCGCTATTGCACTGTGCAAAACTCAAAGGCTTCTTTCCTTCGCACTGTGCAGTTCACTCCTTCCTTTCTTCTTTGCACTGTGCCAACCAAAATTTCTTTCCCGTTGCACTGTGCAATCCTTCAAAATCTTCTGTCCGCACACATTCCCAAAACTCCTTCCCCAAATCCCCGCACGGTGCACTTACTGCTTCTGCTGATCAATTTCTTATTGTCCAACGAGAACTGTATGCATGTCACTGTGGCCGTGTGTGCTTTTCGATTTTGATATTGAGTGCTGACATACAGTCCTCCATGTTTCCACATGTGAATTGAGCCATCGTCGCAGCCGGCGGCGATCAATTTGCCATCGCGCGAGTAGGCGCAACAATTCGGGATGATCCGTTTGCCGCCGGCGTTCCGGCAGCGGATCACCTTCTTTTGGGTGTTGATGACTTTGGTGACTTCTTTAAAATCCTCAGTGTTCCATAATCGGATAGTTCTAAAAATCGGAAAAAAAATGAAAAAAAAAAATTTTTTTGGCAAAAAATTTTTTTTTTCAAAAATCTCAAAATCACTTACCCATCATCGGAGCAGGTCATAAACTCATTTTTGTTGTATGGATGCCAGCATCCAGCATTCACGGCGGCCGTGTGGCCTTTTGTTTTGTTCACATCCACCAGGTATTGGTCGCCGCGCACAGTCTCGGCCCACTGCTGTCCATTTCGATCCAAAATCTTCAAAATAGCCTCACCCGTCGTGATCAGCAGCCTTTCGCCGTTCATGTTGTACGACAGGCTGTTTATGACGTGACATTCGGCGGGCAACAGCTCTCGATAGGGTTTGAATAACTTGTCCATCTTTTGATAGTCGTGCAAATTCACGGCGTATCCTTGAGTACCGACCGCAAATTTGCAGCCCTGAACGTCTATGGCCAGTGCGGTAACGGCTTTGTCCGAGCCTGTGCGGATTGTGACTTCCGATTCTGCTGGGATCAAGGTTGCTACGGTGAGCTGAAAAAGAGTAAGTAGATCGTGGAAAGTCCTCAAACAGGTGTGAAATGGTTCTACGTGGCTTGGCCCATCAATTGACGGCGCTACGAACCCGTAGAAGGCCAAAATCGACGAATTTAAATAGCTGTTGCCTAGTGTAATATAATTTTTGTTGCGCTCATCAAGAATCAACCTTTTAATGATCTCCGAAGCAGCGTAATAGCATATTCCAGCTATTGGACACCTAAAAACCAAGAAAAAAATAGGCAAATACTTACAGGTTCATCGTATTCTCCATCTGACTCCTCGTCTTCAACCCGCTGCCGTTCCGCAGCCGGATCGTCAACCACGACTGTCTTATCCACTTCAAAACCGGGAGGAAGAGCTGGTCCAACATCGTCATCGCTGTCTTCCTCTGTTGCCGCAGTTTGAGTAGGTTTCTGAAAAAATTATATTACACATAGCAAGCCAACGAAAAAAATCAAAATTTCTTGTGGTATCATGCCTCAAATTAACTCAAATTGCTAACAAGATAAACTCATAGCAAAATCCATCAAAATAAACGCGTCTATATCGATTATACCACCCACGCTCACCTCTGGAATCGAGATTTTTTCAATTCCTTCTCGAGCCTGCTCCGAACTCGTCGACGCGTCCGGAATGATGTGTGTAGACTCCTCATCGTGTTTGTACTGCGGAGCTTGTGCCAAGGTCTGTGCCATTATCTGTTCCAGGTCGAAAGTTCGGGCTTTTTTCGTCTCTATGGGACGTTTTCGATCGCCTAAGGACAAAAATCCAAAATAATGCGTTAACAACTTACTTGACGATGAAGAATCTGACATTTTTGTGGCTGTAAATCCTTCCGGATCCGGCTAATAACAAGTAAAAAAGAGACTCGGCAAAAAAAATCCAAAAAAATTCGGAAATATTTTTCTGGAGACAGAGTTGACACAAAGTTAGAGAGGTGTGTCAAGTGTTCCGCTGTGGCTAAAATACGTCGAATCAAAGCGAATGAAGGTCTGTTTCATGTTTCCTTGACAATTTATAACTTCTATGACAAATTTAATTTATTTCCATACATTTCCATTAAACTAACCGTCGAAACTCTACACTTTTCTTCTTCAAATACCTCTAGTATAATATAAGAGTGAAGACAGAAGATTTCGGAGGAAAATTTTGAAAATTTTTCGAATTCACTTTTTTTTCGATTTTGGAGTAAAAATTTTTTTTACTCCCAAAAATGCCAAAAAAAAAGTAAACACGAAGTTTACTCCAAAATTTTGAAAAAAATTTGATTTTCGGGAGTAAACTGGGAGTTTACTCGCCGGGGCCGGGAAATCGAATGGCGGCGAGTAAATCTGGATTTTGCTCGCTTCCAATTATTTCCTCAGCTATCACAGAGGCACAGATGACCCAGGACGTAAGGCGGGCGCGTTAGTAAATAATTCGCGCCAAACTTACGAAAAATTTTGCCGAATCCTGACTGGGAGCCTCCCAGTCAGGAATCCCGCGATTCCTGCAGTCAGGAATGTTTTTGACTGGGCGGCCTCAAAATCGACATCCCAGTCACCTGAGACGAAGAAACGGGGAGAAAAAACGAAGAGAGCGAGAGAAACGCGCGCTATTTCGTGCTCTCTCTGCCTCTCTGCGCCCTCTCTTCGTTTCCCGCTCTTTCGCTCTCTCTCTCCTTTTTTTGCGCTCTCTCGCTCTTTCTTTCGAAAAAGAGAGAGAGAGCGCGAAACGGAAAGAGGGCGCTCAGAGGCAGAGACAGCACGAAATGGCGCGCGTTTCTCTCGTTCTCTTCGTTTTTTCTCCCTATTTCTTCGTCCTAGTCAACAGTTATTGACCCCTCACCCAGTCCGCATCAGGACATTTCCGGAATTTGGACACTTCCGGAATGGCGGAATAGTGACACTTCCGGAATGGCGGAACAGTGACACTTCCGGAATGGCGGAACAGTGACACTTCCGGAACCGGGGAAAAATCAAAGAAGAGGCTTAGACCTGCCATCTGAACCATCTGACTGGATTTATTGTTATTAATCTCAAAAATTTTGTTATTTTTTTTCTGATTGTTACTTTTTTCTTAAGTAGTAGTGTTGAAAAGTAATTTTTTGGAATTTTTCCAAAAATACTGGATTTAGGGGTTTTCGAGGGTGCTGATTTCGAAAATCATGTTAGCTTTCCTCTTCATAGTACTATCTGGTACTATACAGTACAAGGTGAAAATATGGCTCTTGGCGTTAATGGTGTTGTTTTGATGCTTGGTACTCCTCAAAAACACGTTTTAAATAATTGGTACTGTTTAGTACTGTCTGGTACTGTGTAGTACAAGATAAAAATTTGGCCTTTAGGCGTTAGTGGTGTTGTTCTGTTCCTTAGTACTCCTATTTTCACCTTGTACTACATAGTACCAGACAGTACTAAACAGTACCAATTATTTAAAACGTGTTTTTGAGGAGTACTAAGCATCAAAACAACACCATTAACGCCAAGAGCCATATTTTCACCTTGTACTGTATAGTACCAGATAGTACTATGAAGAGGAAAGCTAACATGATTTTCGAAATCAGCACCCTCGAAAACCCCTAAATCCAGTATTTTTGGAAAAATTCCAAAAAATTACTTTTTAACACTACTACTTAAGAAAAAAGTAACAATCAGAAAAAAAAATAACAAAATTTTTGAGATTAATAACAATGAATCCAGTCAGATGGTTCAGATGGCAGGTCTAAGCCTCTTCTTTGATTTTTCCCCGGTTCCGGAAGTGTCACTGTTCCGCCATTCCGGAAGTGTCACTATTCCGCCATTCCGGAAGTGTCCAAATTCCGGAAATGTCGTGGTGCCACCCAGTCAAGAATCGCGGGATTCCTGAACGGACCACAGTCAGGAAGTTTTGACTGTACGAAGAGTCAGGAACCCCGCGAATCCTGACTAGAGCCTCCCAGTCAGGATTCGGCAATATTTTTCGAAAGTTCGGCGCGAATTACTAACGCAAATAAAAAAAATTTTTTGCGCCCAGGGGTCAACTGTTCCCCGGGAGTAAACTCTGGATTTACTCGTCGGCACCTTCGGCGAGTAAATTCTGAGTTTACTCCAAAAAAAGGCGAAAAAAAAGTAAACTCGGAATTCACTCCAAAAATGGAAATTTTGAAAGCTATTTCGATTCCTACTCGCCGACCCATAAAATTTCTCGATTTTTACTCTCTTTTTCAAAAAAAAGTGAATTCGAAAAATTTTCAAAATTTTCCTCCGAAATCTTCTGTCTTCACTCTTATATCATCAAGTTTACTGTGGTAAATCAAATATAACCATGGGCAAATAAGTGGATAACATTACAAACACCTTCATATTGGATTAAAAACAATTAAATTACAAAAACCAACCAATCAAAGAAGAGAAATCAACAATTTTCGGACATCATCTAGTATAACATAACTTTTTGTCGATTTCTCCAAGATATCGAAACACATCTTAATCAGATTCAATGCAAATCTATTCCGCTTCCTCCTCATCGTCTTCCTCAATGTTAATATCGATTTCATCTGGGTTTTCGGTGACATTTTCCGTGACCGTTTTAATGTCTCCTCTAACAAAACTGATGGGTCTGACGTCCGCCGGGCGGCGTTTGGTGTTCTCTTCGGCCGCGATCTGCTGTGCTCGAGCCTCCAGGACGGCCATGGAGTCGGCGGCCGACAATTCACCGGCCTTTTCGGCCTTTCCTCCGATCGTGGCCAACATTTGGGCACTCATGTAGTTCACATTGATATTATACGAAGCCTGGACCGACCGCTTCACTCGCAACATCTCACGAAGTGTGTCTTCGTTGCCATGTGCCACTTCGAACTCTTTCCAGGTTTCCCAGAATTGGCCGTGGACCTAAATTTGAAAAATTTATATTATCCATGGTCAGCTCCCTCAGCTGTCAAAAAATGCCCTTTATCTTGCAAAATATAAGTTCTGATCTACTTTAGAGATACCTACGATCTACTTTCTGCCTAAAAAACCAATATTTTCATACAATTTTCCAGCAAATAATCAAAAATTATCTTATACATCACCAGCTCCTTCAACTGTCAAAATCTCAACCCTTATCCTCTAAAACCAATCCTGATCTATCTTTGGACCAACAACAATCCCTATCCTACTCAAAACAACCTCTACCCCAACAATTCACCACAAAATTTTCCAAAAATTATATTATCCATGACCTTCACCCCAAAAAGCCAAAAAAACTGCCAAAAATCGTCTTCAAACTCACTCTCGGATCGCAGATCTCCGCGCAATGGGCGTAAATCGCTCTGGCTCTGTCAATTTCGCCCAGATTTCGTTCAACTTGAGCGAATTTCAACGACATTTCCCTTGAACTGTCTTCGGGGAGGGCTTCGATTGCCTCTTGGAAAATGGGTCGACTGCTCGTGATTCCGAAGAATTCTATGGCCTTCTTCAGGTAGATATTGTAGACCACCAGCATGTCCGTCTCCTCCACGCTCTTCGCCGCTCTGCTGTAGATGGCCATGGCGTGCCGAGCGAGGCCGCATTCCTCCTCCAGTTTCGCATAGAGAAGGTAAATCCCTTTCGCAAATTTCGGTGGGCAGTTCTCGAGGCATTGTTCGAAGAGATCGCGGGCTCTTTCTAGCTTCTTTCCACCCTAGAAATAAAAAAAAATCAAGTTCAATATAAAAACTTTAAATCTGATGACAAATTTTGTCACGTGCGATTCTGATGTCTTGGAACGATTTGGAGTGCAAATTAGCTATGAATAATGCCTTATAGGAGGTCTTCTTTGATTCAAAGTGGATTTTGTGGGTTGCAAGAAATGTTTTTATATTGCACATGACGAGATTTGAGATTAATTTAGACTTGATGATTTTGAAATTTTTTGTGGGTTTAGAGGTTGGAATAAAGGCTTTTATCGTATTTTACAGTCTGGATTGTAACTTGGAACATTTGCTTTGTGGTTTGAAAACGATTTTTATATTACACATGACAAGGTTTGTCATCAGATTTAAAATTTTTATATTGCACTTGATTGCTTTTCTATTTCTAGGGTGGAAAGAAGGAACAGGGGCGACTGGGGAAAGAAAAGTACGATTGGGTTAACCGAAAAGTATTATTTTTCTTCGATGCAATTGTCAAAATTAGGATAATCAATGGCGCTGATTGCGAAAATGACATTCATATTTTTTTGATCGTAACTCTAAAGTAGTAATTTTTTGAATTTTTTCATAAATACTCGATTTAGGGGTTTTCGGTGTATTTATGCAAAAAAATCAAAAAATTAAAACTTTAAAGTACTACTTAGGGGAAAAAGTAATGATCAAAAAATGAATGTCATTTTCGAAATCAGGGCCCTCGATTATCCTAATTTCGACACTTGAATCGAAGAAAAATAAGACTTTTCGGTTTCCCCAATCATCTTTTTCCCCAATAGCTCCAAGTTCCTTCTTTCCACCCTACATAGAAAAACAATCAAGTGCAATATAAAAATTTTAAATCTGATGACAAAACTTGTCATGTGTAATATAAAAATCGTTTCCAAACCACAAAACGAATGTTCCAAGTTACAATGCAGACCACAAAATACCATAAAAACCATTATTCCAGCCTCTAAACCCACAAGAAATTTCAAAATCATCAAATCTAAATTAATATCAAATTTCATCATGTGCAATATAAAAACATTTCTTGCAACCCGCAAAACCCATTTCTAACCAAAAAAGACCTCCTAAAACGAATGATTCATATCTAATTTGTCCCCCAAATCGTTCTCAGACATCAAAATCACCTAAAACAATATCAAACTCCTTACATATCTGACAGTAAACTTGGCCAAATACACATTCCAAATGTCATAGACCATGGGCCATCTAAACAAGCCAATTCCTTTCTCGTAGGCCTTGAACGACTCCTCAAAATAGTGATTCTCCTCCAAGAAACGGGCAAAATTGATGACAATTTGAGGGGTCGCAATTCGGAGCTCGATTATTCTTTCGTAGACTTTTCGGCATGTTTCCACAGTTCCCAGGCTCTCCTCAATGTCTGCGTATAACGACCAAACTCTGAGGGATTTGTAGACTCTTTTTTGGACCTTTTCCGTCTCATCAAAATATTGAACCTTCTTCTTTGGCTGATCCGTGGCGCGTTTTAAGAGGTAAATAGCGGCATCGTAGTCTCTGAAATCACGGAATAAGAATTAAAATTTTCAATCAAACCCTTTCCACCACCAACAAATGACTTTCTAATGTTAAACTCGGCAGCGAAACACTTGACCCAAAAAGGGGTAGTTTTGGGACAAGTCTTCCGCTCATTCCCAAACCATCAAAACCAACCTCAGACTCGATTCGAACATACATAAGACTTTGAATACTAAATCTGTAGACCACTGTTTTGCCAATTCATTTACCTTTTTATATTGTACTAGACCGCCAATTTTTTTTCAAAAACCTCAATTATTTTCCTTGTAAATCCCTGACAACCGCCTAAAAATTTCATAGGCACTCTTCTAACACTCAAGCAATTCAATTTCCAACCATTAGTCCACTTTTCCTCCAAGGGTGACACTTGACCCAAACCTACCCTTTATTGGGTCAACTCTCCCTCTCACTCAAAAACCCCTCACAAATCACTCAATTTCGCTTCCTACCTGTGTAGCAATTCAAACTCCACATATTTGCACCACACTTGTGCCAGTTCATCGACTTTTTTATATTGTACTAGACCACCATAAAACTTTTTTCAAAAAACCCAGTTATCTCTGTCGTAAATCCCTGACAACCGCCAAAAAATTTCATAAACAGCCTTCTAACACTCAATCAATTCAATTTCCAACGACTACTCCACTTTTCCTTTAAAAGTGACACTTGACCCAAGCCTACCCTTTTTGGGTCAACTCTTCCTCTCACTCAAAAGCCCTCAAAAATCACTCAATTTCACTTCCTATCTGTGTAGCAATTCAAACTCCGCATATTTGGACCACACTTGTGCGAGTTCATCGACTTTTTTATATTGTACTAGACCACCATAAAACTTTTTTCAAAAAACCCAGTTATCTTTGTTGTAAATCCCTGCCAACCGTCTAAAAATTTCATAAACAGCCTTCTAACACTCAATCAATTCAATTTCCAACGACTACTCCATTTTTCCTCCAAGAGTGACACTTGACCCAAACCTACCCTTTTTGAGTCAAGTCTTCCTCCCACCCAAAACCCCTCAAAAATCACTCAATTAAACTTCTTACCTGTGTAGCAATTCAAACTCCACATATTTGCACCACACTTGTGCCAGTTCATCGACTTTGGCGAAGGGAACGACGACCGCTCTTTCGAAGATCTTCTTCGTTTCCTGTATTTTCTCATTTCGCTCCAACAGGCCTGCAAAATACGTCCACAAATCGCTTAGATTTCCGGTTTGTTGTTTCGGATCCACGGTCTTGACGGCCTTTTCGAATGTTTCCACTTGTTCGTCGAAGAATCCGTCGTACAATTGGATGCGGTTGATCCATTCGCGGACGTTGTTCGGGTTCTGTCGGAGGAGGACCGAGTTCAAAAGCAGCGGTCGGCGCTCCATCAAATGCTCGAAACGGTTGATGAAGAGCTCCAGTTCGAATTCCAGGTCGTCGATTTCGTGGGCTTTGGCTTTTTGGAGGGCGTTCATCTTGTTGGACGTGAGGCGTTCCATGAATTTCGCGTACGCGTCGAAGATTTGGGTGAAGTCGCGGACGGTCACCACTTTCACGAGGGCCTCCTCGTAGATGTCGCGGGCGCGCTCCCAGTTCGGCTTGCGGTTGTAGTACTCGGCGAGGGCGAGCCAGAGCACGCCGACCTGGTCCGAATACCGCTGGATGCCTTGGCGAATGATCGGCTCCACGCTCAGACTGAACACTTTGTTCGGGTTTTTGGAGATGAGTTCGCAGAGTTCGGTCCACAACTGAAGGTTTGGGGGATTATTATCGAGTTTTTTTTAATTTTGGTAGCTTATTTTAGATAAAAATTGAAAAATTTGTCTTATAAAAGAAAAAAAATTCCGGAGAAATCAACATTTCCCTAATTTTTATGTCTTATTTGGCTTTGTAAAACAAAGAAACATGTTTTTTAGTTCGTATTTTATCCCAAAATGATATTTTTTCACCTTCCTTTAAAAAAAAATTTTCGAAAAAACATTATTCCTGTAAATTTAAAAGCGTACTTTACCTTTTTAAAATAACTCCACAAATTTTGGACACGTATTTTACCAAAAACCCACTTTTCTGACCTTATTTTAGGCCATGGATATCAAAAAAATTTCAAAATTATTCTTTTCAAAACTTTCAAATCTCTCTCTTCCCTACCTGAAACGAGCTCTTTCCATGCTCACTAACATCCTTATCTTCATTTACCAGCAACGCGAGCTGATTTGCAGCCTCATCCAGCTTATCGATGCCCTTCAAATAATCCACAAAATCTTCGCGAGCCGCCGGATTGATCTAAAAATGGAACTCAAAAAAAGAAAGAACATACCTTCAAATATCTTCTATAAACTCGAATAGTTGTGTCAGGGATATTATGAGAAGTCACGAATTCAATGTAAGCTGGCCAAATTCGCATGTGCTGAGTGACTGGAAGCGCTCGAATCGCACGATCAAAAACACGACGAGTCTCCGTGATTAGACCTCGTTTTACCATCAAATCGCAGTAGTCAATCCAGATTCGAGGCATCTAAAAGAGAGTTTTGAGAAATTATATTATCCATAAGTCACCTAGCAGCAAAAACATTTCAAAAAGGATGAAAATGCCATGACTTCCGTGACTTAGTGGCCTTGAAAAGAAACAGGCGACATAATCTTACCAATAAAGCAAAAATCAAATTAAATTTTTGCATGCAAAGAAGATTATATTCTTCATGAAAAAACTCATGAGGTCTAATACAAACTGGTCCAAAAAATATTGTTTTTAAATATAAATTACTGTCAATTATACCCCAAAACCTTCCTCACACCTCCTCTTTGCTATTCCACCTAAAATTCAACAACAAAAACTCAAAAAATATTCACCTTGTTCAAGAAGACCAAACACCTTTCGTAGGCATCGCAAAGATAAGAATATGCCACATCTGTCGGCGATTTCTGCTGAATAATCCTTCTTCTATACTTCAAATAATTGTACCACAGTTTGTAACTCCGATTGAAGATCTTCAACGCTCTCTCGTAGATAATCCGGACCTGTTTTGATGGAGCTTTGGTCTTGATCTTATGATCAATATACCGTTGCCAACTGCGGAGAGAAAACTCATTCCGCAAGATATCCTCTTCATATGGTAAGTCTTCATCCTCCTAAAAGCAGAAACAGAAATAAAAGCGAGGAAAATGGGGAAATTATGTTCTCCTTGACTTACAAAAACCAAACTTTTCATCGACTGAGTGACCGACTTTTCGGCCGAACTTTGGGCATTGGTATCCTTTACTTCGTCGAGGACACCCATCCCGATGTTGATTTAGAGGGAAACGCGCCAAATTTCGAAAACATTTCCTGGGAGAGAGACTTGACGCAAAAGTGAGACTTGTGTCAAGTGTCTCTCCGTATACAGTAATTTGCTGGAACTTGTAAATTTTAGTGTAATTTGTAGTAAAAAATAAGACGAATGTCCTGTTTTATCCCTTATTTGTCTTTGCTTCTCGGTCTATGACGGTTGGATATAGTTTTTTGTCATTATATTATACTAGACTACCTAGTCTAATAAAAATTGTCTGATCGATAAATTTAGCTCGAGATTTAGGAATTTTCGTTATTTTTAGCGTTTTGGAATCCCTTTAGCTCCCTGAAAATCATATTTTCAGCCTGTAAATCAGACTTTATACATTCAAAATCCTGTTTTTTCTAAAAAGTTCTGATATTCCCCTTGTTTTTGACGCAACTCAATGAATTATTGATTCTGCTCCAAGCCATTTCGCCTAATCCTCTTTTAACTCGGATTAAATTCAAATTGCGACTGTGTTTGTTTGCATACCGCTCTTAACTTTGTTCCTGAACGTGATCACGTTTCAGAATTTTTGATCACGGCTGCTTCCAGATCGTCTTGTTTACCGTGAAATGCGATTCGCTTTGCAGAATAGAAAAAATTTCTCATGGTATGCTTGATTTCGGCCGGAAATACGAGCTTTTTTCAACGTTTTTTCAAGAATTTAAAAATTTTTGTCATGGTGAATATAATTTTGCCAATTTTTCGCTTGTATCATGCTTGCTAGTCGATTTTTGATTCTTGGCCTCATAAATGGACCCTCAGGTTTTATGAGACCCCTCGGTGTTCGTGAGATATTCGATATCCGGCCCGCTGGGCCGTCTTTTTTGACATAAGACAGCCGGTACATATTTTTGTTTATCTGGTCAAGCCGTGGAACAGCTGCCCTCGAGGCCGGAGGGCGATTGATCCATGTCTCGGAGGGTTGACAATCACTTTTCGGAACATGTGCCACGAATAATTGGCCAAGAGAGAGGGGGATTCGAGAACAAAGTGGAAAAAAGTGGGATTTTAATGGAAATTTGAGGGAAAACTGAGGTAAACGTGGCTGTAGTTTTAGTTTAAGAGTATGTAAAGACGAGAAATGGATTAAGAAGTCCTTGAAGTGCCGTCAAAGTGTCTTAGGAACATTGTATCATCAAAAATTACGGAAAAATTTGATGATTTTTTGAAAAATCTGTTGAAATCCAGAGTAGGCTGAAATTACAGTAATCCTGCGGGCAAAAATATCATGGAAACGCCTCTATTACGCATTATCATCGGTATTTTGCCCTCAAATCCGCAGGAAATCTCGAAATTTTCACCTAATCTGGGTCCCACCACGAAAACCTGAAACCTTTCAAAAACCCCTCAAAACCACTGCAATGCAGATGGCCTCATCAAATATCATTTTAAAAGCCATCAGACGAATTATGGCCATTCAATTCCAATTGAATTCGATTTCCGATCAAGAAAATGTTATTTGTTTCCGGAACAGACATTCGACTGTTGTCAGATGACGCAATAGCCAAAAGCCATTCAATTTTTTTTTGTTGGGTTTCCATGATCAAAAGAACTTCTCCAGACATTGAAAAAGTCGAATTAGATGAAAATTCCTTTGAAAAATTGAATTCCGAACATTAGATGGGTAAGGTCATAAATAATGTAAAAAATGGTTCGAAACCTAAAATTTTTGGGCGGTGCTAGATGTGTCACATCTCTAATGGGCCCAAAAAGCCTGATTTTACAAGTTATTCCCTTAGGGCGAAGAATAATTTTTGAAAAATCGAAAAAAATAAATTTTTTGCCCAAAAATCTCAAAAAATCGGTTGATTTCTCAAAAACCTCATGTAAAAGCTGAGCCTAAAACAATTTTTTAGGTTTGCAAAATCATAATCTCTTCTTTACACTTCATTTTTCATCAATCTAACCATTGTTCTCTTCAAAAATCCAGTTTATATTACTTTACCCATCATCTTTTGTCCGAAATTTAAACTTTCAAAATTTTGCCTCGCTTTTAACCCCAATTACTCTGCCATTCTCTTCATTACATTCTTTACACATCATATTTCTCTCTTTCGTATCGGTAACACCGCTTGTCAAGTCTAATCCGCCATAATAAGCGCCGAAAGTCGTCGGGAAAATACTTTAATCGTAATAAGTCTCGTCCACAAAATGGAGAAAGAGATATAAAAAATGATTATCAAATGGATTGTTTTTTGGGGGTAAAAAACAAATAAGAGATAGATACAAAGGGAAGAACATTTTTTGAAGATTGTAAACTTGTGCAGAGCCATCTGTTACAATTGTGAAAATGAAAAAAATTGTTTAAAGCAGAGTGCCAACTAGAGATGCCCGAATGGGCTAGAAATGACTATAGGGGTCTAATTAGGGGTGCTGGTGGAAAGCATTGGGAACATTGGAGTTGGGACCTGAAAATTATATCAAGATTAATATATTGATGTCAAGTGTAATATAAAAGTGGCTTAACTACGCTTTCAATTAACCAATAATACTATTATTGGTGAATTTACGCTACTTTGGGCTTATTATACAGTAATTTTCAAAAAAGTCACGACTTTTTCAAAAATTTCGAGTCCCACCACGAAAACCCTGAAAATCAGGGGAATTTGCCCAAAATTGCTCTAATCTGTCAAATAAGCAACCAAAATCTCCACAGAGTTATTTTCATAGTCCAACTCGACTAACTATTCCATTATCATTCATTTTCACAATTTCCTTACCTTATCCATGCCATCTCCGAACATTTAGGCGGCCTTCTCCAATTCGATGAGGTGCTTGATGCCATCATACATTTGCTTGACGGCCTCGAACTCGGTCAAGCCGAGACGAGCCTTGTTGGAGATGTCGTAGACTCCGCCGACCGAGTCCGAGTGTTCTCCGTGGATGCCGCGGATCTGCAGCTTCAGTCCATCGCAGATGGTCTTGAAGTCGGGGCGAGCGGAGATCTTGGGCAGGCGGATGTGGACGGAGGCGCGGACGGTGGTGCCCAAGTTAGTTGGGCAGAAGGTCAGCCATCCGAGGCGGTCGTCGCGGCTGAACGGGACCTGCGCTTGGATCGCCTTCACGCCCTTGATAAGGCGCTCCAGGACCTGGCCCACGTTGCCGCCGTTCTGCATGGAGATGATGCGGAGATGGTCCTCCTCGTTCACCCAGACCAGGAAGGTCTTGTCCTTGTTGTGGTAGATGCCACGGCCGGCGGGCCAGTAGCGGCAGGCGTTGGCGTGTTGCAGGAAACGGTCACCTTCCTTGAACTGAAACGGGACGGAAATTAGTTTTATTCTCAATTTTATTGTTCCCAAAGCTGCTGGAATCCTTCCTTGTTCTTTTTACTACCCTGGTCTTCAATTTTTCCCATCAAAATCCAAAAATTTTCCGATTTTTCGACCTTCTTGCCTACTACAATATAATTTTCCCGACGAAGTCTCAATCTCACCCCTTTTTAGACCCAATTCAGTTTTTCATGCTCTATTATTAAATTTCACCTCGTATTTTCCCTAAATTCCCCCTTATTTTTTACATTACTTACCAAGAAATGGTCAGCAATGAGTTGATCCTGGATCTCCTTGGTCATTCCCTGGAGTGGGTAGTAAGTGCCCTGGAGTTCGGGGTCTTGGAGCTCTTCGAACACCTTCTTCACCTTGCCTTCCATTTCGAGGTAGTTGGCCTCGGTGAGGCAGGGGTTGAAGGGGTAGCCCTGAAGGGAGCGGCCGCAGCGGACACGGGTCGAGTTGATGAACTTGCCTTCGGGGTCGAGGTCGGGCAGGAGGTGGGTCTTGCCCTCGCCCAGGTCGGTCTCGGGCTGCTTTTGGGTGGGCTTGAAGCCGTTGTGGTAGTCCTCGATCAGGGGGTCAAACAGCGGCTTGAAGAGGGTGTAGGCCTCGGCGTCGGGGGCATAGACACCGACGCCGGAGTCGAGGTTCGCCACTCCGGATTGGATGACGTCCCAGAGGGTGGCGCCGAGCTTGGTGCGCTTGTCCTTGCATTGGTCGACCACCTCGCGGGTGAGGTACTTCTTCAACAAGGAGTGACATTCAGGGGACTCCTAAAACAAGGTCAAGATCAGGATTTTTCAAATAAAATCCGATATGATGCTGCAAGAGGATGGTCGAACAGGCTCTATTCTGCCTTATTAGCCCATAACAACTTTCAATTCCTAAATTGCATCAAAAACAAGGAAAATATTAAGCTTCACATACCTGAAGCTTCTTGTATCCATCCTCAATCTTTTGGATGATATCCTGGGGAACGGCCATCGTTTTCGGGGATTGGGTTCAAACTGTAAACAAGTAAACATTACAACTTCAATCTTGTATCATCCTCGCCACGACAAACTTTGATCAAAGTTCAAAACTTGATACTTTTATAACTAATCGGTTACATAGTAACGACGCTAAAAATAGTTCTCGCACTCGGCTACGCCCTCAATACACTTTGCCTGGCCCATTACAACCAACCCGCGCTAACATTTCACCCAACTTTTCACTAATTTTATATTACACTAGCGCAAAAGTGTAGAAAAATGATTTATCGCAGCATGGAGAGGATGATGGTGTTCCGAGGCCGTGTCAAACTCCCCAACTGAATGAGGAATCCAACTGTTTACCGGCGCCAACCCAAAATGTGGGCGTGGCCTGTGGGGATTTTTGCGAAGGGACGGGGGAAAAGGTGGGAAAGTTCGGAAATTGGGCGAGAACAGGGGGTGAAAATAATGAGAACCGAGGTCCGGGCGGGGGACGCGGGCGTTCCGGGGGTCGAGTTTCGGCGGACGGAACACCTGGGCCCGTTTTGCAGAAATTCGGGGGGAGAAATTAGATTTTTAGCGAGAAAAATTAGAAAATCTCGAAATTTGAGAGAATTTTGATGTCACAAGGACAAGATACATGTTTATCCCGCTTTTGAATTTATTAAAAATATCATTTTGAAGGGTTTCAACTCCATCAGAAAACATAAAATCGGGTAAAAACAACGATTTAGCCAAAAAATCATCATTTTTTCACAGGGAAAGTACTTCTATGGGGTATGGAGTTACAGGTCGAGACATACATCAAAAAATCGCAAAATTTTTCTGATTCAGAAGGTGTAAACGTCTGCCTACTTTTGGTTTGTAAGGGTGAAAAAATCCTCCGAACGTTTCTTGCAACACCACGCAAATGCCCCTTTTTTACATTGGAACTACTATTAAGAGTCTGGCGCTTTGACAAGCCTTAAAATATCAAGTTTGATTAATACTACACCTTAATTAGTAATTCCAATATAAAAAAGCGGCATTTGTGTGGCGTTGCGAGGAAAGTTCTGCGGATTTTTTCACCCTTCCAGACCAAAATTAGGCAGCTAACTTTTACATATTCTGAATCAGGAAAATTTTGCGATTTTTTTGATGTATGTCTCGACCTGTAACTCCATACCCCATAGAAGTACTTTCCTTGTCAACAAAAATTGCAGATTTTCGTAAAGTTATGCAAATTTTTGCTTTCTGATATCGGGTAAACCCGTGAAACTAGTCCACACAGAAGATGATTACATTCCAACTTGTTTTCACCCCCAGTTTCCCCCAAATTCTTCTCTAAAAACAAGTAAATCCGGGGTCAACAACAAGAAGACCAAAATTCAGTTGATGTGGGGTCTTTTGCGTGGGGGAATTAGCCGAAATCCTCCAAGGGACATCCCCCCGGGGGTCAAAAACACTCCGCAACCTTGAAAACAGTTGTGTATGAAATGAAAAGAGGGGCAGAGTATCCGTCCGTGAACCCGATACTCTCTGTTTCCAAGGCCAAAGGTACACAACTTTTTGGTTCGAGGTTAAAGTTGATATTCTACTTGTTCTTTTTACATCGTAAACAATGTCATAAAACATTTTTCACATCAGAAAAACGTTTGGGTAGGGAAAAAAACTAATTTTTAAACAAAAATAGCAAATCTTGAACAATTCCGGCAAAAAAAACTGAAAGGAAACAGTAATCCTACTGTAACATAACTTCTAAAACCCTCTACAATGCGCCTTGGGCTTTATATAACGCAAAAACAACTCTAATTTCCTCCGTTTTCCTTGCAAAATTTTATTTTCCCAATCGGAAATCCAATAAATTTTCGATTTTTCCTAAATTTCCTACAATTTCCGTTACAGTAACCCCAAAACAAGAAGAAAATACAATATCAACACTCTAAGAGTCCAATTTGTTTCCACTTTCGTGCATAACCGGCGCCAAAACCCCGAAAACAATCGAAAAAGAGACCAGAAAAAAACGGGGTCGGACCTTGTGGAAACGCTCAAAACTTGTGGCCCCTGCGGGGAAATAGGGGGATGGGAGAGTTGGGGTTTAAGAAAAGAAGTCTTCGTCCCTCCAAATCCTCGCGGGGCCGTTCTTGCGTTCTCTTCTTGGTCGAGCGGTCGTTTCCCGATATGCGAGGGCAAAAAACAACAACAACAACAACATGATGGTAAATAATTTTCAGTTTTTGGTCTTCGCTCTGGGCGCTTATCCCTTAACAACCCCTTTTCCGCAAACGCCTCACGGAGTGATGCATTCCAATCAAAACGTGGGGAATTACAAGGGGAGTGGCCTTGATCGAGGGCCGTTCGCATTTCTCTCGCCTCCCTTCGAAGGGCCGTTCCGTTTCGCGGATGGGACGGCCCTTCAAAGGGAGGGGAGAGAAATGACGAGCGGGCCCTGACAAAGAGCGCCGACACGCCGAGATTTATGGGGGTGAAAACAATTACAAATGGTTTGCTGACCATGGGCAACCTCAATATAAACAAAAGCAAGTGTTCTGGAGGAGAACGACATATTTCGCTGGATGAATCCGACAAGAAAAGCAATGTGGAGATCACATTTAGGGCAAGGGAAGATTCTAGAGATGGTTTTCACACCGAAAAAGTTGTTAACAGAAACCGTTTTTGTCGTTTAGACAATGGGGCACCTCATCCAGTGGCGAAAAACGTACCATTCTGCATCCAGGAAGCATCAAAAATGTGGCAAAATGCTTCCCTCTCCAAGACTCCGATTTCAAAAACGCGTCCGCTCAAAACGAAGTTTTTTTTCACTTGGAGAGGGAAGCATTTTGCAACATTTTTGATGCTTCATGGATGCAAAATGGTACGTTTTTCGCCACTGGACCGGGTCCGTCACTGTAGGCTTCTAAATGGTAACCAAAAATACCTTCAAAATGTCATTTTTGTCTTGAGAGAAACAAATTACTACTTCATAATCCGGAATGCCACAAAATCACCGTTCCGATCTCAACGAAAACAAGACTCTCGAAGCCACAAACCACAGCAATTCTCAAAGGCTCCCTACTTCGAAAAATCCCTCAAAAATCCTTTCCATCAAAAACAATCCAGCCATAAACGAACACCTTTCCGGGGGCCGGACCTCCTATAATTGGGAGCGGAACGTGGAAAGAACAACGAAGATCAAATCTGACTCAATTGTTTGCGCAAATTTAGAGGGCAAGGGCCGCTGGGGGAGGGTCGAACATGGTTTTGGGGTGGTCTTTTGAACTGCGACTGTTTGTTTTCGAGGCAAAGACTTAAAATTGAATTATTTCTTCAATAAGAGTCTTGCCAACTCAAAAATCTACTTTTCTTTTTAATTTTTACTTAATATTACAGCGACTTCCCAAACAATTTTTCTTTTAGACGGAGATATTACCCACTGAATGGGGTAATCTTCGAAATTGAAGGCCTAATAACCGTTTACCCGTCTACCAGATGGTCTCCGCTTTTCTTTGGGGTGGTTAAATGTCTCTCGAAAATTTTCTGGTAATCCCTTTTTCAAAGTAATCCGGAGTTTGCTAAAAATTAACCCCAATTTTATCCAAAATCTCGATATAAACTAAAAGTAAAAGTTGAAAAGACCGAAAAGTTTCCAGGACATTGCATTTTGAGTTCTATAAATTGTTTACGGATCCAAAAAGCGGAGATTTGCAGGAAAAGAGAGCTTTTCAATACTAGACATAAACTTTCGGACTAAAATAATATAATTTTTATCGTCAACAACCTTTATATCCTAGGAAAATCGCAAAAACATTCAAAAAAGCATCTATTGGTCATCCTAGTCACTTTCGAACCATAATCGCTATGAATTGCCCCCGCTGAGTAGGTTGGGTCACTTTGGAAATCGCACGGCTGGACATGAAAAGGCACGCAAAAGAACTTGCAGACCATTCCTTTGAGGGACCGAAGAATGATAGCAGTTTTTTACGCATTCCAACCGTCAACAGTTTGATCAATCAAAAGAGTTCTGTCCGATGTTTTGGAAAACAATCCGAAAAACTGGAGGAAACGTGGAAAGGATTGATGCGATATCCATCAAAACAAAGAATTAGGTACATTAGACCTTACAGATCCATCAATAGGACGATGGGGAGGGTTGGGACCTCGAGAGGCCATTCTTTGCCAAGTTAAGGTCAAAAATCATCTAGAATAATAATTGTAGAAGCATCAGACAGCGATAAAACTATGGCAAAATCAACAAGAAGTCATGAAAAGACTGACAAATGTCACCATTTCATAACAACATCAAAGAATCCGGTTAAACCGGGAAAGAGAGGTCATCGGCATAGTACAACATAAAAATAAGCCTGCTGACCTCTATAACATAGTCGACAACAACAATACCACACCACAAGAGCTCCATAGGTCCTATTAAGGACATATAAAGCAGTATGGCAGCTGTAAAATCTATCTTATTAGCTGAAAAGCATCAGCTATCGTCCGGAATGCGGATTAAAGACTAAACTCGGCGGGAACGACAACAATGAGGTCTTCACACGACTTGAAATTCTCTTCTACATCTCAGAAGACAATTTCAAGACAGATTAGCCATAAAAATCCCGTCTTACACAAAGCCTGACACCAATTACCTACTACAACATCAAAAAAGCCTAATTAGATCAAAAAGTCAACCATTAACATCGATAACAAGCCAGATTCGAATCCGAAAACGAACAACGGACATCCTAATATCCAATACAAGAAGAAAACATAACTTTGAAGGCTCTAATCCGGAGAGTCGAGCCTTTTTCGTCAAATTGAATCCATCCTCCGTCCCGAATTTCCCCCAAAAAGGCGAATAATCTAAACGTTCCGAATAAATGATGAGTCCGAATATCAAAGCCAGTCATCTCGCTACTAATATCGGAGCCAGTCATCTCCAACATTTCGCAATCCGTCAATTTTTCCGACAAAAATGATTTTCCATCATTCTCAATTATTTTTGTCGCAATTTTGCGTTCGACAGGATAAAAGTTATTG